TTATTAGAGGCAGTCTTGCCACAAATCAAGGATTATAAGCACAAAGAGGATTGCCTAGTATTTTCAAGTGCCGATACTCTTGTGACGTTACTACAGATGCGCGACTCCCTTTTGTTATACTAATCATTGTGCTTTGTGATCATTTTCATTATTTATACATTTGTGTCCTGTGCTTTTTGAAGTGAATTAAACTTCTTAGGCGACGGCGGTCTGATATTTGGACAAAAATGGAGAGTAACTTCAAAGACGTGTCACGTTTTGGCAAATTTCGTTACACGAGAGAAAAAAAAAATGTAACGTAGAGGAACAGGCAGCTAATGACAATGACGGCCGACAAATGATTGCACAAACTCCTCTGAGGCACAAGCCCAGAATTATAAACTACTAGCTGACCCGGCGAACTTCGTACCGCCTCTGAATTATTAAATATACCTATTAAATGTTGTGTTAACGTATCTATTAGCTGAATTAAATTCAGTTTTTTTCGATGGTGAATTTGGCTTTGGTTGAAGAAAATTAATGTTTACTCTCTGGATCAGAAGTTACCTAAAATTAAAATTTTACATCATCCTTTTTCAGGCAGCTTATGGGCATTATTCTTGTAAAGTGTACCACCAAATAAATAAACTCATGCACAGGAATGTTCAAAGAATGTAAAGAAAACAAAAAAAATCTCTAGCGCAGCCCTGTTTCACTCTATCTGCACTGCATGCTCTGCACTACTCCATCTGTTCTACTCTATCTGCACTACTCTATCTGATCTATTCTTCCTGCACCACTCTATCTGATCGGAATAGTGGAATAGTTCTGTTCGAAATAGCTCCAGTTCCTGAGCAGCATTGTTATACTAATTCTGCAATGCCGAGCTTCGTTCCAGGTATCAGAGATGGCGCGGTATACAAAATACAAAATAAACTTGGTATCGGTTATGAGATGGCGCCGTATGCGGGCTTAGTAAATTTTTTTCATAAATAAATAAAATAAGTAATGAAGTGGTAATGAAATGGCCACATTAATGACATAACAACATGCTGGTACTGTCAACGCTGAAAAAAGTTTCAATTTGACAGCAAAATCCCCATTAACAAAATGATCCTCCATTTATTGAATAATTCATTTATTACAAAAAATGTGATAAATGAAGAACCGCTCGACCGATTTTGTGCAAACTTCACATAAACCATCTAATAAATAGTCCGAACAAAGCCTAAACATTTGGTTTGGCTAGGTGAGCCCGTTCTTGAGTTATAAAATTACAACGAAAAGTGGCATTAATTTTTATATATATAGATTATCTAACTATCTCTCTTTGTCACGTGTTGTTCTAAGCATTCCCTCTGATGCGAATTACAAAGTATTACAGTTACTCAATAAACCACAGTGGCGACAATTGCTGTCTAAAGGTACGTTTTCGCTGGAGCCGTCGAACGCCGCCGTCGACGGTCGCCGTTGACGGTGCCCACTGCTATTCATTTGATTCAATGTAAATACGACGGTCGCGGTGAGACGCGCTAATGAAACCATACTCATTGAATCAAATGAATAGCAGTGGGCTGGGGCACCGTCAACGGCGACCGTCTACGGCGGCGTTCGACGGCTCCAGCGAAAACGTACCTTAAGGGCGAATTCCCATGAGCGTAAGTTGACATTTCTGGCGTAATCACGTGATAATATGGTGTAATTTGATTGGTAAAATATCCAACATGGCAAATATTTTACGAATAAAATCCAACCTTTAACCCCACCACCAGGGATGTGCGTCTACACGTAGACTTTCATTGTCTACTTTACGTGTAGACAATGTAGATATGTAGACAATGTAGACAACGTGTCAACAATGTAAAATAATATAAATGACGTTTAATTCTAACCTCACACTTTCCTTTTCAAAAATTATTTTTATTTTATTATCGGTTTTCCTCATATTTATAATCAGTGAATGCTGATATCAAAGTGATAGGTATAAGCTATAGTTCATACCAAATAAACTTGTAGTTGTGACATCGATGACGCCATTTTTAAAATCGTTATCGCCAACCGTGAAAATATTCGGCGTCGGATTGACTTAATTGGAATTTGAATTTCCCCCTGGCCATTCAGTTGGTAACAACACTTCAAAAAATGTAATGTTGCCAAATTAAATTCTTGACATTTTGAATTTTGATTGCGTTTTGACAGTTTACGAGTTTTTGGTTCAAGTGCTATTAATTGTGAGCTAGTTTTTCAAAGCAGCTTGTAGTGTGAAGTGTACAACATGTCGAAGCAGCTTAATAGCCGTTGCAAAGAACTAAGCGCATCCTTTTTACAATATTTTGAACGAGAACGCGATAATAATAGCCCTTAAATGCTGGTAGGTGGGTGTGATCAAATAGGAATTTTCAATTAGGCAATCTCAATCACGTGATTTTATAATGGCCGTTCGGGTCAAATATTGCCGTGACAAGGGTGACAAGCCGGTGACGTTCATAAGGAGAGCATTTGTGCACATTTGTGTTCAGGCCCTTGTTGCTTTCGAAGTGAATTTTATAGTCTTTGGTGTTTCTACGTATTTTTTATTGGTTTTGGCCATTGTTGTTTTCATACTGAATTTTATAGTCTTTAGTATTTCAAAGTATTTTAGTGTTTTGACCCTATTGTTGTTTTCAAAGTGATATTTATAGTGTTCATAGTGTTTCTACGTATTTTTTAATTTATTAATAAATTCTGAGATGAAGAGTGAATATTTTAAGGTATTATTATTAGAAGAAAATCGAGCCTGTGTTAGATCCTTTCTTTTAGTTGCAGCAATCCATAAAACCCTGTGTTGCCAATGATTTAAAATAGCAGGAACTGAATAAAATTTCACATTTTTCCTGTTACCTCGACTTCCACACCCAATTATGATGCAAATCGCTGGCATTTTAATTAACGCAATACCTAAACACACTAAAAAATACAAAATCCGATAATTCAAATCTGGACGTTTGTCCAAAATGTGACAGAATCAATGACATACAGAATAAACAACACAGTGCTTGACCCGAACTTCCATATTGAATTTCGTTTTTGACAGGTCAGTAGATTGCCTAATTTGAACCTTATTTTCTCTCATTTTTAGCGCGTAGCAGAAGCTTTGAACTTAAGTATGTCCACTGTCTGTGCTATTTCAAAGAAAGTCAAAAATAACGAAGTTTTGGAATCGCCTTCTAAGAAGCGATGCACTTCGAAGAGAGTCTGTGATGTTTCCAAGTTCGATAGCAGTGCTATATGTAACACCATTTATGATATGTATACAAAAAGTAAATCGTCTGAGATAAAGGTACATAGATATCTATGAATCGCCTGAATACAGAGAGCAGTTGTATTATATGTACAAATGAAATGCTTTTTTTAGATATATCATACTTCATACTGGCAATGAAAATTTGGATTCATTGAAGGTGCATCGCTGGTACTTTCATCGAAAACTCAACGACTATCATGGGAAAATCAGAATCAGAATAATTGAAAATATTCTTGATGGTCCAAATATTCATAATGTTTAATTATTTATAGTATTTAGAGTGGCTGTAAATAAAAAAGGTACTGAGCGTTACTATTATATTTTAAGTGATGATTGACAAATGAGTTGTTATTGAATATCTATCAAACCAAGCTTTGAAACAATGTTTATAATTTAGGTAATAAATAATGTTTGCATTATATTATAATATAATCCATTATTGTTTCTGAAAATATTTTGACCAAAGGAAAATATGCAAGAGACGGCAACGCTGTGCTGACCGAGCTTGACAACCCAACTATAAGTTTATTTGGTATGAACTATACTTAGGTAGTAGTAATTTTGGAACTTTTTTTTAAATTTTCTAAAATAAGTTTATTGTGTACGTCACATGTAGACCTCTATGATGTAGACGTAGACAAATGCCCACGTACCACCACACCATTCGAGTCGCTCATAGTGCATCCCTCTTTTCCTTGATGCACCGATGCACCAAATTTGCGGCGGGTGCAAGAAACCCTTTTAGGTAATTGTTAATATTAAAGAATAAAAGTTGTATTCCTTTCAAAAGTTTGAAACACTAGAGCTACTCGCTCCGGTGTTAGTCAACCCCGATTTGAAAGGAACATATGCGTGGTGCAACAAACACTTTTCGAAAGGAATAAGCCTAGTACTCATAACTGCAAAATTCACACTTTTTTGACATTGCGTCGACAATTTGACGTTTTATGCGTGTATTAAACGTAACGGAACAATGTCAAAAAAGTGCGAAATTCGCAGTTATGAGTACTAAGCTATAGGCGCGTAACGCCCCGGAGCTTCTCCTAGGTGTGAAAGAAACACTAGTGTAATAGCCTTGGGGGGCTTGAGATTTGAACTGCACAGGCCTTATGAGGATAGGCTGTACTGTGGTAGTAATGTGTATTATCCTTGGCTCACTTTTAGATTCCTATTTAAAGTGAGCAAGAATTAAGAATATGGCGGCGGGACCTCTATTGTCGCCACTATAGTTGTATTCCTTTCAAGAGTTTGAAACACTCGAGATACTCGCGCCGGTGTTCAGTCGCCCCCGATTTGCAGGGAACAGATGCGTGGTGCAACAAATACTTTTCGAAAGGAATAATGCGCGTGAAGCCCCGGTGCTGTTCCGGAGCTCCTCCTAGGTGTGAAAGGAATACAACTTATGAATATTGAGTCACTGTAATTAGGCAATTCAAACCACGTGACATTCAAGATGGCGTGGCGGCCACACATGGGCCACATATCTAGTTTCTGCCCGAATTAATAGTTTAGGTACCTAGTCAACAAATATTTTATTAAATAATGAAAATCAAAGTTGTAAGCAAAACTGTATGCAAAATAATTTAAAATACGCATAAAAACATACTCAAAATAAACTTGTTTGGCCGCCACGTCACATTGAATTTTCCTTTTTGACAGATGGATTGAATTGCCTAATGTGAATGAGCCACAATTCTTGCAAAAAAAGGAGAAATTCAAGATCCAGAATCTGACAAGTGACAAATGTCATTGCTCTATATAAAAAAAAGTTATAAATTTCCCATTCCCAATCGCTATGTCAAAAAATGAAAAGTTTTTTTCTATTTTCTCACTTACAAATTGATATCTAATTAATAAATAAACAACAATTCAGTGGTCGTTTATTTATAAATACAAGTTGGCAGAGATGTCGAGCACACAACAGAAAATCGACGGCTTGTTGGACCGACTCAACCAAGACCGTTCCCATAGGAGCCCACCAATGAGTACGAATTCTTCTACTGGAGGTTTGCCTCCTCCTAGGCCTACATTAACACCACGTAAGAATTTTGTTTATATTTGATGGAGTTTATTTGAAATTGCTGAAAGTTTTTTACCTATAGAATACACTTGAGTATACTTGAAATTTGAAGGGCTTACGTGCAAAAAATCACAACAATTTTATACCACAATATATTAGCGATATTGGCCCCTTTTTTAGAACAGAAACCCAAACTCATAAGGGCCTCTTAATTTCCAGCCTAATTTGGTGCATGTACCATTATATTCAAAGTTTTTTCAAAAACAAAAAATTTTGAAGGCAATGAGGTAAATACCCCAAAATAGCAAATTTTTGTTCAAGCCTATGTTATTCTTACCATAAGGGAATTATCAAGTCCAAGGCTGGAGTTCACCCTTAGGGACTCAATGGCGACTACTACTTTCCCTGGGGTGAAATTTATGGTGTTGATTTCTGTTCTGGAGTAGAATTCAACTGGAAATGTTGTTGGTCTAATATCTGTAGGGCTAACTTTAGTAAAAACACTGGAATTGCTATGCAAAACACTCTGCAACCTCCTGATCAGATTCAAATGGGACTAGAGTTGCTTTGTCAACAATACTGAAGTGGGCGTGTTTGGAGTTGAGGTTAGAGTTAACATAGGAAAAGAACTATTTGGTGTTGTTCAACAGATTTTGTTCAGATTGTTTCCTTGCTGTGACTGTACAACTTTTGAGCTTATTATTTTGATGTTGGTAATTTTCTTCAGTATTGTTGTACCACAAGTTTCTTTTCCTTTGTATTTCACTAGCTCCCAAGTTCTAAAAAAATCAAATGTGGAGTACCACCAGGTTCAGTGCTGCACCCGCACTTTCAAGTTCTAGGAAATTTTTCTCTACAATTTTGAATTTATTTCCATCATTAATTTCTTGAGCATCATATCTGGGAAATTCTTTACATTTACATTTTGTTGCAGTTAGTTTAAGCAATAGTAACAGTCCGACTATGTCAAGACCCAGCAATTTACAATTACAATTCGTGCCCAAAAGAAATGACAATGCCGACACTGAAAGGAAACTCAGGGAAATAATGAAAATCAGTGGAGATTTAAAAATCGATGATGTCCTATATAAAACGGACATAAAAGATATGGAACACATTGAAGAACTTGGCAACGGTACTTGCGGGCATGTAGTGAAAATGAGGCATAAGCCCAGTGGGAAAATTATTGCTGTAAAGGTAACATTAACAGGTTTTTCTTAATTAGTTACTGATTTATGTATTTTTGCTTTAGCAAATGAGACGGTCAGGTAACAGCGACGAAACCAAACGCATAATAATGGACATTGAAGTAGTTTTAAAATCAGACTGTAAATACATTGTAAATTGTTTAGGATGTTTCATAACCGAGTCCGAAGTTTGGATATGCATGGAACTTATGGACACTTGTTTTGATAAATTATTGAAAAGGCTTAAACAGCCATTGCCTGAAAATGTTATAGGCAAAGTTGGTGTAGCAGTAAGTATTTCCAAAGAAACAAATTATAAAATGTATCAATATTTTTTTTTTCCTAGACTGTTGAAGCCTTAGCTTATTTGAAAGACATGCACAATGTAATACATAGAGATGTTAAACCTTCAAATATCCTCCTAGACACAAAGGGCAATGTAAAACTCTGTGATTTTGGTATAAGCGGTAGATTAGTTGATTCAATGGCCAATTCTAGGAGTGCAGGCTGTGCTGCATATATGGCTGTAAGTTATCTAAATCTCAAATCATATTATTGTGAAAATTTATGAAATTATTTCAGCCTGAACGCATAGAGCCAGACCCACAAAACCCAGACTATGATGTAAGAGCAGATGTATGGTCTTTAGGTATCACACTGGTGGAATTGGCTACTGGTGTATTTCCTTATCAAGATTGTAAGACTGACTTTGAAGTTCTCACCAAAGTGATCGGTACCGATCCACCTTCATTGCCATTGGACAAGAATTTTTCTCCTGAATTTAGGGATTTTGTGGTTTGTTGGTAAGCAGTTATTCAAATAAGTAGTTGAATTTTAACTCAATCGATTGTTGTAGTTTAACAAAAGACAAAAAGCAACGTCCCAAATACACGAAATTAAAAAATCACGCTTTCATCAAAAGATATCAAGTGGCCGATGTAAATGTTGGCGATTGGTACGTAAAGGCCTTGCATCGAGTTAACGACATAAGGGCCCCAGCAAGGTATGTTGCATGACCATGGTTTGATTTTAAATTTTATTTACTCTACTTACCCCTCACTTTCTAATCAGGTTTTTGATGAATTACTACGCGATACCTATCTAATTTTGATTGCTTCAACACACATTTCTATTTAATATTTTTTGGTACAGTCAACGGAACAAATCAACTTATTTATCAAATTTTGCTTCTAAACTGTTAAGTATTCTATTGGCTGGTATTATAATTCAATTTAAAAAAAGTCAAAATCAACTATAAATTATAATGTACATAATCTGATATTAGTGGTAACTGATTTTCAATAATGCCACTGGTGCCTTCTTTACCAACATTTTGAATTAGAGCATGCTAAAATCTTGTTTCTACTAGAAAACATCTAGTTTAGCACATTGGATTTAAAAATTTGTGGTTCGTTAACTGTACAAGTAGCATTTTGATTATCTAGGAATGATGACGATGACAGTCCGTCAGTCAGAGAGAATGCTGTGCCCGCTGTGCATTAGAAAATTGCATTTTGTTGTGCTCATCTCCCTCTCACCCTCACCAGTAGGTTTGTATGCATTTTTTTGTGGTTTATTTTTGGGTCGGGGACGGAAACTCAATGATTTTTTCATGTTTGCACAATTTTAACAACAATTCTTCTTGTCATTGACTTTCTGGGGTCCAGCATGGGTTTATGTTTTTATTTTTAACTTGTTCAGTTTATTTTGTTGTATTTGTTGCTATGCCTATCCATATCTTAGAATTCATTTTTTTCAAAATTTAAATGTGTTTGTTTTTTGTCTACTCTTTGTATTGCTCCAATTAGATTTTGCTTGCTTAAATAGGCAGTGTTGCCTTCTAGTATGTATATTTCAATAGAATTGTATTTTTTCCATTTTATTTATTCAATGGTAAGTTAAGTTGCATTGGGAGCAGACCAATCAAATTTCAAGATTGGATAGGCATTGGCGTAGTTACATGGCCTGCAAAAATCACAAACCAATCAAGGTGATTTGTGATTCATGATAATTATTTAGCAGAAATTGGTGTATATGTGAGAACAGGCCTCAAATCAAGTCAACAGTTGAACAAGTTTCGTGTTAACTCTGTCTTTTTCTAACTATATTAATATATTAATACAAACTAAATCATACACAATTTATATTAAACAGTTTTTTTCTTAGTAGGATTAAGTATAGGTAACATATTAGTGAAATAATATTTATTTTTTTGTTGATATTTTCAACTCTTTCTTGGTCATAATGAAGTAGGTATATCTCTCTTCTTGAAATCATTATTTCGAGAAACCTGTGCAGGTCATTTTTTATATACCTATATTTATCAGTTTTCAGTTATTATTTGAAAACCTACTGTAATGTAGTGCCTCTGAGTATTTGAAAATTTCATGTAAAGTTTAAAAAGTTTAACTAAGTTCGCCTTTCCTTGATATAATTTCCTTCTATTTCATCCTCTCTCTTTAGACATCCTGTACGCCAGTTCTTTACAATACAACAAAAGCAACAGCAACCTTCAAAACAACCAGCTCTACAATTCTTCAGTAACTCAACAATGAATGGTAGTCATCACCCGTCAAAATCTGACCAATCGCAAGACAACCAGTTTCAAGTCAAACCTGTGTTCGCTCATTCTAGTCAACCATCTGAACCAAAACCTGGAAATCATAGTTCACGTTTGGACGCTTTCCAAGCCCGTCCTGTGGTACCTAACAGGAGTTTTTCTCCTCTACAAGCCTATCAAAACCATATAGCGTCGATACAACAAAGAGATGGAAGCAATAGGAGTTATCCTTTGGGATTGTGTTCTCCAATGCCTCAAAGGAAGTTTGCCAGTAGTGGACCGACTTCTTTACCTGTAGGTTGTCTTTATATATTTTTCAGTAATTAGAAAAAATTGTTGGTTTTTGTAGGAGACTCGTAGCCAAAGCGAAACAAGATGGAAGTCGCCTGCAGCCTCTCCATTACCATTGAGAAGCAATTTTCAGGAAGAAGAACCCGAATACATTAGCGGTAATACAAGTCCGATTATTTTGCAAAGGTTTTATCATCAGCAAAAACAGCAACAGATGATTAAGGAAGTGGAGGATGGTGCAAAATCGGATCCATGTAAGTTTTTTTAAAGTTTCCAAGCAAATTCAATTGAAATTATTTTTAGTGACTCGTTCCTGGAGAAGGAAACATTAATTGTTTAGTAATTAGTTTTGTATTGTAAAAGTAAGTTAGGCTGATGATAGAATTGCTTTAACTTTGGTGTTTTTTTGATCAAATTTTTTTACTAATCGGGATCTATATCACATTAGGGTACTATGAAATTATCTGTGCAATAATGATTATCGATTGAAGTTAATTTTTGCAACACCCCTAAAGTGATATATCACCCCAAACTTGTGTATCTTTATAAAGAATTCCATATACGCCTAACTAGCCTTTGTTTGGTTTTCTAGATCCACAAAAATACAATAAAATTCTTTTAGGTAAGAAACGTTTCGCGTCCTACATCAAGCTACAACTTGCCGGTGACAGAAGCGGTCGATCATCGAGACACCAAAGTCCAGAGCCCCCGCCTAGATTGCACAGGGGGCAGAGCACCGAAAGTCAAAGTCCTTTGGCATTGAGGCGGGCTTTTTTGGAAACACACACACCCAATTCGCCTAGTTTGTCTCGAAGGTAAGATGATCTAATGTCTGCCCAGCGACTCTGTGTCTACGGGGCAACGGTAAGGGGAATGCAGTTGTAAAAAAAAATGGCTGATTTCATCCATAAAATACCCAGCTGCGTGCGGAACTTTTTGGAAGTGTTATCGTATTGCAACTCGTACACGAAAATCAGCAATGACCAAATCTCCGCCACTGGATATTTCAATATAAATCGATATTCCAAGATGGGAGGATAAAATGACGTAAGCCCTGGCCAATAGTGAGACGTAAGGTGACGTTAGCTCATTGACAACCGTATGGTTCCCCATGGCAACGACGATCCTGCCAAAAACTCCACCAATCAGGTTCATCCAGGCCGGATGTTTGCCAAATTGTCAGAAGCGGATGGTATATTCAGAAAATGTTTATTTTTTACAATAGATCAAATTGAAGAAATCAGGATTAAAATAAGGATAGTTCTAGTAACCACGTTAAAATAATTAGCGTTTCATTATGGTTATCAATATTTTGTTATTAAAAAATGGATTTTTAAATTAACTATACTTCATGCCTAGTATTTTGGTTTTTTATAATTAAACGTGGCAACATGGCACATTTACGTCCAAATTCCTTCCGTAGACTCAGATCCGCTGGGCAAACAATAAGTGGCTAATTCTATAATATATTATTATTATTATTGTTATTATTGTCATACTACACTGTCATTTTCTTTGACAGGGCTTTCATTCACCAAACACAAACCATGTTTCTTAGGTTAAATGAGTTTTTAATTTTAGCCTATGGTCCTTCTTATTAGGTGAGCTGTCTCAAGCAATGTAGTTTTTTGTATAGAGTTCATCAAAGCTTTTGTGTTGTTCCCTGGTATTCTTGCTAGCCATTCTTTAAGGTTTTTATTTATTGTTACTGTGGCGCCAATCACGACTGGAATTATTGTTTTAAGACCCCACATTCGGTGGGTTTCTATCTGCAGATCTCTATACTTTAGTATCTTTCCAGCTTCCTTTATCTTGATAGTTCTGTCCGAGGGGATTGCCACATCTATTATTGAGCATCTTTTGTTTTCCTTGTCCTTTATAATTATGTCTGGCTTGTTGGCAGCTATTGTTCTATCCGTTTTTACCTAAGTGTCCCAAATCACTGTTACGTTTTTTGTCAGTTCTACGTTTTTGGGTTTTCGTTCGAACCATTTGTCTTCAACTTCTATGGTATAGTATTTCAAGATGTTATGATGAGGCTATGAACATACTTTGTTGTGTCTTTTCATGTATTCATATTTCCCAAGTACTGGACATTGTGTTGTTATGTGTTTGATAGTTTCATCATCTTCTTCGCATAATCTGCGCGTAGGGTCTATTTTTTGTCGGTGTATTTTATGCTTAATATAGTTTGTTGATATTGCTTGGTCTTGCGCTGCTACAATGATTGTTTGTGTTTTCCCTTTTAGAGTTCCATTAATGAGCCATCTGAATGTCCTCTCTATCTACCTGTTCTGTGTTAGTTTCTTTCTTGTACTGGCTACGCATCTGCTTTTCTGTCCATTTTCCTTCCATATCTTTATTTATATTTTCTTTACATAGTTGCTTTAGCCTTTTCGCGTTTTCTGTTATTTTCCTGTTTATGCACTTATCTCGGCTTTCTTTTCCTAAATATTGCTCTGTCCATTTTTTTCCTTGTTTTAAAAGTGACTGTCCTGTTTTGTCTTTTTCGTATTGTTTTAACATATTGATGAATATGTCTTCTACTTTCTCACTTACGTAATTTGCCAAGCCAATGATGGTTAATTTGGACTATTTTTCATTATTTACTAAGCCCCTGCCTCCATTGGTTCTTGGAACATATAATCTATAACTATCTATTTTTGGATGGTGTAGGTTGTAGACCCTGAGATAGGGCCTGTTTAGTGGAGTCATTTTTTTTTGTCTGGCATTTTGAGGGATGAATGTGACTAATTAGCTGATGATAATAGAGAGTTATTGGAACTATTAAATACTGCCTCGCAGTATTAAGGATCTACGTTATTTTATTAGTGCATCAGCACTATTTCTTCAAGAAAAAAACAGTTATTGGAAGACTATAGTAGGTGCTAGAGTATTACCTTACTTTGTATTCATAATTTTGACAGCTGATAGCTATGTTTATAAATTTCAGCCTCAAAAAGTGTTTATTTTTGTTTGTGATTTTCTGCTGATACCTTTTTTTTTTATGTTACCCACAGTAAAATGGAAAACTATTGTAAAAAATTAATTTTCTAAGTAAAATTACGTCATCATCGAAAAGCGAAACGTCAAAGTCGTCCAAAATGTAAGAAATTTGAAATAAGGGAAGTTTAGTGCCTCGCACTAACCATACCTAAATAAAGTCAAGCAGTAACCTTATTTAAGGGCCGAATTTATAGTCGCTCCTTGAGGTTTCCTTGGACCTTAAGGAAGCCTTGAACGTTTAGAATTGACATGACTAACTTGTCAAATAGTACCAAGTGTCCATTCTGAACTCACGACCTTTAAGGCAGACTCAAGGAATGACTATAAATTCGGCCCTAAGGGAATCCCATAGAGAAATGGCACAATGTCGACGTTAGCGCCGTGGCTACGGACAGCAATAAAACAGTGAACATTGTTTAAATGCAGGTTTCTTCTTTACCGACAGTGAAAGCGGCTTTTTTGAATAATTAAATTATTAACTTTGATCTTATTTAGGATTTATCAAAAATAAAGTACTGTAAGCGCTCAAAACAGTTAATTGCAAAGCAAAACATTTGTTGAAAAAACTTGTTAAAATTTACCGAGCAACTGTTTAGAACGATAACAGAACTTATTTTTAAAAAATCCAAATTAGATGCAATGAGATTCCTTAAGGGGGTCGAGGAGGTAATTGAACAATACAAAAATTGAGATATCTTCAAACAAACTTATTTTTTTATTCCAATTTTATAAATATACAGTAACTAAAAATGTTTGTATTATAAGCTTGGTGTTTACCTTTTTACTGCATCTCGCATCATCGCAAATTCGAAAACACACTATTATTGGTGTCGGTTTTGTCTAATTAATTAATATTTATGATCACAGAATGTTTTCTCATTTCTCTAATATAAATAATAGAAGAAATTTCATGTTATGATGATGAGCATTCAGTTTTTGATTGATGGTCTTCGAATTCAAGCATAGTCGATTCAATAATTTGTCAAATTTTGACAATTTTGTATTTTGTATGTGTTAAAAAAAGATAGAACATTTTCGGCCAAGTTGCTGACAAAGACAAATTGAACCGAGTTGTCAGAAACGATCGAAGTAATTAGTTCAATAATCTGCCACACCATGCGAAATACGCTACGGGTATGTGCGCAAACCAATGCACAAACACACTTCCAGATTGTGTCTCTCGTAGTTTACTACTATTATATTTCTCTATGGGGAATCCTTATTTTCGGACTCAAATGCGCATGCGTAGATGTCAAAATAAGGCTAATTTAAATACTGCTTGTCCTTATTGCACGTCCAATAACTCTCTGTTATAAGTGGTTTTAATGCCTGCCTCCTGTTCGAAATGTCCACAGAATGTTTCGCCTGAAAACTCGATTTCGAACTGTGATTACCGTCTGGCGATTTTTCAGCGTTATATTCACAACAAAACCTTTAATTCTCTCGATTGCCAGACAAAAAGTAAACGCGGAAGGTTCTTTTCTTTTCTCTTGGAAGTTGACACCCATCCCCATTTTTTCAGCTATTGAAAAGCATCTGATATTTTTCATGGGTGAATTATTTATCAATGTCAATCTTTTATTTAAAAGCCAGAAAATTTGAGATTTAAAAAAAAAAATCTTCATGTAAATCAATTTTTTTCTTCTGCAAATTTTCGAACGGGAAGCCGGCATTATAATCACCTATATTCTCATCAGCTTAGTAGCCACATTCAGCCCTCAAAATGCCAGACAAAAAAAAATCACTCCACTAAAGAGCTCCTATCTCACAGTCTATTGAACATTGTTAGAAGTTTTTGTGTTTTTGTATCGGCTTTCTTCAGTTCTTCCTTCCAATTTAAGATTCCAAAACTGTAAGTCATTACAGGCAGCGCAAGTGCTGCTATGCTGAAGAATTCATTTTTACCAGTTAGTTGACTTCTAAGGATCTTCCGCACTCTAGAGTAATATTTCCCTGTCACTTTTTGTTTCATGTTTTGATGGTCAATTTCCGTGTTTTCGTGTATACCTAAATATTTATAAAACTGTTTTCCCTTTAAGTCTCTTATTTCAGTTTCTTCATCTATTTTCATGATTTGAGTTTTTTTCATGTGTCCTTTTTCTAAAGTGACTTTCGCATTACTGAAAATGTTTACAGTTTTGAATAGCTCTTAAAGTTCCTTGTCATCTTGTGCGTACAGTTTTAAATCATTAACATAGAATAAGTAGTTTATGGGCGGTTTTCCTTTTTATATTTTATACTCTTTCTTGGTTCCATTGAGTTCATTTGACAACGGAAACAGAGCCATACAGAACAAAAGGGGCGATCATGAATCTCCCTGAAAAATTCCACTTTTTATGTTTATAGTTCCTGCTTCTATATTTTTCCCTTGAGCAGTGTTTTCCACTTTTCCATTGCTGCTTTTAAGATATTTTTGATTTGAGAATTTACTTTGTGGATGGAAAGTGTTTCTAACAGCCTTGAATGCGGTACACTGTCAAATGCTTTTTGATAGTCTACCCAGCCCATGCTAAGATTTTTCTTTTTTCTTCTTGCATCTTTGGTTACCATTTTGTTTATTAAGAGTTGCTCTTTGCTTCCATAGCAGTTTTTCCTACATCCTTTTTGTTCTATAGAAAACACATTATTTCGTTCTAGATGGTTGTATATTTTGTTATTTAGTATTGCCATTAGGTTTTTGTAGATTGGTGATAAACAGGTTATGGGCCGATAGTTTTTTGCTTCTGTTGTGTTTTTATTTTTTGGGAGTAGCACTGTTCTTCCTTCAGTTAGCTAGTCTGGCATGAGTTTTGGAATTTGAATGAGGTTGTTAAATTCTCGCGCTAGTGGTAGATGTACTGCAGTTAAATTCTTGAGCCAGAAGTTTTGTATTCCGTCCAATCCTGGTGCCTTCCAGTTTGCTGCCCTTTTGAGAGTACTTGAGATGTCCTTTTCTGTAATTTCTTTCCATGGCATTTCTGCTAGTTCTAAGTTCCGTTTCATTTCTTGATCTATCCATTTTGCTTTTTGATTTTTCTCCTTTTCCCATATGTTTTGCCAGAATTTTGGTATATCTTCATTCAGTGGAATTTCATATACCTCGCTTTTCTCTTGTTTTAAATTTTGGTATAATTTCTTTGGGTCTTCTTCAAATTGTTTGTTCTGAATGTCGTAATCTTTATGCTTGGGCTTGAATTTTCTTTCTGTTTTAGCTTTTCAGTAGTTTCTTTCCTGGTTTCTGCGTTCATTATTTTGTGTTTTTCATATAACATTTTTTTATGATGTTCATTGTTTCCGTATTATTTGTGATAATTCTTTTCTCATGCGGGTTATTCGCTCACTAATTTGTAGTTTCCATCTTGGCTGTAATTTGTTATACTTTTTCTCTTCATTATTGACGTCCAGAGCCTTGCAAATGACTATTACTGTCGTGTAAATTAGCTTTATAATTTTTGAGATATCCTGGTTTTCGTTCGGTTTCAGTAGTTCCCCTAGTGCGTTGTTGGCATTTTCAATTACTAGCTTTGATCTTTGATTATCTTTTATCTTTGGCAGTTTTTTCCTTGAGTAGTCTACACTTTAATGATTCCAGGTATATTTCTTTACATAGTGCTTCTGTTGTTTCGTGGTAGATATTATTTTTGGAAGTTTTAGCAGCTTCTATACATGTTTCTTTACTTGAATCATGTTGATCTCTTTTCATTTCTTCTAACGTCTCTCTTTGAATGGCGTCTTTATTTCCCCGAGTTTTTGTGTGGTTCTGGATTTGCTCCATCATTTCATTCATTTCAATCTCTGTAAGTTTGTTATGTTTTCGTATAAACCTTCTCTGCGCTGCCAGAGTATTTGCTGTTGTATTTGGTCTTTCATCTGGGTTCCTTTTTCTCCATAGTTCATAGTTGTCTTTTATGCCTTTTGTTCCCACAGTTTCTTGCAGAAAACAATAGCACCACATAATTTCCTTATACTCTTCTTTGCTCCATTTTTCTCTCTTGCCCTGACTCTTTTCTACTTTGGTCTGTATGATTGGTGTACCTGAAGGGCCGCTTTGAGTTGCCTCGTTGCAGTTCTCTTCAGGTCGTCTGTGTGAGCAGTTCTTATCCATTTCCAGTTTTTGTAAGGTGTTGTATTTTTTATTTTTCAATTGGTGATTGTGGCGGTTGTTTTTTGGAGTTGATAGTTCAAAGTGTCGATTTTGGGGGTTTTCTATCAATAGTAAAAATATGACATTTTTGTAGTTTCTGTTGCATATCTTTATTGGTTGTTTTCCTGAGTATTTATTTTCGTTTAATTTAGTTCTTGATGTATACACTATGATTGTCGTAGCCCGTGCATTAGACTTCAATTCGATTGCAGGTGGATTAATAGAGAATAGAGATAGCATCCAATCTACCTGCAAGCTAATGCACGGGCTATGTAAACCACCCTGTATATGTATATTGAAAGATACTTTAAGAGTTTTTGATAATGCCATTATTTCAAGACTTATGCCATATGTGCTGGCCTTACTCATGTAATTACAATAATTGCTTACGGTTTTAAGATCTTCATCATCAATCAAAATAAAAAATTTAAACTTCTCCCAGTTTCTGCGTTTATATTCAACACCCTTCAAACCATGGATAAATGAGAGAATTTTTAGAGAAATCGATAAAAAAAGAGAATTGTGAACCAAATACATAAAAAATAAAACGGACGCACATTATAAAATATACAGGATGCAAAACAACAAACTAAAATCATTCATAACTGAAGCATGTCTTAAATATGAACAGGATATCCCGGAAAAGAACGATAAACATTTCTACTCCTACTTAAAGAGAAATCTGAGTAGCCAGCTTCATGATCTCATAATTAAGGATCCAAAAGACCAACAGATATTGAGGGACCCAAAAAACACTGCAGATATCTTTGCAAGTCAGTTTCAATCAGTCTTCACAAATGAATCATTATCCAACTTTCCTTCGTTGCCGCAACAAACACGGAACAAAGACCAATTAAAAAACATAATCATAAGCACTGAAAAATTGTGCACCATCCATAACACCACTTTTAAAATCACTATTTAACAGTTTTGGGAAAAAAATATTGTCAAAGAAATGACCACGTTTCTCCTAGACACACATTATACCATCCACACAGCACGGCTTTCTACCAAGTAGATCTACTACCACAAATCTACTCAATTGCTTAAACGCATGGACTAAAGAAATTGATGAGGGAAACCCAGAGAATATACTATAATTGGATTTCCAAAAAGCATTTGATACTGTCCTTCATGAAAGGCTGTTATACAAACTGGATCACTGTGGAATCCGAGCAAGAACTTTCTCAACGAGAGACATTTCCAAGTAAGAGCAAATGGAACATACTCAGACCTCTACAGAGTCACAAGTGGAGTACCACAAGGATCGGTGATAGCTTCCATTTTCTTTTTGATCTACATAGCAGACCCGGCAAAAAGCATTAGAACAAACATCGAGGCCTTTGACAAAGAAGTTTTTTGCAACCTACTGACACAACTGCACCTGGTCCAAGAAGATCTGCAAACAATAAAGCAATGCAATGCAAAATTGCCTTGGTCCACTCGTTTGGCACTCCTCCATTCTCCATTAGATTGTTCATTGCCGATGAGAGTGGTTCACTTATACTGGCTGCTATCTTATTCAAAAATATGGCTGTAAGTTGTCAGGACCGGGGCTGGAGTCTATTTTAAGATTTTTTAAAACTTTGCAAATCTCTTCTGGCGTAAATTCGACTGATGTTATTTGAGCAACAGAACGTTCACTTCATTATAGTCGAGAGAAATTTTGCACTGTTTCTCTTGTGAAGACTTTCTCAAATTGATTCGCCAAGGTTTCTGTAGTCTGCTTTAAATCTCCAATTATATCTCCGGTATCCTGGTCTTTTAGAACAATAGATGTAGAGTTTGAATTGAATGTTCTTTTTATGTAGGAATAGAATTGTTTATCAGATCTTGTGAGCAAACCGTGTTCATATTGTTGCTTTGCTTGTTGCAGCATATTTCTCAGTAGGTTATTTTGAGTTCTATATTCCTGGTAAGACTGGGGAGTTTTTAGGTTTTGGTACTTGTTTCAGAGGTTCCCCTTCCTTTGAATTTCCTTGAAGTGATGAGGGTTTATCCACGGTTTTTGAGGATTTATTCTAGTATTTCGCATGGAAATACTTTGTTGAATGATGGTGTTTATATTTGCTATACATATGCTTTGTTGAACTTGCTTTTGTGTTTATCTGCGCTACAGCGTTCACTACAACGTGATCACTGCGATCAATTGGATTTGGAGGGTCTGGCTGATTTTGTTGGTTTAGTGAAAGAGTCTTTCAGACTATCTATAATTAAAGTCTCCAAACATTATACTGTTGTTCGAGAATTCGAACACTTGTTTAAGGTACTCCAAAAGTTTTCTGTATGTCTTGCGGTCTGTTTATGCATGCTAAATATAATAATAATAAAAATTATTTCAGGTACGTTCAGCCAATGCCTCCAGTACCACCGCCTCGACGTCTATCAGAAAGTATCTCGGTACCAGGTTCACCTCAACATTTCAGGGCCCGGTTCCATTACACTCCGGAACCGCAGAGGAGGGTGTTTCAAAGCAACGACGTCACGTCGTCATAACAAAGCGCCAATAACTGCGCGCACTTAGTCAGAATTTGTTTCGGGTTTGATAGGTAAGGAGACACAATTTCTATCTCGAGCTAAAAAGACACCAACAAATTTATGTATGAGACACAGTCAAGAGTTCTTCTGACTTATTTTGTCACTACTTACTTACTCAACTTTTTTATTTCCTCTTTGGCACAGGGATGTGACTCAGATGTACTAAAACTTGTTGTTTGTTCTTGTAAAAATTTCATTCACAATATAATCTATTATGAGCCACGTCTCCGTACTAACGCGTTATTGAATAAGTTCAATAAGTAGTACCAGGGCTCAAATAAAAGACAGTCTCATATTTTTAAGGATTCAGATAGGTGGTTTGTCACCGTTTCATTAAATTAATCACAAACATTGCAATTACATGTGCCTATTCGTTTAGCTAATTGTACAAAATCAGTGTTAACTAGCAAAAATAATCAATTTATACGGTGAGCAACTTACTACGCTTGGTGCTTCAAAAAATAAATTATCTTCACATTAAGGACTTGTTGTAGCTTTTGTTGCATTGTCGGAAGCATTTTTTTTTAAATATACATATATATTTCTGTGTTACTTTTCCTTGTGCGGAATGCAAGGGAAATTATTTAGTCAGATACTAGTCTTTATCCGTTCATCAAAATGTATGGATGTGTTTGTATTATTAAGTAATTTAATTCAGTAATTTCCTTTCATGTTTTAGTAAATATCTTTTGGATAAATTTGACTACCATGCTTTAAGGTCAATGTTTGCAGGTGAAAACTTGAATATGTATTGGCATGCATTAGGCTAAGTCAAAAACAAATTTTGTAGGGCAGATGTTAATTGAAATTTGATGAAAAATTTTATGATTATTCATTTGACTTAATTTATTAAAATGTGATGTATTCGTCAAGAGTTAAGGCCCAAATTTAGTTTTAAGGAATTACTACTAAATTGACTGATATTTATTTATTTTTGTTCGTTTTAATTCATTAGCAATTTTTTTATTAAATATCAGCAAAACAGTGTTTTTTGTAATTATTATTCATATAACCATTTTTTAAGAATTTTTAGTTTACTATAACTGAAGGCTGTTGATTTTGTTTCTTCGCAATTTGTATATAATTCAACGTTTCTTTTTTTTTACTGTATAAGTGTGAATAATTATATTTATGTATATTGAGCGAGGCCATACCTGAGATATTATAGTTTAGACATTTTAATATGTACATTTTAAGCACATCTAAAATAAACTTTATTTTAAAATGACTAAAATAGGAGTCTTATTTTTGCTGCACTACTTTCAAGGCCCGTATTCTCGCCCAGTGTTCTCACGAGAATGAAGGTTCTATCTTAGTCGCCCATATTGTTATTTCCATAATACTAACAAAGACAGAGTATTCGTTCTTTTGCGAACACTGTTCTCTGTATTCGAAAATAGGGGCCCAGGTTGTTTTTCCCCTTGTTCCAGGCCTGTCCAACGTAATGTCCCCATGTAGCACCGAAGCCAGGTTACTCAAGGTTTAAAGTCAGGCCTATAGTTTATTGCAGCAACGCGAGATGTCAATGCTGTCACCCCTACAGTGTGCCCTAACTTGATAGTAAAAAAAATAGAAATCTTCATTTGACTAAATTTTGTGATGGAACGTTTTTTCTTTTTTTTTTTTGCGGAAATTCGAAGTATTATTCTGTTTTACATAAACAGGGTTGTAATTTGGACCAACGCAAATAATTTTGAATGTTCATCCGTCTGATTTTTTTTTAAACGGTGTATGGGTATTTCCAACTATTTTTGCTGTAGCGAGAAAACTACACGTTCAAAAAATTTGAAAAAAATATATGTCGCGTAGAATTGCAATAGTAGTTCGTAATAAAAATAACGGGAAATTTCATCCATTTGTTTTGAAATAAATGGTAAAAAACCACTTTTTTTCAGTTTTTGCGATATAACTCAAAAATGGCGAGTCAAATTTGCTTTAAAAAATTATGAATTGAAATATATCATTAACCATAGAACAAATATTTTTTTTTTGGAATTTTTGAACGCAAGGTTCAGAAAATAGGGGTTGACTTTAAACCTTAAGATGGCGATTCACTACCAACATTTTGAAAAGCAGCCATATATTGCAGCCAAAAAAATAACAGCTGCAGAAACTGCTCAAGATTTTATAAAACAATGAATAAATAAAATCATTTCTCTGTAACCATCACTATTATGTTTATTCCCTTAGACAACAATATGTTATTATAATACACTAAAACTTATATTTTACATTATGTATAGTTGATAAAATTTCAATATAACAATCACAAAGTCACAAGTAGAGTTCTGGAACTTTGCCCCCCAAAAAATTGACCCGAAAACTCTACCACCTTTTTGCTGTATCCTCCATCTGCCTCATTTTTTCTGAAAACAAAAAAATTACATCTTAATAACTAGAAAGTGCCTGAAGGAGATTCTTGAAGATTCAAAAAATAAATAATGCAAAAATAAGTCCACACACAAAAGAAAATGAAAATTCTTTACCTGACACCCAACCAAAAAGAAGCGACCATGCCTTTTATTTATCCTTAATCATGTAAGAAGCAACCTCTCTGGAAAGTGAGCTTGTTGAACTCCATCTAGATATCTACCATAACCACAACAAATGCGTGAGAAGCAATAGTAAAAAGGGGTGATAAAATAATTTTGATATAAATATGTAATCACAATGAAACCATGCGACATGCATAAAGCAAAACACTCACTCTTGAATTCTTACTCTTAGTTGTTACTCAGGAAAGTTGATTAGCTTTCTTCCGCTAAACGTACCCATAAAATTAGCATTTTCTTTAAAAATTTAGGAACAAGTATTCACCTGCGGTTCTCCAATTTGTACAGGTGCCCCACCCGGCGTCAAAAAGTCCAAGGAAGCGTTCGCGTTGGCCATAGGTTGAGGTATGAAAAAGTTCATTTGAGTCGGAGCCACCATTGGTACGTTTTCAGGAGGCGGTATTCCTTCCATATTCGATTTTACGCCGTTTTGTTTGAAGACGTCTACATAGGCATTTTTCACATCTAAATATTACCAAATTAGAAAGATTTCAAGCCGGCAAACAATGACAAACTTACTCCTATTTTTCTGCATCTTGAACATATTAGACTGCATAGGTTTTAACGGAGCAACTACATCCTCTCCAGAAATTACAGGCAGCGACATTGGGCCTGTAGCCATATTCCGTTGATCTACATTAAATGGCGCATTATTAACTGGTAGACTAGTTTTAAAATTGGCCAAACTACTATAATCCATGCTGTTATTTGGTGCAAAACTATAATCCAAACCACTACTAATGCTACCTGTTGGTATTTGAGTTTTGGGCATCAAATCTGCCATTTTGGGCGGCGGTTTGAATTCGTTAACAGGATCGTTGGGATCTTCGTCCATGTTGGTCCATTTCTTTTTTGTTTCATCCCACACAATCTAAGAATTAATCACTAAAATGAATTAAATCAAAAACTAATTCTAGTTACCTTAGGATTTTTATCTTCAGGCAATTTCATCTGATTCTTGGGTCTCATCGACAACTTACTAAAAATACCACCAAACCAACCAGTAGTCTGAGTACTTTCCTGTTTAGGCGATTGAGGCTTGGATTTTGAAGTTTCCTGTTTGTTATTTTGTTGTTCTTGAGGCAGAGGCTCGCCTTTAGGCTGATTGGGCATCGAGATTTGGGGCACTAGAGGTTCCTAAAATCAATGCGAAAAACGAGAACAAATTACTCGAGATGTGCAAAGGCAAAATAAAAAAAAAGTGCGGTCAAAAGAAAGAAAATTGAAGCAATTTGGGAATTGTGATCAAGAATTCATTGTCCACTTTTCTTTGTGTTTTTTTTTTATAAAATTTGTGAATGTGAAGGGTTCTTGATCACAATTTCCAAATTAAGAGGACATACACATAAAGGAAGAAGTTTGCAGAGCATAGAAATTACAAACATTAGGACAAGCACAGAATATTATTTTATTCTAAAGTAAACGAAATATGTATTAAATCTTGAATGAAATAAAAACGATTTGTCTGTATATTTTTATTATCACTTTATTTTATAACAGTAAACATACAAGCTTCAAAAAATGCATGCTCAAAAATAATTACAAAATAGCACATTTTTCATTGATATATTCTCGCTATAGCGAAATACTGTGCAAAGATAATGCATAGTATTTTGCTGGTTATTAACTAGTTTCTAATTAATCTAGAATAATATTGAACAGTCTCTGTAAATAATTTTTTGTGGACAACTACAAAACAGTAACAAAAGAAGGAACATTAGTTTTTTGACTCAAATATCATTATTGTTGTTTGAATGAATTTATAAAAAAATCCTATGTCTGACCCCAACTTCATAACAAATTTATTTTTCTAATCTATTTATATTCTTCTCAACATTGAGATTGAGAACTGGTTAGGGTTTTTTTACAGTATTTCAGCAAGGCTTATATTTGAGTGATAATGGACCAATTAAAATCAATAAATAATACTAAAGTATGTCTCAGAAATGTTAGAATATGCAAAAAATTAGATTTTTTTTTTCTCACTATAAACTTGATATTATAATAGTTTAAAAAGGTTTTGCTGCAATGCCGGAAATAAAACCTTCGCCACCTCTTAGATTATTGTAACATTAACAACAATTTATAACTATCCATATAAAATATGCTGAGTCCTTGTAACTTCAGTAGCAGATTGTCATGAACAAAATAATATGCGACTGAAATTCGAGGAATCTTTTTTTTGACATTACATAGTAGTTACTTTCAAGTTTACACAAATCTACACTATTCTATAAGAACTACATACAATTCTGGATGTTGGAATCTTAAAACTTACAACAGAATTTTTCGATATAACAGTGGCTTAGTTCGGCAATAACGACCCTAATTTTTCTTTACAACAACGAACTTGGAACTAATGTTGTGACTGTATTATGCACATTGTATATTAACTATCATTGTCCAAAGCTGTTTCTAAAACTATAAATTGTACGACAAGCCTAATCTAAATTATTATTGTTCAAAAAAGGCGGTAAATATATTCGATTTATTTTTGTTAATATAAAACAAGTAACAAAATTTAGCAGCAAATTTCTTAAATTATTTAAATCACATTTCCAAGAGATTTCTGAATGACACATGGCTGGTAATAATAGAATTAAGTATAAAGAGCATATGCTCTAATAACACATTGCATGCCGCGTCGACCATAACTGCCCTACAGTGATGTTTTCATTCAGACCACGTCGGACATACAGGGTGATAATTCAAAAAGTAGCAATATTTTTGTAACAACACTAGATTTGTTGTAGCAACAAGTCGTTTGGGGAAAGATTCAAATTAATTATTTTTGTAGCAACACTTCATTTGTGTAGCGGCACAAGATCATAATATGTAGCAACACCAAGGGAAAAAATGTAGCAACACGTCTTGAGTAAAAGTGTAGCAACACTCGTTTTGTGGAGCAACAAGTCATTTGTGGGATAGTTTTTGCTCAGGGCAAAAGTTTGTTGAATTTCTTATGTAGCAACACGAAAAAAAAGTGTAGCAACACAGTCGTTGGGAGTAGTTTTTAGTAGGTTTAGAGCAAAATTTCAATGAACTTATGTAGCAACATGAACGAAAGTGTAGCAACAAGTCGTTTTGGGGGTAGTTTTTTTAGTGGGTTTTTAAGATGACTTTTAATGTAGCGACACTTGTCATATGAAAATTTATTGAATTCGTTTGTAGCAACATTTGGTAAATAAAATTAGTTTCTCGTCGGGTTTGGAATTCGAATTTTACATTTTCCCGGCTTTTGATTGGTTTGGAAATTTGAATTTTGATTATTCCCGGCTTTTGATTGGCTTATTTTTGAATTTTCCCGGCTTTTGATTGGTTTAGGAATTCAATTTTTAATCATTTCCGGGCCTTGATTGGCTTAGAAATTCAAATTTTGAATATTCTCGGCTCTTGATTGGCTTCCAAAGTTAATTTTTTAATTTTCCCAGCTCTTGACTGGGTTTAAAATTCAAATTTTAAACATTCCCGGCTCATGGTTGGTTTGGAAACTGCATTTTTGATTATTCCCGGCTCTTGATTGGCTTCAAATTTTGAATATTCCCGGCTCTTGATTGGTTTGAAAATTCAAATTTCAAATATTCCCGGCTCTTGATTCGCTTCCAAAGTCAATTTTTGAATTTTCCCGGCTCTTGATTAGGTTTAAAATTCAAATTTTGATTATTCCTGGCTCTTGATTGGCTCTGAAATTCAAATTTTGAATATTCCCGGCTATTGATTAACTTCCAAAATCAATTTTTGAATTTTCCCGACTTTTGATTGGCTTAGAAATTCAAATTTTGAATATTCCTGGCTCTTGATTGGTTCTGAAATTCAAATTTTGAATATTCCCGGCTCATGATTGGTTTAAAAATTGAATTTTTGATTATTCCGGCTTTTGATTGGCTTCAAATTTGGAATATTTCCGACTCTTGATTGGATTAGAAATTCAAATTTAGAATATTCCCGGCTCTTGATTGGCTAAGAAATTCAAATTTTAAACCCGATCAAGAGCCGAGAATAATTAAAATTTGAATTTAAATCCCAATCAATACCCGGGAAAATTCAAAAATTGACTTTGGAAGCCAATCAAGAACTGGGAATATTTAAAATTTGAATTTCTAAGCCAATCAAGAACCGAGAATATTCAAAATATAAAGCCAATCAAGAGCTGAGAAAATTCAAAAAATTACTTTGGAAGCCAATCAAGAGCCGGGAATAATCAAAATTTGAATTTCTAAGCCAATCAAGAGCCAGGAATAATCAAAGTTTGAATTTTAAACTCAATCAGGATCTAAGAAAATTCAAAAATTGACTTTGGAATCCAATCATGAGCCAGGAATATTCAAAATTTGAATTTTTAAGCCAATCAAGAGCCAGAAATATTCAGAATTTGAATTTTAAACCCAATCAGGAGCCGGGAAAATTCAAAAATTGAATTTTAGAGCCAATCAAAAGAGCCGGGAATAATCAAAATTTGAATTTTTAAGCCAACCAAAAGCCGGGAATAATCAAAAATTCAATTTCTAAACCAATCATGAGCAAGGATTATTGAAAATTTGAATTTCAGAGCCAAGAATAATCAGAATTTGAATTTTAAGCCCAATCAAAAGTGGGGAAAATTCAAAAATTGTTTTTGAAAGCCAATCAAGAGCTAGGGATATTTAAAATTTAAATTTCTAAGCCAATCAAAGGCCGAGAATATTTAAAATTTGAAGCCAATCAAGAGCCAGGAATAATATAAAAATCAATTTCTAAACCAATCATGAGTTGGGAATATTCAAAATTTGAATTCCAGAGCTAATCAAGGGCTAGGAGTAATCAAAATTTGAATTTTAAATCCAATCAAGAGCCGGGAAAATTAAAAAACTGACTTTGGAAATCAATCAAGAGCCAGGAATATTCAAAATTTGAATTTCAGATTCAATCAAAATAATTAAAATTTGAATTTTAAACCCAATCAAGAGCCGGAAAAATTCAAAAAATTGATTTTGGAAGCCAATCAAGAGCCAGAAATATTTAAAATCTGAATTTCTAAGCCAATCAAGAGCCGGGAATATTCAAAATTTGAAGCTAATCATGAGCAGGGAATAATCGAAAATTCAATTTTTGAACCAATCATGAGGCGAGAATATTCAAAATTTGAATTTCAGGGCCAATCAAGAGTCAAGAATAATCAAAATTTGAATTCTAAACCCAATCAAGAGCAGGGAAATTTTGAAATTCGAAGCCAATCAAGGAGCCGGGAATAATCAAAAATTGAATTTCTAAACCAATCAAGAGCCAGGAATGATCAAAAATTCGATTTTTAACCCAATTAAAAGCCAGGAATGATTAAAAATTGAATTTTAAACCCAATCAAGAATTGGGAGAATTTAAAAAATCTATTTTTAAACCAATCAAGAGCCGACAGTACGATGTTCTATTTTGGACAAAAGCCTAAAATTGGACGTCCTTTTGACGACACATCAAAAGTGGGGAAAATTCAAAAATTGTTTTTGAAAGCCAATCAAGTGCTGGGAATATTTAAAATCTGAATTTCTAAACCAATCAAGGGCCGGGAATATTTAAAATTTGAAGCCAATCAAGAGCCAGGAATAATATAAAAATCAATTTCTAAACCAATCATGAGTTGGGAATATTCAAAATTTGAATTCCTGAGCTAATCAAGAGCCGAAAATAATCAAAAATTCAATTTCTAAACCAATCATGAACCAGGAATATTCAAAATTTGAATTTCAGATTCAATCAAAATAATTAAAATTTGAATTTTAAACCCAATCAAGAGCCGGAAAAATTCAAAAAATTGATTTTGGAAGCCAATCAAGAGCCAAAAATATTTAAAATCTGAATTTCTAAGCCAATCAAGAGCCGGGAATATTCAAAATTTGAAGCTAATCATGAGCCGGGAATAATCGAAAATTCAATTTTTGAACCAATCATGAGTCGAGAATATTCAAAATTTGAATTTCAGGGCCAATCAAGAGTCAAGAATAATCAAAATTTGAATTCTAAACCCAATCAAGAGCAGGGAAATTTTGAAATTCGAAGCCAATCAAGGAGCCGGGAATAATCAAAAATTGAATTTCTAAACCAATCAAGAGCCAGGAATGATGAAATATTCGATTTTTAACCCAATTAAAAGCCAGGAATGATTAATAATTGAATTTTAAACCCAATCAAGAATTGGGAGAATTTAAAAAATCTATTTCTAAACCAATCAAGAGCCGACAGTACGATGTTCTATTTTGGACAAAAGCCTAAAATTGGACGTCCTTTTGACGACACATCAAAAGTGGGGAAAATTCAAAAATTGTTTTTGAAAGCCAATCAAGTGCTGGGAATATTTAAAATCTGAATTTCTAAACCAATCAAGGGCCGGGAATATTTAAAATTTGAAGCCAATCAAGAGCCAGGAATAATATAAAAATCAATTTCTAAACCAATCATGAGTTGGGAATATTCAAAATTTGAATTCCTGAGCTAATCAAGAGCCGAAAATAATCAAAAATTCAATTTCTAAACCAATCATGAACCAGGAATATTCAAAATTTGAATTACAGATTCAATCAAAATAATTAAAATTTGAATTTTAAACCCAATCAAGAGCCAGAAAAATTCAAAAAATTGATTTTGGAAGCTAATCAAGAGCCAAAAATATTTAAAATCTGAATTTCTAAGCCAATCAAGAGCCGGGAATATTCAAAATTTGAAGCTAATCATGAGCCGGGAATAATCGAAAATTCAATTTTTGAACCAATCATGAGTCGAGAATATTCAAAATTTGAATTTCAGGGCCAATCAAGAGTCAAGAATAATCAAAATTTGAATTCTAAACCCAATCAAGAGCAGGGAAATTTTGAAATTCGAAGCCAATCAAGGAGCCGGGAATAATCAAAAATTGAATTTCTAAACCAATCAAGAGCCAGGAATGATCAAAAATTCGATTTTTAACCCAATTAAAAGCCAGGAATGATTAAAAATTGAATTTTAAACCCAACCAAGAGTTGGGAAAATTTAAAAAATCTATTTTTAAACCAATCAAGAGCCGGGAAAATTTTAAAATTGAATTCCTAAATTCAATCAAAAGCTGGGAAAATTCAAAAATAAGCTAATCAAGAGCCGGGTATAAGCAAAAATTCAATTTTTTAACCAATCATGAGCCGGGAATATTCGAAATTTGAATTTCAGAGCCAATCAAAAGCCAAGAATAATCAAAATTTGAATTATTCTCATCTTCTCTTACGTTGCGTTTTCAGTAATATATTTGACGCAAATGAATCTAATGTGTGTATGCTTAGGACTTATGTTACGTCTTTAAGGTTACGTTACGTCCATTGTAAAATGGGCTTTAGTTATCAGGATTTCAACTTTGACGTTTAATATCCCGAAAACTTCACAAGTAACAAAACCCAATTGCAGGGCTTATAGAGAATTTAATACACTTTCCAATGATGTATAATTGTAACCAGGTTTTCCAAATTTCATTGAAGATCTGAGCAATTATTCATGAGCATGTCAAGATTTCAAAAAATTTCAAGAGCCAAAAATGGGATTTCTTTTTGGATTTTTTTTTCTCATAGAAATTTTCAAATGTAACTTATGTGAGAGTTGTTTTTGACTAATTTGGACTCGCTCTATCGATTTAAAAAGTCAGAATTGGGAAAAATCCAAAAATAAAAATTTTCAGTTTTTGGTACTTTTTTCTAAGGTAGGTACCTACCCCTTTTGAATTTTAACTTGCAAATCTTCAAACCTAAATATCTCGGTAACCAAAAGCGGTACCGGGACAAAATTATCTTCAATTGTAGCTGTCAATAAAAGCTTCAAAATGGTGGTTCGCTGAAATCGCTAGCATTTACGGTTTTTGATAAAATCGAGTTTAAAGTTTTGGGCAAAATGTCGGCTTAATTTCAATTTTGAAGATCAATATCTCAGAAACTTCACAAGTGATAGTAACTAATTTTGCCCGGCTTATAGAGAATTTAATACTCTTTTTAATGATGCATAATGGTAGGCTATTTTTTCAAATATCATGAAAGATATGAGCAATTATTCATGAGCATGTCAAGATTCCAAAAAATGTCCAGAGCCAAAAATTAGATTTCCTTTTTGGATTTTTTTTCTCGAAATTTTTAAATGTAACTGATGTTAGAGTTGTTTCTGACTAATTTGGATTCGCTCTATAGATTTAAGACGTCGAAAAAAACAACTTAAGACGGCAAAAAGCCCAACTTAAAACGTCAAAAAGACTTCCAAGATTGGTGAATAATTCAAGGTTTATACTTCAAATGAAATTACCAAAATATAGATATTGATATTAGGTACCTAAGTACTGATAACAGATACCAACACTAAATTGTCAATATTTGAAACAACTTTTAAGAAACCGATGTGACATTATAAGGAAGGACGTTAGTGGGACGTCGTTAAGACTGTCATCGGCTAGACGTCCAAAACATTATTCAGTACGACGTTCTATTTGGGACAAAAGTCTAAAACTGGACATCCTTTTGACGACACATTGGTCATTGTGGTAAGCTGGGGTGTCTCCAAACAGTGAAAAAGATACTTAAGTCTACTTATCTGCTCAATTTTTCCTAAATTTCTGCTTTCCAATTCTCAAATTTTTCTGTCGAAATATTTTTCTATTCCCGGCTCTTGAATTGTTTTCTTCGGAATACCTCCAAACGCAATCTTTCCGCTCTAAACTATCTGCCAAAGCTTAAGCTTTTACTTTATATCAGAGAATACCTAGGCAATCTACACGTGGCATGCAATGTGTTGAAAATAATGAAAATAGTTCAGGTTTTACTGGTTAAATTGGTGAGTAGGGACTTTGATGAAAGGGTAGAAAGCCCTATCGCTATTGTATGGAGATATTTGCCAAATATACAAAATTATTGCTCAAAACTGAACTAGAAATAAGAGCATATGCTCTGATACAAATTTCATCCCATCCAAAGACTAAAATGTGTTTTTCAGATTTTTGCAAATAAAAAAATAGAGAACCAATTTGCACCAATAATTAATATTTTATCACAAACAAACAAATTTATATCGGTTGATCAATATCAAATGTCCTAGCAGGTCCGTACTCTCTCAATTTCAACGTCGAACAATTCGCCATCACTTTCTTGCTACTCTCGGAATTAGTTTTTTTCTTCGGACCGATTGGTAAGTCGATAGGATACGTCCCGCCAAAAATTAGAGGTTTATAAATAGCTTTTTGTGACGCTTTATCGGTTTTATGAAAAATGCTGTTTTTTAGATTATTGAAAACGCCTTTGGAGTGTTTTCTGGACCAAGCGTCCACTGCACTTGGTAGAACATCCCTGGATTTTGTTAAATTGAAATCTTCCGCTGATATGCTGACTTTACCTTTATTAGCCACATACTTAACTGTAGTACTTTTAAATTCTGGTATATCAAGTGACTTAAACTTCATTAGCTTCCCTTTACGCTCAGAAAAAGTATTATAATTATCATTGGAAACCATTTCATGTTTTAAAAGCAACAATTTTTCTTCTGAAATCGATTTAGCATTCTTTTTTCTGTGAAACAATACTTCAGCTTCGCTATCTGAACTCTCCTTAGAAGACATCCTTTCGAAAGTGCTATCGCGATAAAGAGGCGTGGACAAGCGATTATCTGTTTCTAATTTGAACGGTTGCATTTCTAACGCTTCGTCATGCAGCAGTAGATTAGATGAGATTGTAAGAGAACGAGAAGTACAATGATGGTGATTGGGACTTTTGTGCGAATCACCACGTTTCAAAGCCGAACGCTTGCGCAAAGTAACTGTCGTGGGTGGCAAGGCATACGAGGAGGCGGCAGTATTTTTCAAGTTAGTACTTACTTCGGGCTGTTGATCTTTTTCTACTTTCGGCTGCGTCCGGAATTGGGGCATCACAGAAAATAATTTTCAATTAGAAATTGGATTGGGAATTTGTGATAAAATAAAGTCTTGTTTTCAAGATTCGTTTTACACAATTTGCAATTATATGTTTTGCAAAGAGTGTATATAGGCTTAAAAGCTTATGTAAATCAACCTTAAGATAGAAAAAAATCTCTTTTTCACACCAAGCAGCAAGTTCAAATTAAAACAAGATTATTTTATCACAAAATAGAAACAGTTTTTCAATGTTCAAAATAAGTCAAATTTGTTTAGCCCTAGCTTAAGAATCAGAGCTTACTTTGAGCATCTGACATCATAAGTACCCCTTCACCAAGACAGAAATTTTATGATTAATCTAGCTGTATACATATAAATGTCATGGCTCTCTAACGACAATTGTCGGTATGTTAAACTGCATATAAAATATAAACAAGGCACATTTCATTAAAAAAAAACTGTGTTTATCAAGAGCCAAAGAACAGTCAGAAATAAATGTAAAACTAAACTTTAAAGTTCTTTCTTAGGATTTTTGCCTGATTAAATCCCAACTTAAAAACATCACAAACTTACCTCTGTTTGACTAATTGTATTATCATAATAACCAGTCTGTGTATCTTGCTGATTAGCAACACTTTCTTGACTGTATTGGTTGATTTGCTCGCCCCAAGGTTGCGCTTGTTGTTGTCCTGCCCAATAATTTGCCTGATCCTGATATTGATTTAACACTAAAAAAAAAACATGTAAAAATGTGGTAGTTTTTAAAAAATCCACTCACTATTGTTTGACTGGGTTTGGTTCTCTGGATACCCTATAGTGGGTTGCTCAGGAGTCCAAATTTGCTCTTGCTGATTGTACTGTTCAAACTGCCTCTGTTGCTCCTGGTCGTATTGTTGCTGCTCTTGCTCCCACGCATCGTTGCCTTGATTATAGGGCGATTGTTGCAGCGTATTGTCTGTTGTTAAGGTTTGGTGCAGATCTTGATTGGTACCATAACCAAAAACATCTCTAGTAATTTTGCCAGACTAGAATCAAAAAAATTAAAAATTACAATCTATTTTTAGAGGCCACTAACAATAATTGTATTTTCGATTAGCTTTTAAAAGTTGGATTCAAGTCAATAAAGCAGTGTTGGAGATAAAAAAATATATATTTGCCGACGTTTCGACCTAAATTAGATCAACCTCAGGGCACTAAAAATTGATCACTTTTCAGAGCAGAAACGTTAGCCAATCATACTTTAGAGGTATATTGTTGAAAAGGGAATAAAGAGCGCTTTCTAAAAATGACATATAAAAATCTAAGTCCGTATTTAAAAATTGAAAATGCCATGTTGTAGAGCCAAAAAAATTATAAAACTTCCAAATTTATATTGTGTCTTGAGAATCAATAGTTTTCGAAATAATTGATAAAATATTCTTAGGCGTTTCTTAGAAATCACTCTGTATTTCATAAACTACAAGAAATTTGGCAACAATGTAAACGAGTTTTGAATGGGCATCAAAAAAGTCAACTTTTTTTAATTTAACCGAGCTTGTAGCTCTTACCGTTTCGAATATAGCAATAGTGGTATCACCTAAAATATACAACCTGTATAGGCCAAACAGCAACATATTTAAAAACGAAGAATGTCTGAACACAAACGGAGTATCGGACCTGCCAATATTTTGAATACAAATAATAAAACGGCATTAGTGGAACATATTGAAGTTGAACAACATAACTTTTTGACAATGTTGCTATTTTGGGAAAGCAAAAGGATATCAAAAAGTTTAACATAACTAGCCAACATTGGTAAATTTGCATCAAACTCTTTTCCGACAATAAAATTTTTGAGGTTTGAGTTGAGATGCTCTTCGTGGGATTCCAATATGCTGGTTATTTCTTGTTGAAACGCCAAAACTGTTTCTTTGGAGAGGAGATTTTCGGAGGCTGATGATTTCATCAGTACTTGTTCCAGTATTATTTTTATACGGACTCAAAATAGTATATTGTGCAACAAGTGTTGAAAATACTCGTGCGGTTTGTGCCACTCGCCTGCGGCTCGTGTCACCAAACTTCCCCACGCATGCAAAAAGTGCTTTTCACACGCGTTACACACTATACTTTTTCTACGACTGCGAAATAACTATATCCACATTGAGATTTAATTTTTTTTTGTTAAAAATTATTATTTAAGGTTATAATCAATGAACTATTTTGGTACGCACGTTGAATACACTCAGAGTTATTTGCAAAACAAAAATTCAGTAGAGAAGTGTGAAAAGTTACTTTTCGCACGCTGTGCGGAATAATTGATTTTCTAGGTAGGTTAGTAGTGCGTTTTTAATAGCTTTCTAGAGCAGTCGTAGAAAAAATCCTTTTATGGCGTCGTCAGAAGTGAAATTTGTTATGAAAAGATAGGGTGGATCCCACGGTACCACTCTAGACGGTGTCAAAGTTCGAGCAAGTTCACTGTGGTACCCAAACTTGTCTGAGACAACCAGCGCGTTGTTTGACTTCTATGCAGCCTGTAGTTGAGAGGATTTTGGTTAACGAGTCCCAATTTCTGCCTCTTTCAAACACAAGTGGCCAATATCGTGCATCATCCACTGCTACTTCAGTCAGCAAATTAATATCTGGTATAAGTCCTGGTGCCTTGATTGAAGTTTTTGCCCCATTTAATTCAACAACTCTTAGTTTGGCATAACAAATATCATCATAAATCACTTCACACAACCCCTAGGACATATAGATGTCTAAATGCTTGTAGGTGGTACCTATTATCATTACTATCAGTAGGAAATTTAGGATAAAAGGCACAAATCAAAGCAGCTATACTAGCAAGCGAGTTGCTTAATGTATACCTGCCTCCTAGAAATAGCAGACCTAGGGCCATGTGAATTGCTAAATGCGAACCGTATGTCACTATGAAATACCTACTCTACAACGTAAATGACGAATCAGCCTCATTATTTCAAGATTACCCGTACCGGCCATAACCATTGAAGCACTTATTAATATAACATTGAGACAAGTTTCTATTGTCGCTTTGCCGGCTAATTCGACAATCGACTTGTCAGTTAGTGAGGTTAACATATTACAGAAAATCAGTAAAGTTTCGAAAGCTTCTGGATAGGCAGAACCTGCAAATTTCAGACCTAAAGCGAAGAAGCAAGCTTCTGTGATGATATTACAGTAGGCTTGATGCATAGCCTCATAGTCTATATCAGCTTCGTTGTAGGCGTTACTAAGCAATAAGGAAGAATAGTTGAGGGTACTTGACGGACTACCCATTCTTTAATTGGTTCAATACTGTTCCATAGAATTAGAGATCTGCACAATATCCTCATAATCAAAAAATCTGGCCTAAAAAAATCCAACAAATATTGAGATTATGGGGGCGCCATCCAATCGGACACAGCCTTATTACCAGTTCCTAAATACACCAAACCCAGAGCCAGGGTAGCTCCGGGGGCGATAACGTCCAAATTGACCGAAGACCCTTCCCGAATTTAAAAGGAGGTTGTTTTGTACTTGTCCCTCTGAGATCCAGTTAGGGGTCGCTTGTTGGAGCCAACCATATAGTAAAGTAGAGTGTCCGGTACGTTGAGATCATTCCGGTCGATTGGTTGCCGTATCTGAGCATTACCAAACCCAAACCTAAACTGGCTGCTAGTGAATAGGATTCGCGATCTACGCTGTATTCCATTTCTGGGCCTGGTGAACGACCGATTTCAGATAATAAAACCTCTGCCATGTGCCTATGCGCACTACGCTGATACAATAAACCCACCCCCAGTAATCCTGTAACTTGTTGATTTTGAGAAACGTCCAATTCCATAGAAGTAGGTGGCAACAATGCCTCAACGTGTTTTGCCAGAATTTTGGTAAGATGTTGGTGACAGATTCCTCTGAAAGCTGCTCAAAGACCTAATAACATTCCAACGCTTGTCATTTGATGTGCTCTTCCTATATACTCAAAAGTATTTATTACAGCCAAATTTTTCAAGTGACCATTCAAACCTAAAGCCATTAAAAAAAACGGCATGCTCCATTTGAGGTTCAGCTCCAATAATCCAAGTGTTATCAATGTTCTGTGTATCTGGAGTCACTCTAAGTCCATTGGCGACTCCGTTATGAAACAAGGGCCACAAATCCATATTGGATGGCGTGTCTATGTCATTCAGTTCCACTGTATTGCCTCTAGGAAGCGCTTTACTGATTACAAAACTGGTGCAGCTAGAGGCTCCGTTATTATTGGGGTTACTGTAGGTAATGTCATCATACCTCTATTTCATTTATTGATCATACAAGGTTTGATTCACAATAAGTTGTAACAATTAACTCTTAATTAAATTCACATTAAACAAGATTCATTTTGTAGTACCTAGATGTTTTAAACATCTGTATGTGCACTAGATGTACCCAATATTTTTAATTTAATGTTAGGGATATTTTTAAAGAGAATCAAAAATCGAAAAAAAAAAAAACATGAACACAAACGATTCACAACCCCTTTCTTTAAGAAGAAAAACAACAAGGAAAGTAACAAAATGAATAATTAACAAAAACCCCGTTATCACCCATTTAACTCTAATGCCAAATTAAACCTAATTTAAATTAATCCTAAATTAAACCTAAATTTAAATTAAGCCTCAATAAAACAACCCTTCAAATTAACGGTGATTTCGCAAAACTGTCTCTTTGCTTAAGCCGGCTACACACGGTCCGACAGGCCTATCAGTTCGAACTGAACAGTTTACCTGAAGACCGGTCGCCGTGGTAGAAGTGAAACTTCTCAAAAACAATCCCCCCTCATACAACTTTTAGGGGGGGGGGGAACTAGGGAACGCAGATCTGTAGCGACGTCACAAGGGTAACGGCGCTTGACAGTAGACGTGTATAGTATAGTATAACAAAAGGGAGACGAGCATCTATAGTGACGTCACAATAATATCACACTTGTTAATAATAGGCAATCCTCTTTGCGCTTATAATCCTTGGTTTGTGTTAATGGGTCTGTTGCCACAGAAATCACAAACCAGTCAGAGTGAATTTCATTGGTTGAAAATAGTCAGAAAACTGGTTGCTGGCAATTTGGACCAATCAAAAACGCTCTAACTGGTTTGTGATTTCTGTGGAAACAGACCTAAAAACGGCGCTTGTCAATAATAGGCAATCCTCTTTGGTTTGTGTTAATCAATAGCTGTATTTCTCCGTCTTTTCACGTTATATCTTTCTTCTCTCTCGAGTAACGAAATTTCCTCGTGACGCGTTTTTCAAATCACTCTCCAGTGTCATCCAAATATCATAACGCCACCTAAGAAGTTTCACTTCAAAAATCGATTTCCTTCCATTTTCCATTTCTCTACCAATTTCATATATGCCACTTCTTTCTTTACGTTTTCGATTTGACTTTTGCTGATACGATTTGCTCACTAGTCACTACTGAACTATCTGAACTGCTGATCACAGGATAGCCGACGGTCCCGACACTCGACCGTGCCATACAAATGTTCAGACTTGCCTTTGAGTACGTCAAGCCGACCGGATGAACGAACATATTTCTGATTTTTCTCCGGCCGCCTGAATAGTCTCAGCTAACAGATCGACCGGAATATATGCACGATCAGGCGACCGATCTTCAGTAGGACTGATCAGATCGAAATGACAGGCCTGCCGGACCATGTGTAGCCGGCTTTAGAGTTCTGAAAGATTTGAAATTTCCACATTGTCTTATGGAAGAAGGCAATAAATTGTAAATTTTTGGTCCTGAATAATTCATATAGTTTAGATTTAGATTGTTATTGCTCACTGGTAGTTGTAAACTATTTTTTGCTCTGGTACGAGTGTTATGCTTATGGTCAACAAAATGCTGCAGTCCAGGGTGTGAATGCTGTCAATATACAGGGTGTCCACTTAGTGCGATATCGGACGATATCTCCTTACAGGGTGATGCAGGAAAAAAAAAATTAAATTACAAAGTTGTTTGATACTCTAATATCCATAAGTTAAAAATATTTTTGAATATACAGGGTGCTCCGTTCATAGGGTATGCGACAGAAATTTGTTTTTTTATATGGAACACCCTGTATGTGATTGCAAATTTGGATTCTACGTAAAATTTTGAGCAGATTTTATGTGATATACCCTATACCTAAGTTCAACTGTTTTGGAAATATTGATAGTTGAAAATGGACTTTTTCCAACTTTGACAGGCTGTAAAACCTAAACAGTTAATTTTAGACGAAAACTGTGTTTACATTCCTATCTTAGAATTTCATAAACTATTTATTTATTTATTTATTTATTTAGCAATAACATCTATAAAATATAATTCTGTTTCCTTAAGATTTAGGTTAATATCCTTATTAATTAATGATTAAATAATTTAATAGGAACATTGCTATTGCTAAAGATAGCAGCGCACTATAACATCTGTAATGTTGTGTGTGCGCTCTTTTTTCTGTATACAATAATTAAATATTTAAATACTTACAAGATTTCTAACTTTTATGCCAATTCTAATTATGCGGATTATGCACTCCAAAATTCAATTCGGAAAAAAATAAAAAGAGATAAAACCAATATGAACAACCAAGGAATCAGTCTGATGCATGCATATTGCAGATCAAATTTAAATCAGACTAACCAGTTAACAGTGAAATTTGTTTCACGTATCCACTGAGAGATGTCTCTCTTTACTCTGTGATATGGCCCTTTTCGGAAAGCATGCGGTAGGCAGTTATAAGTTTTGGGCCCTATACAAAAGATATGTTTTTGGCACAATGTGTGTTTGGGGTTTTGTTGGATGACATTCTTGTCTGCAGCATTTCGGGTGTACACACCATGCTGAATACTTTCTTTATAGTAGGGAAACTTTAGCATAAACCTTATCACTGACTTTATATACAGTTGATTTGGAGACATCAACTCACTCTCTTTATAAACTAGGTCAGTGGGGTATCTTTTTTCTTTATTCAGCATTGTTTTAATGATCCATTTTTGAGCTACTTGAATTTTCGATAGAATTGACGTACCTGCACCACCCCATACCACTATGCCGTAACTCAGAACTGCCTCCACTAGCGCAAAGTAAATTATTTTCAATGTTTTCAGATTTAGAATGTTTCTTAATTCATAGAACCTAAATGCTAGTTTTCTTATTTTCTTTGCGACATAGTCGGCATGTACTCTCCATGTGAAGTTTTGATCAATGAAGATTCCTAGATATTTTAAAGAGGATTTTCTCTGTATAATTTGATCACAGTTACAATTTATATCTAAAATACACCTAGAGTAATGCAGTCTTAAACTATGATAATCCGGCAAGGATTTCGATGATAGGGAGAAAGCAACAAATTTGGTCTTATCGACATTTAAAGAAAGTAGACTGCAATTCAGCCATTTTTTTATTTTATGCATGGCTATTTCGGCGCTCTTTTTTGCACTTTCCCAGTCTTCACCCTGAATCACAATGCCTGTGTCATCAGCAAAGCAATATATTTCCCCATCATCAAGAACAGATAGAATGCCATTCATATAAACATTAAATAATAGTGGAGAAAGTACTGTACCCTGCGGCACACCACACACCACCTTCTGTTTTTCACTCAGGTCATCCAATATTCTCACACATTGTTTTCTCCTATTGTTTTCTAGAGTATCAAATAACTTTGATATATAATTTTTTTTGCATCACCCTGTAGGAAGATATGGATTGGAGTCTTCCTACACCATCATCAAATGTTTTCTATTTAAAAACTCTCTTAATAAGTAAAATTTGTGTATAAGTTTCAGTATTCTATTAGATAGATATTCAATTTGAGGTTGCTATTTAACAAACTTGTCAATTATGTTTGTAGCCAATTTCTTATAATTTTGAAACACCTTACTGATTTTTTCCTCACTGTTTCCCAGTCGTCTCCTGATACAACTACCGATGTGTCATCAGCGGAAGATACCACTATTTCCTCCAATAGTAGTTTGAGCAATAAATTAATGTAAGTCAAAAAAAGTATGGGACCCAAGACTGTTCCTTGAAGTATCCCTATTTTAATTTGCTGGTCGTCACTTAACGTATTATTTAATTTCACCCTTTGCAATCTATTTGATAAGTAGTTCTTAAACAGTTTGTGCGCTATCCCACATATTCCGTAATTGTAGAGGACATCAAGCAGTTTGTTATGTGGCACAGTGTCAAAAGCTTTTGCAAGATCTAACAATATGGCCAGACATTTTTTTTTATTTCGTTAGGTTATTAACAACTTCTGTTACCAATTTATTCATTGCATCTGCTGTGCTGGTCTCCTCGAGAAAACCAAACTGGTTGTGGGATAAAATCTTGTTATGTTTCATAAAATCGATGTCTAGTTTTGAGGGATTTCTCTAGAAGTTTTGCAAAATTTGTGATTAAACTTATTGGCCTATAGTGAGTTATATTTTCCTTAGAGTTAAGCCTTATGAATTGGTGTTACAATCGATGTTTTGAACTGGGTCCTTTTTTCAATATCAAATTGAGCAGGTGCAATAGTGGGTTGGTTATTTCTGTATGTGATTCTTTTATAATTTTTGCACTAATGTTATCATGCCCAGGGGAGCTGTTTTTAATCAATTCCTGTTGTGTCACGGGTCTTAGGTATATGGAATTGCTCACGGATGTTTCTGTGTTACAAGGAGTTTGTGGTTGGGGGATGTCTTTTTCTATTTCTATTCCTATATTGATAAAATAATAAATGCAAAAATTGGCCTTAATCCTTTTATAGTTCATTTTGACATATCTAGTTTCCGTTGCATCTTCTAACAAACTTTGGTAAATGTCCAAAAATAAGTTTGTAGCAGATTACTTTCATTTTTTACTCCACACTAATCGAAATCGCGCAATAACTGCTTGAATTTAAATACATTTAACTCTGATTTTAAAACTGTTTCCTGATAATTTTTTCTATTTTGAGAGTCTTTTTCCTGATTTATAAATAGTGCAATCGGATTATGATCAGTTATATCCTCTTTTACAACATAAGATTTGAAATTTAAAGTCTGTTTTTTTTTTTTAAAGATAAAAGTCAAAATGACATTATGTTGGCAATACAATGTAAAATTGTCAATGCCTTCAAATTGTTTATGTAGAAAAGGCTTGTGTTGCCAACATAGTTACTAGATTTTAGACTTGGGGAATTATCTTTAAAAAAAAACACACTTTAGTTTATTTACGTTTAGCTTTTTTTTAACAAAAATATGATCGAGGCAGGTATTAAATGAAATGATTGAAATTAGAAAATACCCCAATAATATCAACAAAAAGCAAGACGTTGAAGCTTTGAGTATGGTATGCCATAATCTCTCAAAAACTGTACAACATCCTATATAGCACCAAATGATAATTTATTGTTTATTATTAATATTCTCTTCGGCTGCATAGCTTTCTTTTTTCTTTTCTTTTTATTCCATCGAATACCAAGCGACAAGCCTAAACCATCAATTTAAGTACAGGGTGGCCCAAATTCGAGCCTCATCATTGGGATCTCGGTAACCGTAAGACATACGGGGTCGGTTAAGTTATGGCAAAGTTGCGCAATTTTATGACCAATAGAATGCCGTTTTGAAACAAGAAAAATTCCGAATACTTCCGGAGATATTCGGAAAAACCGAAATTTTGTAAAATCGTTTCTATTTTTTCCCGGGCTTATTTGAAAAGCAAATTCAAAATAAATGTCACTTCATCATTGTCACTTTTTCCCCTTTAGAAGATGGTGTTACTAAATTTAAAATTCGACGTTTCGTCTTCAGGCGGCCATCCTCAATTTCCTTTTTTTTAATACGGACCTGGATTTTTTATTTGCGATTTTGTCATCTTTGGGCATTCTAAAACCGATACTGTTTATAATTTTTCAATAACACAGTAAAAAAAACAGGTCCGTATTTAAAAAAAAAAAAATTGATGATGATTTTAGAGGAACAAAACGTTGGATTTCAAATTTAATACCGCCATCTTGTAGAGAAGAAAAAGTGACAATGGGAAGTTGATATTAGTTTTTCCAAATCTTTTTTAATGGAATCAGGAAAAAAAATCAAGAAAAACGAGAAATTCATGTTTTTTTCGTATAGTTTTCATTTTTTCCTGATTTTATTTAAAAAGATTGTGAAAAACTAATTTTACATTCCTATTGTCACCTTTTCTTCTCTACAAGATGGCGATATTAAATTTAAAATCCAACATTTCATTCCTCTGGAATCATTATCAATTTATTTTTTTTAAATACGGACCTGCTTTTTTAACTGTGTTATTAAAAAATTATAAACAGTATCGGTTTTAGGATGCCCAAAGATGACAAAATCGCAAATAAAAAAATCCAGGTCCGTATTTTAAAAAAGGAAGTTGAGGATGGCCGCCTGAAGACGAAAAGTCGAATTTTAAATTTAGTAACACCATCTTCTAGAGGGGAAAAAGTGACAATGATGAAGTGACATTTATTTTGAAATTGCTTCTCAAATAAGCCCGGGAAAAAATAAAAACTATTTTACAAAATTTCGGTTTTTTCCGAATATCTCCGGAAGTATTTGGAATCTTTCTTGTTGCAAAACGACATTCTATTGGTCATAAAATTGCGCAACCATGCCATAATTTAACCGACCCCGTATCTCTTACGGTTACCGAGATCCCAATGATGAGGCTCGAATTTGGGCTACCCTGTACATATACATTTCAATAACATTATGCGGTGGACAGCCGAACGATTTGAACTTAAAATCATCCTGTCTTTGTAGATTCAGCTGTTAAATAAATTTTAAAAGTCGAGTCCACAAGTAATATACAATATATGATATTAGATTGTTAACATTTTCCTTACCACCATTTTTATTTGTACACTCACACATCAGTTGTTAAACCATTAAGAATTGTGAATCGTAACTGTTTTTTTTTTCAATGTTTTATTGACCTAAATCCAACTATCAAAAACTAATCGAATCACTAGCCAAAAACAAATAATTGTATTTTACCTGATAATCGTTCTGTATAGCTCTCAAATCCTTCAACCAAGAATTATCAGGCCTGCTAGTTTCAAGTGCCCCACCAAACTCCGACTCATCTTCAGCTTCACCCACAAGATCGTAAAACTTAAGTTTATCAGAAAGCTCATAAACCCCATCCACTAGAGCAGGAGTCACTCCATTCGGATTGGAAATAATCCTCGCTGCTATCAGCTCAAGATATTGAAGAGATCTTTGGAGCAGGCCAAAGTCTGCTAGTCTTGTGGCCAATAAATATTTATAAAACTAAAAAAACAAAATAAGCTGAAATATGTCTAAAAATACAAAACTCTTACCAAAAATTCAGAAATATGAAAACTCTGATCATTTAAACTACAAGCAAATTCATAAATCTCCGTCATATGTACAGCTTCATTGGTAACAAATTGAGGGAAAGGTTTCCTATGGTCAGATCCCAACAGCACCAGTCTTGTACCTGAATCGGTGTGCTTCCCAAATCCTACTTCAGCCATCAGATAGCAAAATTGCGCAGCATATAGGCTGCCTCTAGTCAATAACGTATCACCTAATTGAGTGATTGCTTTGCAATTTAATTCAGGCCTTTGTGTGGAATTTGATAAGATCATGGCCAAATGAGGTCGCCAATCGCCCCATTTTTCGTCAGAGCAACACTTAAAAATAATTCAATTGAATTTATGAAATAAAACTTATAGAATCCTTACAGTTACTACAGCAGGCATTTTTCCAGAAAGCAACTGATAGAGAGTCTGTAAAGGATCGTTCATTGTCAGGCCGTTGGCAAATCGCATCATTACATTAGCGTATGTTCTTTTGTCTAGTTTGCTTGCCAAAAAAAGGGCGTGTCCCCATAAACCAAACTTCATTGCGCATTCTAAACAAAATTTGGTAAAACAAAAATAAAAATAGACACAAATAAACACTCACCAAGTGCTTCCTGGCACGAACCATACAATAAATACTCCCTAAATTTCCTAGTAACCTCTTCTTCTTTCAAAATCGATTGGGTGCTTCCATGTTCAGAAATCTGATGGTTTGAAGCCTCAGAAATTTCATTTTTGCTGCTGGTAGTAGAAAGAACTGATGGAGGCCTTGGGGTAGGTTCAAAATTGCGATTTTTCAAAAGCAACTCTGCAATATCTGCACCAACAACCATCTAAAATTATATAATAAATAATCAAAAATAATTCCAATTATGAAAATCCTTACTCCATTTTGACGTATAAGTAAAATCAATAACTCCCACATCAAAACATAAGATTCATTATCCACAATGTCCCTATTATTGGCAGCTCCTCTAATCTTACCATCACAATACTCTATAATTTGCTTCTTATGGGTTACGCCTTTGATCAGAGGCCCCGGAAATGAACTTAGCTCTATGTAATCAGGCTCGTTTTCCAAAAAGACTTGGAAATCGCACAGTTCTACAACAGCGTTTTGACCGTCCATAGGATAATGGGGTAGGATTCGTACGAATTTTCCAGAGCTAATAGCAGCTTTCATGTGAGCTGTTGCGTACTTGGTGGGTGTCAATCTTTGGGAGGCAGCAACTTGTTCTTCGTATAAGAGAGAGTTTTCAGTTGTGTCTAGAGTTCTGTTGTAACCGATGCTAGAAATTTTCAAAGTAATTATTATTATGTTAGTATGTAGTTAATCTACTTATATACAAAATGGGTCTATTTTAAATGACCCATTTGAATTTTAAGTTAATACACATAAATTATTATGAACAAAAATGTAGTCATTAGCAAGAGAATCAGTGCGAATTTAGATATGAAGTGGATTATAAGCGAAAATTATTATTAGCATGCAATAACTATTTACCTACATTTCCAGCCACCAAAGTAAATATTCACAAAAAAAAAATAGTTCCTGTTTCATTGCATTGGGAATAATAATAATTATTTTCTAGGGATTTATTTACAGATAGGATGTCTACAAAAGTATCTTAAAATATAAACATCAGTGTAGATATCCATAAAGTTTTTGGAATCAGTGCGCCACAAAATTAATAATAAGCAATCCTAATTTGTCAGACACCGATTCCGATTATGGTTAAGATTTAGTTTTGAGGGCTCACCTAGAACTATCGAGGCCGTAATGGCCCGATATGGAATGAGACTGTCCATAGTAGTTTGACTGGCTATAAAAACTTTGTCTCGTATACCTAAACAATGCACAAATAAGCTTAAAAAGAAAAACAATAAAATGGGAGTTAAATGTGGCAGTGAATGTTTCACACAAACAAAACAGAAGAAAAAGCATAGAGTGTGAGTCTTGTAGATTGATGTACTGTGTGGCATTTGGCTATGAATTTATCTTTGTTTGATAGTTAATGTATTATTTACCTATCCTTGGCTAGTTCATCATTGGCCGAACTCCTGCCAGAATGAACTGAAGCCCTATCTTCGCCAGTGAAAGAAGCATTACTTCCTGCTGCTTGCTGATAGTACTTACGGTACCAATCCGCGTAGGCTTGCGGATTTGTCCTGCGCAGATTTTCGTAGTACTGATATTGCTGATAGTAGGGATTGTACGGATCAATTGAGAAATTCTGAAAATATTTTAGCAAAGTCAAAGATTATAACAAACAGTACAGTTTAATAAGTATCTCAGTAAAAATTAGTTTATTCTTACCTGATAAGGATTATACATATTTCTATATTCCCTAGCTCTGTAGCGCTCCCTTTCGCCTTCTCTATTATCCCTTTCCCTTGGTCTTCTATCTCTAGCATCAGGTGGGTGCCTACTCTCTCTATACGATTCGTGCATAGAATCTGTACGACTAGAGGGCCGACTAGACCTGTTCTCAGGTCCATACTCGTCAGTGTATCTGCTGTAATAATAATCGTTCCTTCTAGAGTCTCTGTATTCACGAGAATCGCGCTCTTTTCGTCGTTTGTCTTTGTCTTTGCGGAGGCTGCTGTATTTATGTTCATATTCTATAGAGAAAAAAATATTATTCGATTTTTATGAATTAGTTTCAAATTAATACCTCTATCTCTATCATCGCGCCCTCTACGTTCTTTATCTTTGTCACTGTAATAGTCTGTATCATCTTCATATCTTCTGTCTCTGTATCTTCTAGTCCGATTGTCTCTTTTGTCCCTGTATGGATCTGGAGAGTATCTATCACTGTTTCTATCTCTATACCTAAAAAAACAATCATGAATTTTTGAGTTTCTCATCCAAGAGCAATGAAATGTGAGATTGTGAAATACTGTATTTTCAAATAATTCAGTTTTTGTAAGTTGATTTTTAAGATTCTTCATGTAGTTATTTTCCAGTAGAAAAATTTCAAATATTGGTAAAATGAGCTCCTAACCTTCCTTTTTACATGCAAAAAGTTTAAAAATTTTCCCTATCTTGGTTTTCCAGAAAAACTTTGAAATTTTAAAAACTGTATTTTCAATTAATTCAGTTATTATAAGATGATTTTCAAGATTTTTCATGTAGTTATTTTCCACTGGAAAAATTTGAAATTTTGGGAAAATGAGCTCCTAACCTTCCTTTTCATATGCAAAAAGTTTCAAAATATTCCCCTTATAGTTTTCCAAAAAAAGTTTGAAATACGAGAGACTGTATTTTCAATTAATCCAGTTTTTGTAAGTTGATTTTCAAGATATTTCATGTAGTTATTTTCGACTGGAAAATTTTGAATTTTTGGAAAAATGAGATCCTAAATTTCCTTTTTACCTGCAAAAAGTTTCAAAATTTTCCATTTATTGGTTTTCTAGTAAACTATTGAAATGTTGAAATTAATTCAGTTTTTGTAAGTTGAATTTTAGGATTCTTCATGTTGATACTTTCCAGTAGAAAAATTTGAAATTTTGGGAAAATGAGCGCCTAACTTGCCTTTTTGCATGCAAAAAGTTTCAAAATTTTCCCTATATTGGTTTTCCAGAAAAACTTTGAAATTTTAGAGACTGTATTTTCAATTAATTCAGTTATTATAAGTTGATTTTCAAGATTTTTCATGTAGTTATTTTCCACTGGGAAAATTTGAAATTTTGGGAAAATAAGCTCATAACCTTCCTTTTTAAATGCAAAAAGTTTCATAATTTTTCCTATCTTGGTTTTCCTGAAAAACATTGAAATTTTAGAGACTGTATTTTCAATTAATTCAGTTTTTGTAAGTTGATTTTCAAGATTTTTCATGTTGTTATTTTCCAATGGAAAAATTTGAAATTTTGGGAAAAAAAACTCCTAACCTTCCTTTTTACATGCAAAAAGTTCCATAATTTTCCCTATCTTGGTTTTCCAGAAAAACTTTGAAATTTTAGAGACTGTATTTTCAATTATTTCAGTTTTTGTAAGTTGATTTTCAAGATTTTGCATGGAATTTTTTTCTACTGGAGAAATTTGAAATTTTGGGAAAATGAGCTCCTAACTTTCCTTCTTACATACAAAAAGTTTCAAAATTTTCCCTATATTGGTTTTCCAGAAAAACTTTGAAATTTTAGAGACTGTATTTTCAATTAATTCAGTTATTATAAGTTGATTTTCAAGATTTTTCATGTAGTTATTTTCCACTGAAAACATTCGAAATTTTGGAAAAATAAGCTCCTAACCTTCCTTTTTACATGCAAAAAGTTTCATAATTTTCCCTATCTTGGTTTTCCTCAAAAACTTTGAAATTTTAGAGACTGTAATTTCAATTAATTCTGTTATTATAAGTTGATTTTCAAGATTTTTCATGTAGTTATTTTCCACTGAAAAATTTGAAATTTTGGGAAAATAAGCTCCTAACCTTCCTTTTCACATGCAAAAAGTTTAATAATTTTCCCTATCTTGGTTTTCCTGAAAAATTTTGAAATTTTAGAGACTGTATTTAGTGTATTTCCAATTAATTCAGTTTTTGTAAGTTGATTTTCAAGATTTTTCATGTTGTTATTTTCCACTGGAAAAATTTGATTTTTTGGGAAAATGAGCTCCTAACTTTCCTTCTCACATGCAAAAAGTTTAAAATTTTTCCCCTTATTGGTTTTCTAGAAAGTCTCTGAAATAAGAGTTTCCAACAAAATACACCAGCTCATGTATCTATCTTTCCTGCTGACTCTTAAGAATTATAGTTTATAGATATAAAATTGCTACACTTCTTTTTAATCCCAAAGAATACTATTATAATACTTTGGAAATAGATTTTAATTTAATTGATGTTTTCATGTATATTTTAGTCCAGAGAAAATAGTGAGCTACCCTGAGACTATGTAACGAATAGAGATATTTTCTCTATCTCTATTGTCCCTTCTCTGTTGATTTCGAAAAGAGAGAAGAAGACAGAAAGTGCCATAGAGATAGAAATAACGATCTCTATCCGTTACATAGTACTCCAGGTTTATTATTCAATCGAATATTAAATGAATTATTAAAGTTTGAAAAGTTTGATATTTTTAGTAGAACAATTATTTGTACCTGTCTCTTTCCCCATCCTTATACCTCTCCCTGTCCTTTTCCCTAGACTTGGATTTTTCACCAGATCTCTTATCTCTGTGCGTTCTAGAATTTTTCCTGTCACTTTCACTATCGCTACTCTCTTGTCTGCTAGCCCGCCGTGGCGATTGCTCTGGTATACTGTTGTTTGAAGTATGACCATCGGTCAGGTTTTCACCCACCGTTAAATTCCTAACTGCATTAGTTATACTGGAGATACTGTCATCGTTGGTTTGACCTGGAATTAAAATTTAAATAAATGGTGAATATATAAACAAACAAGCAGCTCACCTTCTACAGCTTGCCTTCTCTCTTGTTGCTCAATCTTTTCCTTAGATTTATGACTCTTACCAGTTTTTGAATCACTAGATAACACCCCAACAGCTTGAGGAGTATCAGAAATATCTCCACCTAAAAAAAAAGTCAGCCCATTAGTAATCCAAATTTGAACTCCACCCAAAATCTTACCCAATGAAATTGACAAATCACTGCCAATAGATTGAATCAATGAAGGTTGAGTCTGAATCGGAGGTGTATCAGCTCCAATTGTGGCCGATCTAGGAGGTTGCACTCCGTGATTTTGAGTCAAGTGACTCAATTCCAATTCAGAATCGTTTTCTTCAATGTGGGGTTGTCTTAAGGAGGTTTCTGGCGAGCTGGATTCTCCTGGAATCATGCGATGGAGGCCTTCTGGTGGACCACTTAAATCAAACTGAGAGGAACCTAGAAGCAAATTGATGTAGTTGTGTAAATAAAAACCCTGAAAACAATCTTACTTTGATTAGAGCTATCAAGTCGATTTTCATTTTGGCCCAAAACCATTCTACTAAACCCAGGCAACTGTTGATCAGTTCTAACTTCATTTTGTTCCAGCTGACCAGGAACCATTCTTTGAAGCCCTGGCGGTGGAAGAGTGTCATTTCCTTGATCCGGTTCATTGCCTTCAGCTAAGTTTACTTCAGACAATTGGCCAGTTTCCAAATATTGATTTCTATCATTGATAGGGGCTTCATTATTTTCTGCCTGTGGCCATTGTTGATGACTAGAATTTGCTTTTCCAGTATTTTGAACTAAAGGATGATCTGGGTGTTCTGAATTGTCTGGAAGCGATTCCAAGTTACCTGATTGGTTGAAAACTTGAGGTGGTTTGAATTTATTTGGCGCTTTATGAGAGAGTCCACTGGTTCGTTTGTAAGGGTTCCTAGAGTCGTCCGAGCTAGTTTGAGGAGGTGGCAGCAAAGGTGGTGTAAGCATGTTTTTAGGCAGTGGAGGGGTTGGGTTAACACGTTGAGGCCTGTTTTCTAAAACATCTTGATGCTTTACGATTTCTTTATTTTCAGCTTGATAGCTGTTAGATGATTCTGCCTGATGAAGCAAACCTTGAACCAAAGGCGAGGATTCTTGGCCAGAAATTGGTGAGTGGCTTATAGTGGATGATCTAGAAACCATATGGCTCTTGTCGCTTTCTGAGGTCTGCAAAACGTCATCAGATGATTCTACAGACTCAGTTGACCACTGAGGCGTATCAAGCTTTTTTCTGTTAGTATTTAAAAGTTCAGCTTGATCAGGTTTTATTGCTGCTTTAAGATCTCCAATTGTTGGGAACAAATTTTGATCTTGCTGAGCGTTATTTTCATTAGACTGTCGTTGCTGTTGCTGCGCATCTACAGACCAATTCCAGGATTCGTCGTTTGCAAAACTTTCAGCTATGGGTTGCGAAACAACAGCCTGAGGCTGTTGCGATACAGGCTGGGCATTGGAATTGTCATCGTCGCCCCATCCCCAGGAGCTCCAAGCATCAGGTTCCACTGTAGATTGTTGTTGTCCAGCACTAGCGTAAACATTATTCTGATCTAACTGTTGCGAGTATTGCACGTTGCCATAAGCCTGAAATCAATTTAAAATAAATTATAGTCTAGTAATTAGAAACAAGTTTGTACCGGTGGTTGTGGTTGTTGTGTATGAAGAGTGTACCCAGCTGCGCTGTTTTGAAAATATGCACTCTGCTGATCTGGTTGTTGGTATTGTTGAAATTGTGAGGCTGTATTTGCATTAGGGGTTGGGGTAGGATACGTTTGAGAAGGTTGTTGCCAATAGGGTTGAGTTTGGTTGACTTCTTGTCTGGTGGGTTGTTGTTGAGGGTGCCATTGTTGAGGAGCTGACGATTGCCACTGCATAAAGTTTAAAATTTAGACTACTTTGTTCTATGATTACGATATTATACTGCAGAGACAAATCATTATTAATTTCTTGCAAAATATTCACCTATCTACTGACCTAAATATTTTACAAACACCCTCAATAATCAAGCAAAATTCTAAAAACCAATGAATAATTCATTATAACTTGAAACTTTGGCCTAGAAATCCCTATATTGGGCCCTTTTCATTCCTCTTTTATCCCATCTTCTCCCTTGAACCCTCAATTTAAAAGTGTCACAGGTCGATACGCAGTGTCATATGAATGTCAATAAGATGTACGCACTCGTAAGTTAAATTTTAGTTAAATTATACGGCACAACTCACCCCACTAGCCACCATGACGTCCAAAGTAAGACTTTCTAGATATTATTAGCACCCACAGAAATCACGCGATACAATATTGATTTTTCCCACATGTTACCAAACAATTTATTAAGCTGGCCATAGCAGGAGGGAAAATCCATATCAATTATTAATAAACAGTTTTTTTTTTCAAGCAAAAATTACCATGTTGCTGCAAAGGCAGTGGAAATACGTACAAAATTATAATGGTAAGACACGGAGAATCGGAGTGGAATCAAAAAAATCTCTTTTGTGGATGGTACAATGCTGATTTAAGTGCAAAAGGAGTTCAAGAAGCGCAAAGTGCTGGCAAAGCTTTAAAGCAGGCTGGTCATAAGTTCGATTTAGCTTACACATCAGTGTTGATGCGAGCCAATAAAACTTTGGATGCTATTTTAAAGGAACTAGGTCAACAAAATATTCCTATTCAAAAAACTTGGAGATTAAACGAAAGGCATTACGGTGGCCTTACTGGATTGAATAAATTAGATACTGTAGCTAAATATGGAGAAGAGCAAGTTGCAATTTGGAGAAGAAGCTTCAACGTTCCGCCACCAGCAATAACACCAGAAAACCCTTACTATGATCACATAATAAACGATCCAATTTATAATGATGGTCCTGCAAAAAACGAATTTCCTATGTTTGAATCTTTGGAGTTGACAATAAAAAGAACTTTGCCTTTTTGGAATGACGTTATTGTGCCGCAAATTAAGACTGGAAAATTCATTTTAATTGGTAATTGTTCTAAGGTTTCTTGTTAAGAATTATTGTGAGTATATTTTTTAGCTGCTCACGGTAACAGTTTGAGAGGCTTGGTGAAGCATTTGGATAACATGAGTAATGAGGAGATTATGCAACTCAATTTGCCCACTGGTATTCCTTTTATGTATACTTTGAACAAAAGTAGTCTGAAGCCAGTTGAAGGAGGCAGTCTTCAATTTTTAGGCGATCCGGAAACAGTGAGAAAGGCCATGGAAGACGTTGCCAATCAAATTAAAAAGAAATGAGACAATTTTTTAATTAATAAATGGAATTTTTGAATCTTAATTATCCGTATTTGATTGTGCCCAGAAAACTGTTACTGTTTGAAAAAATGCCTGAAGATTGTTTTATATTCTATGGGTTGCAGCTCTCTTCTGATTCAAACTGAAGCTCAGGGGTGCTATTTGAAACATAGGAGTTTTGGTTGTCCTTGATGCTAAAATTTTTATTTTCTATGGATTCCAAGTATTCTCAAGACGTAAGATTTTTTTAGGGTGCTTCAATCCAACATTGTGGGCTTTTCCTGGAGTGTTTTACGTCCATAATCTCCCTAATTCGCAGATTTGTTATCCCTTCCATTTTTAACCTACCTGCCGCTCTCCTCCAAAAGTCCATTTCAGTTGCTTCCAGCATTTTTGCGGTTCTGTTCTTTAGTGGCCAGACTTCTGAACTATATGTGACTATGCTTTTAACTATGGTGTTGCATATTCTAGTTTTGCTAGTTTTTTGATATTCTGGTCCACAGTACACCATTTAGTGCTGATATTGCCTTGCGTCCGTGTATATTCAGATCTTTAATCGCTTCGTCTAGGGTTCCCTCATGTGAGATTTTCATGCCCAAATATTTGTATTTAGTATATTGTTTTATTTCTTCTCCGTTATTCAATTTTAGAGTTTGTTGTTCACCCCCTATACTTAGTCCTCGACTTAGTCATATATTCTGTTTTAGTTAGATTTACTTTCAAACCCCATTTCTCGTATTCCTGTATCAATTTTCGTGTCATGTACGGGGTGAGTCACTATATTTTGACACCCACCTGCAGCCGCGAGAACGGAATTCGCATGCACATATTTAGTGCTAATTTAGTACTTCAGAAACGACGACCCGAAACGAATTAGTATCACATTAGCACAGAGCTAACACTTGTGTGCTGGCTTAGTGTTTAAGTTAACAAACATTATCACCGATGACGCGATGAAACTAGAGTACTAAATTAGCACACTTTTAGTGCTAATTTTGGACGTAAGTTTGAGTTAGTTCGGGTTAGTTTGGGATATTTTGGGTTATTTTGGGTTATTTTGGGTTAGTTTGAGTTAGCTCTGTGCTGATGTGATACTAGTTTGTTTCGGGTTGTCGTTTTTGAAGTACTAAATTAGCACTAAATATGTGCATGCGAATTCATTTCTCGCGTGGTCGATTCGATATATGTGTGCTGATTCAAGTCTTAAGTTAGCACTTTTCCATGGTTATTTTGTAATAAATACATCATTGTTAGTTTTTTAGGCGTGACATGAATGTACTAAATTAGCACTAAATATGAGGTACTAGATTTTCAAAGATTCGACCTTAACCAACTAGAGTGTAAATTATTTTTGTTCGTACTAAACTAGCACTAAATAGGCCCGAATTTAGTACTCTAGTTTTTCTGATGTGTGCCATTTTAGTTGTGCTAATTTTTGAGACCTGACAGGTAAATCAAGGTAAAATATATTCAATAGTAATATAACTAGTGCAATGGAAATTATTGATAATTTTTGGGAAATTTGCTGGAATGCATTTTTAGTTGAAAAAGAGCACTCGTGCACATAGTGCACAAGTGCCTTTTTCAGTTAAAAACGCATGAGTGCAAATTTGTCGAAAATTATAAATATATTTCCATTGCACGAGTTGTATTTAATGAGAGAATTTCATAAATCAAAAATTTAAATTTTTTGTCAAAAAATGTCAAAACACCAGTTTTCGCACCAGTTAGTATGCAATTATCTGATAATTTGCACTAGTGCAAATTATCGCGTAATTACAATCTAATTGGTTCAAATCAACAATCAAAACATGTCAATTTATTGCTGGAATACCAGTTTTGGCAGATGTATGAAATTCTCGAATGTAATAAATACCACAAGAGGTTTCAGGATTACCGGATAATACTTTTACCTGTCACGAAACGCGTTACGCAGCAACACCACGACTCCGAAGGAGGAGTGGTGTTGCTGGTAACGCGTTGAGTGTCAGGTAAAAGTATTAGGTAAGCCTGAAACATCGAGTGGTATTCAAAAGGTTATACAACGAACTAAACTTTAATTCTTTTTCAATTAATAATTTCATGAATCAAAAATTTAAATTTTTTGTCAAAAAATGTCAAAACACCAGTTACCGTGCAAAAGGATTATCACTTGTTAAGCCTCTCGTGTCATATGGGAAGGATTATCACTTATTAATCCTATCGTGTCATATGGGAATAATGTACAGTGAGTTGTATAATCAAAAAAATACTGTCTTTGAACAACTGAACTCCAGATATTTCCAAAACTATTGAAAGAAACATTTACATTATCATATAATCTGAATCATAAAAACGAGAACTTTAAGAATTTGGAGGAAAATAAAGGGCATTCCATTTAAAAAAAGTGAACATCGACATTTTTTTTAACTTTGCGTTACTCATTTGTTCAATCTAATTAAAAATTCTGGCAGTTCAGATAAAATGCTACAACTTTTGTATTTACACCTTTCACCTGTCACCTATTATTACGGCTGCAGGTGGGTGTCAAAATATGGTGACTCACCCTGTACTCTAGGTCATCATAGTCCTGTGCAATTAATACCTGATCATCTGCAAAAGCTTGAAGTATATAGATTGTATTCATTGAGCGGTAGTTAAAGTTATTAAGGACTTAAAATTAACAGGTACAGTTGCTTGTATAGTTGGGTCCGAGGGGTCAGTCATTCACGAAAAAGCGTACAGAGATTTCCAGTTTCTGGGAATACTTCTCAAATTTGGACAGTATTTTCAAGTATTCCCCCACATATTCCCAGGTATTTCCAGTGTAATTTGCACAAGGGAAATTTCCAAGTAAGGTCAACTTGGTTAACTGGAAATGCAAGGTAACTGGGCCATATACAGTTTTTGGCTTATTATTGAAATTTGAATTTCCCAAGCATAAAAATTCGTTACAAGTGTGTCTCATTTATATCCTGCATGTAGTAGAAAGAACGACGCCGGATAAGTTTTTGAGAAAAAAATTGAAATCTGGTACTTTAAAAAGTGTATCATAATAACAAGTGACAGAAGTTTGGATTTTAATCAATGATTAGTGATTACAGTGAATAATATTGCATTGAGCATGTTTATGCGTAAGAGAAAGATCTCAAGAATAATGTTGTGAAGCTAGGTTTGTTTTTATAGACCGTCAGATAGTGACATATTCAGGTGTCCCATTTTTGCATACTAGCCTCGAAGCGGGTTGAAAAGTACAGCGATTTTGAGTTACATGAAGGGAAATTCACGAGTAGCTCCTGGGAATAACATATGGAAAATTCGATTTTACTTATTTTACCCTAAAATGTAGTTTTCCATCTGCGAAACTCAAGCCAATATGTTCTCTTGCTACCGACGTTGTAGATTTTCATCCTTCCGATGGGTTTGTGTGGAAAAATCGCCCAAAATCTCGATTTTTCTTTACAAAATTACACCCTAATTTCAAACCTTCAGCTACCTGCAACACCCCTTTTTTTGTTTTCACCAACCCAGGTTTTATTAATTAATCCTTTGGTGAACACGGCTTGCGCAAAAATATGGGCAGTCTTTCATTTCTGTTAGGGAAAATCGAATTTTTTATACGTTATTCCCAGGAGCCACTCGTAAAGATACCTTCATCCTACTGAAAATCGATGTACTTTTCAACCCTCTTCGAGGCTTGTATGCGAAAATGGGGCACCTAAATATGTCACTATCTGACGGTCTATTACTTAGATCAGTTCCTAGATTAGAATTTCAAGTAATGGCAACACAGCTTGGGTTCTAGTTGTAAAAATATGTACAGAGGCAACTGGAACGTACCTAAATGATGTAGCCAACTGGAACATATGTTCTACCTGAAATTACATATTCTCGTTTGTTCTAAGTAGAGCAAATATGCAAGATACACCAAGTTGACCCAGAAAAAAAATAAATTGAAGATGTCCAAAACGCTACAACAATATACGGTGCTGCCGTTTTCCATGACATTCCAAGATCCACAATAAGACTCTTTGTATTTGGAACAAGAGCAAAATGTATATTGTCGGAGCAGGATAAGGTGGTGGAGAAATATATGAATGAAGTAAAAGAAGAACTTACTGTCAACTGTGCTGAACACCATGCAGAAATGGATTACTTACAAACAAAATAGGTTTCATATTTAATTTTTTGTTCATTTTACCATTTTTAATAAACCTTATTTTCTCACTACTAAGTAATACTTCTGAAGCATCTGTCATGATTCCCATAATTCTTGAGCCAAAAAAACAAAATTTGGTAGGATCTTTACATACATATACTATATGTTACAATATGTTCCAGTCGCCTTAGAATTATTACTATGTGAATGCATAAGAAAATAGGGCTCACTGTTTCAGTTGCCTTAAAATTAGGATAACTGGAACAGTTGGCCAAAAAAAATTGGAACACTTAGCCAGAACAACGTGGAACACTGAACCAGAACAAACCAGGGCTGGTATTCTCATTCTTGAAAACGCTAACCGCTTTTTAGTCGCTTGGCACTTCTAATGTAAATTTACATTAGAAGTGCCAAGCAACTAAAAAGCGGTGAGCGTATTCAAAAACGAGAATACTGGCCCAGAACAAACATGCTCGCAATTCTTGAGATTTTAATGAAAGTACCCAAAAATACATTAAAAGTGGGATTGGAAGTTATAGAAATTTACAAGTATGTATTTCCAAATTATTCCCATGTACTTCCAGAGTATTCCCATATACTTTCATAGTATTTCCAAGTATTCCAGATTATTACCAACTATTCGTAGGTATTCCCAAAATATTCCCAGCAAAGTGTACAATGATTTCCATGAGTGATTTATTTACCTCTCAGTTGGGTCTTCCTTCAACAACTTTTGAAGAGTCTATTGAGAATGTTGCCTGTTGCAAAAAGAGCTACAGATCTGAGACATTCAGTCGTATGAATAAAGTGTAGCAAATTCTTTTACTCTACCTCTGTCTCTTCTTGCTGCATTAAAGCTGAATATATTTATTTCAAAAAACTCAAGTAAAAGCTTTCGCTTCTGCTTAATTCATATGAGCCATTCTTTTCTACAACTACAGGGTGTCCCTGCTCAATTGGTCAAAAATGCTAGGGTATATAGAGGAACCATAGAGAAGTAGTTTGAAATAGGACACCGATGGTCGGAAGTTTCCAAAATAGAGGGTGTTGAAATTTAAACAACCCCTTCATATCATCTGTGAGCCTATTCTTGAAACAGGGGAGCAGCGTTCTCACAAGAACAAAGGCGCTGTCTTAGTCACACTTATTTATGTTTTCATAACACTGACAAAGGCAGAGCAATCATTCTCGTGAGATCGCCGCTCCCCGTATGTATGATATCTCTTGGAGTTTTATTGAATGTTTGTACATTTCTGTATATGGGAGAATCTTGTTATGTTTTAGTCCTCGAAAATGTATTTGCTATATATTCTTTTTGTCGCATATTATGTGTATGATAGTTTTTTCTTTGGGTTAACGTTGTATTTGTATCTAAATTTCAACACCCTGTATTTTGGAAACAACGCACTTCCGACCATCAGTGTCCTACCTTAAACTTCTCCTATATGATTCCTCTATACATCCTGACTAGTATATTTAAATTTATATGTAGAAGTCTATCAGAACTCCTCAAACAGAAACTTTAGGGTGAAGCGTGAGATTAGTACCCTTAGTATAGACCTATAAGGTTGGGTATATAAGTACTGCATGATTCAGATCAGAGAACGAACTAGATCTCTTTTGGTAAAGGCAAGAACTTCTTAAAAGTACTATCTATGCAAATTTCATGCATAACTAGCAAAAATAAATAAAGAATTGATCTATCTCTTACCTCAGTGTTATTGGAATGTTGATTTGGATTATACATTTGTACAGGTGGGGTAGCAGTGGCACCAGGCCTAGAAGGTCCTCTACGTTGAGCCCAAGACATTTAATCTCTGCAAGAGAAAAGAAACACTATTTTTTTGGCAATAATTGCATAATAATCCCCTCTTGGAGGGTGACTTTAAAGACTCTAGGGATTTATTGGAGATTTTACTTTGTAAATATTCATTAAAAATTGCTGATAAATGGTAAACATATGGTTTTAAAAGGATAATTGCAGCAATATGTCAAGCAAAGTCAATACCTCCTACAATAGACTAGAAAGCTAATGAATAATGTAGAAATTATTTGGAAATCGGGTTGAAAAGGGTCTATAAATTGTATTTTTTACCTAATAATTATGCAAACAATTTAAAAAATTTCATTTTCCAGTTGCACTTCCTGAAAACAGTTTTTGCTTTCACTTAAATATTTAACGAATGCTACCTAGACATAATTACAAGTGAACATTATAAAAACACTAAAATAAATAAGAAAATTCACATTAAATAATAAATAAAATGGATTTTTAAATGGAAAAAATCCCTTTTCCACTTTATTGAATAAAAAATTTTGCATTTCCTTCACCACCCTTCATTCAATTTCCATCAAATATACCTATCTTTTTCTAGCCCATACGCAATTCACGTGTGCTAGACAAAGAGGTACAATGTTGTCACAACTGACCCATACCCACCTGAGAAATAATTATATAGCCATCTTTGTCGCTCCACAATAAATTGCTATGTCACTGTCTCTGTTCAGTAAGAAATCTTGTTGTGACGTTTACTGTGTCAACGTGGCAAAATATCAGGACTGTACTCAGGAGGAATTAATTTTATCTTTGTTTATTGATTTTGGAAAAAACAAGTAAATGAGGTTACAAAAAAAAAAATCTAGTTAATCAATAGGTTGATTTTAGTTTAGCTGTATTTAATTGGCTTTCTTGAGGATTTCATCCAATATTGAATTTGAAAAACAAAAGGAAACTGTTTTATCGACAGCCATTAAATAAAAAAAAAAGTCAAATGTCATCGTATCAGCTGATTTGACTTTGTCCATAGGAAAAAAGATAAACAAAACAAAGATTAATTGAGCGAAATGTAGTATTTTATTATAAATAATTATGTGAAGTGGTCGGTTTAAAGTGCAAACATTTAAAAAAAAATTAATGTCCTACCTGATTCTGTTGCACAAATTGTCATTAATTTTAATTTGTTTGTTTATTTAAATATTTAAACCAAGTTATATTATTATTAGCTGGAAGATTTTAAAGCCTAGTCAATATGTGCGATGTATTCATGAATATTTTAGATGAAACTTGTGCGATACTTGAAACTTATAAGGGACGAGATAAGGTAATAACTAAAAATAGAATTTTCTGCACATGCACCCCTTTAGAAAAACACAAGTCCTTTTTGAGAAAACTCTAAATAAAAACAGGTATACTGTATTACGTCACAAGTTGCAACAATGAACACAGTGGCAATTTGACTGACAGTGTTGTCATTAACTGTCAGTAGAGATTGAAGATTTTTTAACATTTTTTTTTTGTAAATATGGACCACCTGTAACATACACAGGGCATTGCATACACATTTTTTTTTTTTTTTTCTTCAGGACGCACTACTTTTAGTCACAACTGGCAACGGCGCAAGCAAACCTCTTGCTCCTTGACGCTGGAGCACGCTTCTATATTTTGATTGGAATGATTTCCAATACGTCATCGTTTGGCGCGTTTTAATGTTTTTAAATTTTTCCAGTTTTGAAGTGCCTCGAGAAAACTTATTATAACTCTTGTTCAAGAACCAAATTTTTAGTCGCTCCTTGAGGTTTCCTCAGACCCTAAAGAGGCCTTGAACGTTTAGAATTGACACGACTAACTCATCAAATAGTAGTCAGTGTCCATTCATAACTCACGACCTTCAAGGAAGACCCAAGGAACAACTATCAGTTCAGCCCTTAGTTTTTGAGTGTTTGTTTTGGTTTAAGCACTATTGGAACTATCAAGTTTTGTCTTGAATACTGACACTGAAGTAGCACTTAACTGTTTCAGCTGGGAGTTGATTCCAGAGTGCATCAGAGACTCTGTTTGACAGAAAGTTCTCCCTACACACTGTGGAGTGGCTGTTTAAACAGCTCACGACTTAGTTATGACGTCGACAATGGTTGAAAACCAATATGGCGGCGATTACCAAAAACGAGGCCGATAAGCACTCCTAAGAGTGTGTATTCTCCTTGGGTCAAGATCTCCTCTTGTTCTTCTATTTTGGAAGTGCAGCAGTTTTTGTTGTTCTAGTCTTTCCTCATGTAGGTCTTCTACCAGTGTATTTGTGAAGTCCTTCTTTAGGAAAAATAACTTGTTGGCTTTTTTGCATATTGTTGTTGTTTTTACATGTGCTGACCAGGTCGAATTTTTAGTTTTTAGAACTCCAAGGTCATTGGGTACATTCAGGCGGTCCCAGCGGCTAAGCTTAGCCACTCAGCAGGGACTCTATTCTCGAAACCAAGGAACAGCGTTCTCATAAGAACAATTGCTCTGTCATTGTCAGTGTTATGCCAGACGACAAAGACAGAACCTTCATTCCAATGAGAACACTGTTTCTTGGTTTCGAGAATAAAGTTCCTGCTGAGAGGCTGAGCTAAACCGCTGGAACCGCCTGAATGTACCCATTGTGTTGCTGAACACTGACCAGTACTAACCCATTGATGGTGTATTCATTTTCTGGGTTATTTTTCCTAAGATATAGTAGGTACCACACATTTTTCCGCATTAAGGGGTAGTTGCCGGTCCTCACACTACATCTCAATTTGATTTAAATCATTCTGGAGGAAGTCAGGGCTGGAACTCTGTAACGGATAGCGATCAATATCTCTATCTCTAGTGGTGTCCCCTCTCTATTGATTTCGATAAGAGAGAAGAAGACAGCGAGTGCCATAGCGATAGGGATAACGATCTCTATCCGTTACAGAGTTCCAGCCCAGAATTGTTAGCGGAACCATAAGTTTTTATGTTGTCAGCGAATGCTGCACATTCGCACATTGCACAGTGGAGCAGCAAGGTTGTTTGAGAACTAATGCGGATATTCTGTCTAGAACTGGATAGCTGGCAACCTTCAGGGCTTTTATCTTCTTTAGAATGTCTTCGGTTATGATTTCATTTGGTACCCCTGAGATCTTCAGGAATTAATGCCTCCATCATGAATACTCTAGAAAACTCATTTGCCAAGATGGTGGTTTACTTAATACTATCTCTGCACATTTCCCTATTTGGAGTTTTCAAAATAGGAATGCCTACTTTGTAATGTAATGTAATGTAATGTTTAGCTCTTTTAATTTGACACTGTATGAGGAGCGAGAGGAGAAAAAATACAGCGAAAACAGGTGTAAGGTCAGATGACCATTGGCATGCTGTGCTAACGTAGGGAGCCACCAGCTCACATTCCTTTGGAGTATCAGATTATAAAAGTCGGGCTGTATACTTTTATTTGTCTTCAGTGATAGCATAGCCTCCTCTCCGAACTGATTCTGAATATCTTGGAAAAACCCCATGTCAAACAGTGAAGCTAACGTAAGGTTTAAACTTTCAGAATTTTGTCCACAACAATTTCAAATGAAAGTCAGTTTTTGGCTTATTGGGCGATAATTTAATGATGAAATCAATGCCGACGTTTCGGTGTACTCCACACCATGTTTTTTCGTTTTTTAAGTCCAATTTTGTAGAAATGTCTAACAAAAATGAACATATCTGTTTAAAATTAATAATCTAGCCCTGAAGATGGCGTGGAGTACACCGAAACGTCGGCATTGATTTCATCATTAAATTAACGTCCAATAAGCCAAAAACTGATTTTCATCTGTATACTTGTGTATAGTTTTTCGCTGTTTTCAAAATTTGTTAGGTTGTCTGTCAATTTCAGGCCCCAGACAAACTATTACTTGATAACATAGCTAGAACTCAATCAATTTTCCTAAAGCCTCATCCTTACCATCTTACAGGTTATAAGGACACTATGTTACCTATCAAGACTGCTTGGAGAACTCCAGAGCGATTCAGAATTACAAAAGAAATTCAACATATTCGGCTCTTCAATGTCTGGAACTAGGACCACGCTCAGACTGTTTGATGATATTTTGGTACTAAGAAACAACCTGCAATATGGTTTTGGCAAAAATGTTAGTAAAAATATCAATTCCCTATTATTTAATAGAGATAATTGGTTTTTAGGAACCCGATAAATATATGGCCATTTTGGGAATAACTTCAAATTTAATCGACCAATGCTACTTGCCTGTGGAAAAAATTTCCTGGCTTGCCAAACACAGATTGTTGACTGGGATTAATAATAGTAAATGGGAGACTGCTAGTTCAGCTTGTTGGGTTACCACGTCTTATTTGACTATTTTAAAGTAAGTTAATTATTTTTTCAGCCTCATTAGCTTCTACTATTGATTATATCTGCACTAGCTTCAATAACGATGAAGTAAAATGTACAGTGCTTAATGCAGGGTTGTCTATCTAATCATGTTCTCTCCCAATTGACACAAGGGTGAAAAATAAAAACTTAAGACTGGGTAGGCTTTTAACTGAGAGGAATTTTGGAAGATTTGTTTTTTTGTGTGACAAAGTAGACTGGAACACGGGCCTGCTCTTTGTTCAGTATCTTGTCCAACTTTCAATTTTTTTTTCTTTTTTCAACCAATTGATATTCTGGATTTTTATGTTCCATGCTAAAAACATCTCAGGTAATCAACTTCTTACATGATGAAAATCTCTTTAGTGTTCTTTCATGATAAAAATCTCTGTAGTGTTCTTCTATGGCTAAGAAGAGTTTTTTTTTTTCATAAATTAGTTGAAAAATGTAGATCTCATGGAAGTTTATGAAAAAAAAAAAAAAAAAACGCAAGGGAAACCCTATTAGTGAGTCGAGGACATTGTAGACAAGATTTCATCTAAAGAAGCCCAAGCAAAAGTCAGGAGAAAGATCACACAAAAGAATGAATCTTGGGAAAAGATGATTAGTAGAAATAGCGTCCAATCCACCTGCAATCCTATGCACGGGCTACGTAAATCACCCTGTATATGTAGATCTCATTACTCTCTTATTTTTAGCAATACTTACCCTAATAATAAAGGTATCTTATTTGCCTTCAAATAACTTCTGATAATAACTATTTCCGCATTGTAAGCCCTAGTAAGGTTATTTTACCATTTTCCTAAAATCCTAATAATTTCTTTCTTTGTTTCAGAACCATAAGGTATTTATATTTATTAGAAAAACACAAGGAATGTTTAGACCAAGTGCCAAGGTAATAATTATTTTTCATCTAAATGCCATTACTATATATAATAATTATTATTTCAGTATAAGTCCTGAAAAATTACATTGTCTGAAGACCTACCACTTATTGACTTTATGCCGAGCATTCATGGACTTCACCCACGCAGTCAACACTTTACCTCCAGGATTTCTTTGGTCTTCCCAATTGAAATCTTGGACTGTAAGTTTGATAGGAACTACTTCTTCAGTTTTAGGCTTGTATTTGATTTTATATAAGAAATGGTTGAAGTGATTTTATAAATACATTGTTGTTGGTTATTAAAATATTTTTCTAAAATTACTAACTGGATTTATTTTTGACACATTTATTATAAAAAGAAAACCCATACAATTTACAGGAACTTTGGTTAACTTTGTAGGCATACTAAGTTGCAAATTAGCTGCCAGTGAAAGTTTAAACTTAATCTACGGATAATTTACAACCCTTAGAACATCAACTTAATAGTTACTCTTCACAGCACAAATTTGTAGCATTTAAAACTATTAAAACAATGTTTAAAATCAATAATTTGGTGCCAAATCATTGGTGTTTAAAATTTTCTTTAAAATTACTACTAAAACGATACTTACCTGGAACAAAAAAAAAATACTGTATGTTTCGAAAATTTGGTCACAGACTCAATAGGAATACAGTATAATTTGGCTATTGAAAGTACAGATATCGAATGTATTAACTAAAAAGAATCCTCTGTTAGACCAAAAATATAAAACACAAAAATCCCAGTAAGGTTCAAAATATACCATAAGCTTTAAGTGTTAAGCAACTTTTCAAAACTTTATACAGTTTTCAAAAGCTACTTTATTTGTACTATAAAGCAAAGCAAAAAGCAAGCAGGATAAGGGAAAAGGGATGTGCAAAAATCAGAAACTTGAGCGATATAGAAAATTTTAATAAAGGTAAATCATTGTTAAATGATGAGGTACTGCTACAGCCCTACAAAAAGCAGTTTGGATTTTAAAGCAAGTTTTAATTATTGCAATGACTTAAAATAAGCATCATTTATTTTGTACTATGTAGTACTTTCAGTAGTAACTTATTAAGTCATTAAACAATTAAAACGCATAAAGCAATGGGTATTAATATTATTGCAATACTAATTCTACAGGAATTAAAGCACTCATCATTATTTACTTTTTGCATGGAACTTTGTTCTCATTATATCAAAAGTAAATAGCAACAATGGAATGTTATGTTTTGCAAGCTGTCCATAATAGGACTGTTTTGTACCTATGGACAATTTTTTTTTATATTATAAAAATTCTTAAAAAAATTTTAAATTGAAAAATACAGTTACCACTGTAATTATTTACCATGAACCACCTAATGAAACCCAAAGATCGGCGATAATGCCAGTAACATTTAAAAACTATGATATCAAAAATACTTATAGCTAAGAAAAAATTAGGTTAAATCTATGAAATTATCTTTTTGTTTTTTTGTTTTGTTTTAATAAAGTATGTAATAAGAACGTATTTATAATGATTAGAGATTTGAAAAACACCATTAATTAATAATTATTCACTCATTAGAAATACGTTTTAGCAAATTTTTAGTTCATCAATGAAAACTTAAATGTCCAACTATGCAAAACTCTTAATTTTTAAAACCACAATAATTTTTTTTGTCTTATTTTTGTTTTTAGTGAAATTCAATATAAATTGAAACAATTATATAATGCCATTTGGCAATCATGTTTGTATTAAGAAACTTTTCCGAAACTCAAGGCATAAAACTTAGTTAAAATCAGAAAAAAATTTATAAAACTAAAATTTGGCGACACACTGTAGTAAAAAAAAAAAACAAGTAAACAGAGAATATGATACAGTTAAAACAATAATCATTATTGATTTGGAATTTGATGTTTGGTCCTGTGACCAATGCAATAAATTATTGAAAAAAAAAAGAGTTACACACAATATAGTACAAAATTGAGTTTGGGAAAAAGTTCCGTTCTTGCACCAAGTTCAACTTATAACAAACTGTATTTATGCTATTTGAAATTTATAAATTGAACTCAATGCTATCAATATAATAAAGTAATAATACTAATTCAGTAGTAGGTCTATTTGTGATTTATCAAGATAAATCTAGACCGTGAAAACCCTAAAAACTAATAAAATAAATATAAAGTAACAAACAACAAATGGCCACAAGAGGGCCTTGTTCTACATAATAGTTATGTGGCATTTGAAACCATATTTAACTTATATAAATATATAAATGGGCCTTCAAAAGTATCAATACCACATAATAGAGGTAAAAAGAAATATCGGCATTTTGCTGCCGCTTTTGAAGCCACAAAAAAAAGAAAATAAATAGAACAAACAATAAACTAAATATAACAAAAAAAAAAAAACATAAATAGAATACTCAAAACTCTTCCAGGTCCATACTGAAAGAAGTTCCCGGTTTAACCAGGGAACTCTCAACATGACGGTCAGCAGGATCAGCTATAACGTCATAGTCAACATAAGCAGCTGCAGCGCGATGGTTAGAGGCAGCAGCAACTCTCTGCTGCTTACCGAAACCCACAAAGGGACTATTTTTCGAATTTCTGCACATGGGACTGTGATTGAAAAGTTCCAAGGTGACGTGCTGATACACCCAGCAGGTTCTGCAAAAGTATTTGAAGCAGTAAAGGTCACGACAGAAGTAGGGTCCTTGTTGGAAGCCGCATATTGAGCAGAGGGAATCTTCTAGATAAGGATCGACTTGAACCTGGAATTGAATATATTGTTTGATTTTTTTTTTCATCTTGTATCATTAAGAAGGTTGGTTAAGTGTTTATATATGACTCACACTGTGAGAGCTTATTACGTAACTCATCTTAGTCTGTTTGAATTACGTAATAAGTTGTATCATTGTACTTAGTGATGTAATGAGCTCATTACGTAACTAATTTTTGTACTAGTAATATAAATAACTATTATCTACAAGCATTTGGTTATGACGTTTATACATAACCATTTTTCTAGTATTTGAGTTATGTCATGGGACTCATTACTAAATGGATGAAATTTCAATTTTTTTTTTTTTTTGAAATTGTGTCCTAATGGTCCTTTGGGAACCCCCAAACTCCATGCACTAAATTATTCTAGGGGATCTAAGGGATTGTAGTCCTCTACTGGAATAAGAATTGCTGAAAATTTCAGCTTTATATCTTTGATAGAAAAAAAGTTATGACCTGTGAAAGTTTTCCAAAATCTAATTCATAAGGTACCTTCTTACAAAATTTTTTTTTGTTAAGATTTTGTGTCCTAATGGTCCTTTGGAAACCCCCAAACTCCATACACTAAATTACTCTGAGATTTAGAGCTGGATTCCATGAAAAAAGGCACTCAGAAAAATTGAAAAATTGATAAATCACCCCAAATTGCTTAACATGATTTTATCTCAGGAACTATAAGTCCAAATGAGTTGAAATTTTCAGGGATTGTAGTCCTCTACTGGAATAAGAATCGCTGACAATTTCAGCTTTATATATTTTATAAAAAAAAAGTTATGACCTGTGAAAGTTTTCCAAAATCTAATTGATACAAAAACGATGAAATTTCAAATTTTTTTTTGTTAAGATTTTGTATCCTAATGGCCCTTTGGGAACCCCCAAACTCCATACACTAAATAATTCTCAGATTTGAAGCCGAAATCTATGAAAAAAGGCACTCAGAAAAATTGACAAATTGATAAATCACCCCAAATTGCTTAACACGATTTTATCTCAAGAACTATAAGTCCAAATGAGTTGAAATTTTTAGGGATTGTAGTCCTCTACTGGAATAAGAATCGCTGAAAATTTCAGCTTTATATCTTTGATAGAAAAAAAGTTATGAACTTTCAAAGTTTTCCAAAATCTAAATCATAAGGTAGCTAAATAGTTGCAAATCTAGAGCAAAACATACTGTTGGTAGCTCAATATCAATAATCATATCATAGAAACAGTACAAAATTGCCATGAATGTTTGAAGAACCAAATTCAGGGGACAGATCCTAAGAACATTAAGAAGAGAGAGAAAAGTGGAAATACTACAGAGATACAAGGATATGTAGAACCTGAAGGAAGACAAAGACGAGAAAAACGAAGACCAAAAAAATTTGATGATTTTGTTATGTAAAATTTGTTTACTTTAATTCAAACTTCTTTGTTGTTATTGTTAGTTGACATTCAAAGTTTTAATTATTTAATGTTATGTTAAACTCTGTAAATCTTCCTTTGTACTACCTATATATTATTGTGATATTTTTTCGAAATTAAAAGTAAAGGAGATGTATAATAATATGTCAAAGATAGGGGAAGTTTGAGAGGTGATGTCACACACGCTCCCACAGTTTTATTTGAAAGTTTACTTTAAAACCTCAATCAATGAACTAAACTTATGTATACTAACTTAAAGTATCTAATGCATAGACATCTAATGTGACACAAAGGCCACCAGAACTACCATCAAAATTTGAGCAAAATCAGCCTACTACTTTTTGAGTTACAGTCTTGCAAAGACTGTCAAACAATATTGGAGTGTTCAAGTTCTAATGATGTAATAGCAGAGTCAGACTTCAAGGGAAAAATCTTGAAAATGAAGAGAAAATCATGAAACAAAAAAAAGGGCAAAAAATATCTTTATTTACGACTAATGTATAATGTGCGTATTATATTTGTGATTTTAGCAGTATAAATTATGTATTTAGCCCCCCCATCGATGGTAAAAATTAATTTTCAAAAATTCGCCGAGGCCGAACCGCTAGTCCGATCGAGTTGAAATTTGGTATATAGTGAAACGGGTCCTCTATTGGAAAAAAAAACATGAGAAACCCCTATCTTGGAAGGAAAGTCCCCTAGGGGGCCCCTAAAAAAGGTGGGCTGATTTGGATGAAATTTAAAGTGTAGGTAAAAGGGGTCTAAAAAAGGTTAAATTTTAAGTTTCAGCTCTCTACGACATATAGGAAAGGTTTTAGCCCCTATCTCCCAATTTTGAGAAAGGGCGTAGAATGGGGTATACGCGTTTTGTATTTATTTTCACGAATTTTGGAAAAGTAAAATTTTCAACGGATAGAGGAGGAAAAAATACGTCGAAAATGTCTCTAGGCGTTTTTTGCTCTGACACTTCCTAAGCGCGCGCAGTCAACATCGGCGCGCGCGGTCAACTTGGTCGTTGGATTGACGGCAAACTATTTATAGTAGATGAGTGTTTGAGCACTCATTTAGTAGGTAATTTCAAGTACTTCGAAATGGTATTTTAAGGTATGCGAAAAAACCTACCGGTTTCACGGTATTCGCGAAAAACCAAAAACTACCCCCCACTTTTGACATTTGACCGGCCATTGTGATTCACCTAATCGTCCTATGACCTTGATTTTATTATCATTAGATAGATAATTTTATTTCCCACAAATTTGATCTGTCGGACTTGACGATACGGGCAATATCATCGAAGATAGGGAATTAAAACCAACTCAACCCTACATAAAGAGGGGGTAGTATCTTCCCCCACCCCTTCGAATACGAAAACTCAGTTTTAGACTCAGGACATGCCCCCGAACACACCCTCCAAATTTCAGCCATGTATTTTTTTTTAGTAAATGCGATTTATTTCTCTCTATTTACTGTACTACAATGACAATCATTAATAAGGTAGTTATTTATCTAGGAAGCGTCATGTCAAAAATTTGACATCTGGTTTTATTTGGAGGAATCTAGAGCAAAGCAAAAAGAGCCTGGCAAGGAGCAAACCATCTGGGAATTCTTTGGGAAACCTGTGGGGAATTTAGATGAATTTGTGAAGAACTTGGAGGAATTTGTGAGGAATTGGGGGAATTTATAGGTTTTAACACTGAGCATAATAAAAATAGAAAAATACTTTTCTTATCACGAACAATTTTGATGATTTTCAGGGAGAATTTATAACAGGCATTTGCAGGGAATTTGCGAGCAATTTCGAGTTATGTTTGGGGACTTTGCAGGAAGTTTAAGAAGTTGTTCGCACAAATTCGAGGGAGTGGTTTATTCCATAGACCTTGTTCACCCTGGTTAAAATCAAAGTAAAAAAACTTTGAAGCTTGAACAGCTAGAAACTATTCAAGCTGCATTGAAATTATTCACAAAGGATTTAGAGTATTTGATTGGCTTTATTTCAAGCCTAATTACATTAAGATCGGATTGAAATTAACAAAGATGTGAGGTAAAATGTGGTTCAATGTCATTTTGGAAAAAATCAAGCTTCAAAAAACGACATTGAAGCACGTTTTTTTTTTTTTTTTTGAGGAAAGCGCTTGAAGGATTGGCTCGAAATTTTGCATGTGGACGAAGAAAAGATTTAAAGTAAAGAAAAAAAAATAAAAATTTGCTTTTACACGCTCACCCTGATAAAAAATCGAAGTCAAAAGGCTTTAAAGTTTTGCAGCTGGGAAAGTATTGAAGCTGCATTGGAAATACTCAGTGCGGATTTGGTAAGGATTCAATTGGCCTCATTTCAAGCCTAATTATGTTAAGATCGTATTGAAATTAACAAAGTTGTGAGGCAATACATGTCCTTTTAGAAGAAATCAAATTTCCAAAAAGTTACATTTAGGGAGGTTTTATTTTATTTTTTGTAGAAAATGTTTCAGGTATTAGATTAAAATTTTGGAAGTGGATAGAGAAAAAGATGAAATTTAGGAAAAAATTAAAATTTCCTTCTGATTGTACACCTTCAAGGAGGACTACTTTGCCAAAATTGTGGGGAATTAAGAGGAATTTGTGGAGAATTAAGAGGAATTTGTGGGGAATTAAGAGAAATTTGTGGGGAATTTGGAGGAATATGTGAGGAACTTTAAGGAATATATGGTAAATTGGAGGAATGTATGAGAAATTGGGGAAATTTATTGGTTTTAACACTGAGCGTAATAAAAATAGAAAAATACATATCTTATCATGGACAATTTTGGTAATTTTTATGGAATTTGTGAGCAGTTTGGAGGAATTTGCAGGGAATTTGAAGGAATTTGCAGGGAATTTGGAGGAATTTGCGGGTAGTTTGACGAATTGTTTGCACAATTTCAGTGTGGGGGGGGGGGGGGGGGAATTCTGAGTCAAAAAATCTGAACTGCAAATATTCAGTGTTAAATGAAGGAAAAAAAATAATGTAATTTGACATTTTTACTAACAAAATGGAATGTAGAAAGAATAAATTAAAAGAAAATTGAGAATACATTCATGTATTTTTCCATTCCAGGCTCTTGAAGTTTGGAAGAAAAAAATTAAAGAGCCGAAACAGGCAAAAATTTTATTTTGCTCAAATTTATGTTGTTTTATTGTTGAAAGAAAACTTTTACACATTCAAGACTACGTTGTAGGGATTTTGAATGAAAAAAAGGGAAAAATCGCCAAAAATATTTTGAAATCCCATTTCACACATTGATATTTCAATACAAAAACCCACAAGAAAACACATCAAGAACAAATTTAAACCATTTTCTGGTATTTAGAATTTCAGTTTCCAAAAATACATCTCCCAATGGATCTGTATGACTATTTGTTTCAATTTAGGTTGTTTTAAGATCAAAACACAAAATTTAGAACATTTAAGGACAGATGTCAATTGAAAAGAAGTTCTACACCAATTTAGGACAGTTTTTCTTGATATTTCAATAGAAGATGCCCCAAGGGAAACACACTTTGAAAAAATGTTAACCATTTTTTCTATCTCAGGCCTCCTGGGTTTTCTTTAATATTTGAATTGGAGAAATTTCAACGAAAACAAATAACCAAATGCCTGGAATAGTTGAAAATTGAAATAAAAATCACCATGTTAACAAAACCTTGGGAAACTGAGCAAGTATAAGATTTTTGGCACCAATCACCACAACACAATAGAGTTGAATTTTTGTTCAATCAACAGAAAAGTCTTCATTCTGAACTTTTCATAATTAATCTGACTTTTCATAAAATTGTCCCTAAACTGAGTTTGGAAAAAGGCAATTTGAAATAAGTTTTAATGAAATCACTTACCTTTTTAGTGAACTTTGTAGTTTTAATATCAATAAAACAAGCCGCAATAGCCTTCATGTAGGAACGCGAGTTATTAAAGGTAACTCTTCCTGATCCAATTGGGTATTTGTATTTATCAGTATCAATACCTAATAATTATACAAATTTTAAAAAAATCACTTTATTGATTTCTGGAAGCAACTTACCTGCATAAACAACGCCACCAAACAAATCGTTCATTATTACAGCCAATCCATAAGCAGTCAGCATTCCGTGTAGAGCACCCACAAATACAGTTTTGCTTGCATCCAATTTTTGCGATGCCGATTTTGTGTAGTTTGAATCGCTCAGGAACCAAGGAATAATTTGAACCTAAAAAAAACCTAAAAGCATAACATAAAAAAACTTCCTAGTAGATAATCAAACTTACATCTTTAGACTTCATCCTCTTAGAACCCATTTTAAAAAAGAAGTTTTCACAAGTATAATCCGTATCGCAGGACTTTATCAGTGTCTTGACAGCCTTTTCGGAGTCCATGATAAGGTAGGCGTAACCTTTGGGTTGGGAAACTTGTCTATCTTTACCCGGCCATTCCACTCTGACCTGTCCGAATTGTCTAAATATTTGCACTAGACATTGCTCAGAAATATCCCATGGTACACCTCCCAGAAAAACTTTGCTCGAATATCCATACGGGTGTTCGGTGCGAGCTGGTAAATTTCCACTCCATGTGCACACAGCATCATATAAAGCTATAACAAACACATATAATATAAATTATTAAAAAATTAAATCCCTACATGCAGAAGATCGATGAAATCTTGCAGCTCGATCCAACTGATAATAGTTTTGCGGTATCAAATTGAGAAGACTCGAATTTGTATTCGGTCCTCCCAATGGGGCCGCTGGACTTGTAGGAAAAAAGGAACCAAGTGCTCCAGGATTGTTTTGTAAATATTGCAGAGCACGGACAGCGTTTAGATATTCCAAGTCCACATCAGGTATGGCTTCGGGTCCTGGCAAACTTTCCGATACGTCGTTAACAGTCAATGAATTCTGCTCAAACAAAATAACTAGTTAAAAAGTATGTGCAGATTATTGTTTAATTTACCAATAAATTGCCAAGTTCTGATATGTGTTGCAGGCTGGAAGCAGCAGTGGAATATGCTTCTGGAGATTCTGATACAAAACTGCGGTTCAGAAACTGCTGCTGATCAAATGGACTGTTGCTTCCACAAGAGTCACTAGAATAATTTATGGGTCAAGATTATGTTACTAAAAACTTGGAAGTTTTCTTACTTCAACGATTCACTTCTCATCGCTCTAGCAAAATGCGGGGGCGTTTGAGGACTAGATCCGGTACTTCCAAAAGAAACATTTCTCTGGTATTTTTTACTGATGCGCATCTTGCCGCTCTCGTTCCCATAATTGTTTTGACGATCGAATGTATTCTATGAAATTTATGGAAATGTTATAAATGTCTCGTTTAGTACGAAATATTGTGCGTAATTTTCATGAAATAAAGCCCTATACTTTGGCAACGATCCCGGAAATCAGAACTAAATAGGGTCATGTTTGCGATCTAATAATTTAAACTTATTCTCAAATGGAGAGGATTTTTATTTTTCGTTGATTTTCTTAAATGAATCTATAGTATAGCAGAAATAAGTTAAACCTTTTGTAGCTTTGTAGATTCTTACATAAATACAAAATTAATTCTAGAAAAAGAATTGTCTAAGGTAGGTATCTATTGCCTGGGTTTACCTCAAAAAGTAAGAAAAAAATGTATACTTAATATATTTTAAATATGAAAAGAGATGATGACATAACTGCAAGTAAGTAATCTAAAGATAGTTAATCCACTTTACCCTTGGAATGTCATTGATTTTTTTTTTCTTCTGGCATTAGACTGAGTAGAAATTGGTCAAATTCTCCAAAAAAAGTTTTAGAATAACATCAAAAATTCTCACCTGATTTTGTGGGCTCACAGGTGGGGTACTCAATCCATCTGAATAATCGCTGCTGTTGAGCTGGCCACGAGGCGAATTCAGACCTAGCAAATCTGATATGTACATTGTATCTTCTCCTGCCATTTAACACAAATTATTATACAATCAGCAGTACAAAATGTTTTATCAAAAAAATAAAAAGTTTAAAAAGCGTTTTGAGTCAAAATGTGGTAGCTGGTGCTCTACTTCTTTCACACACCACAAGCAAAACTATTGTGTGCGATTATCAAGTTACTACCTACAGCTGAGGATCAGCAGTATCAAATAAGTTTTTTTCTGCATTAGCATAGAAAAGATAAACAATTTGCCTGTTTTGTAGGTCTTTTTTGGGGTTTGATTTGTTTAGATTATAGGCAAAAGGTATGCGAATGCGATAAGAAGCAAAATATACAAAATATTCATGCATACATTAAATTTAAAATAATTTACAGTGTTTCATTAATTTAAATAAATAATCTTGATAAAAGAAGTAGCAGTTTTTCTCATACAATAATCAACTCCATAAAGAAACTATCTGAGAAGTAGTTCCATGTCTACAGTTTTTGTCTTGGATGAAATTTCCTAGAGTTAAAAAAAAAATATTTAGGAAGCATAAAAATAATTGACAAAAAATACTGCAGAAAAAACTATAAGAAGGAAATCAAATAAATTGAGCATAGTTTCAGAGGTCTCCTCAAAATCAGATTTTTTTGCCAAAAATGTTTCAATACTGAAATGAAATTTAAAGTTGTCTTTATTCTTTTGCCAACTTTTGTTCAGCAACAGAAAATGAATATTTTTTTTTCTCACCCTCAGTTTCCTCCACTTCCCACAACGGTACATCTCTCATCAACAAAGAGTTGATGGAATGGTTTTGTAGTAAATCGATGGACAACTGGGCATCATCCTGGTATAGTCTTTTGGGACGCAAAGCCTGAAAAGGACCAAACATCAGATTACCAATATACCTACCGTAAAAATTTCTTTTGAAAAAATATAAATGTGCTTTAGCCTTACCAACAACAGAAACACCACCTATTCTGAATCATTCCCAAACTTAAACTATAGAAATTCATATAGCAGACTAATTTGAAAAAAAAAACGAATGTAATATACTGTTCCACTTTCATGTTAAAATCTTTATTCAATTATTACTTATTCGAATTGTTTGTTATTACATAAAATGTGCGAGGAATACCCCCAGTGTGTCAACCATAATAATTTTCTTAATGGTGGCTGACCATCAAGAATTTCACATGATAATAATTTATGCATTTGATTTTTATAAGAGCTATGATTTTTTTTATAAAGCTGAGACAAAATTCGTCAGGATTTATAACAGCAAAAAAAGATTTGCTTGCAAATTTCACTTAATCCAGAATAATGCAGACAAAATGGTACCTATCATTAAATTAAAATGGTCTAAGATTAAAATCCATATTACATTTGACTAAAAATTGAAAATACTTCAAGCAATAGGAGGGACTTGAAACTTTCAGGGTTTATTCAGTAGGGTATTTTTATCAAAAAAAACAAACCGCAAGTGGATCTCAGGCTCAGAAATGGAATTATGAATGTTTTCTCACATTTGGAAGCTTCTGAAAAATACTTCCAGCAATAAGAGGGATTTCAAAATTTCAAGATTTATTGAGTAAGGTATTTTTATCAAACAAAACAAACCGCGAATGGATCTCTGGCTCAGAAATGGAACTATGAACTTTTTCACACCTAGATGCAAAAAAATCATGTAAAATTTCTAATAAATCACCTTTGGAAGCTTCTGAGAAATACTTCCAGCGATAAGAGAGACTTCAAAGTTTCAGGATTTATTGAACAAAACAAACTGAAACTGGATCTCATGCTCAGAGATGGAATTATCAATTTTTTTCTCACTTAGATAGATGCAAAAAAATCATGTAAAATATCTATTAAATCACCTTTGAAAGCTTCCGAAAAATACTTCCAGAAGCAAGAGGGACTTCAAACTTTCAGAATTTATTGAGTAGGGTCTTTTTCTCAAACAAAACAAACCGCCAGTGGATCTCAGGCTCAGAAATGGAATTATGATTATTTTCTCACTTAGATTGGTGCAAATTGCCAACAACCAGTTTTCTGACTATTTTAAACAAATGAAATTCGCTCTGACTGGTTTCTAATTTGTGTGACAACAGACCTAAAGTATGAAAATGTTGTAGATCATAAAATTGAAAACATGAATCTTGATCATCATCAGTGTGTAGCAATGGAAATCACCTGGTTATCATACAAAAATATCTGCAAATCATTGGCAATCAGTTGGAATTCTTGGGATGGGAATACATAAGATTCATTGATCAGTGATTGCTAAATATGGAAATCATTGTACATTTGTAAGCATATTGGTTGACCCCTCGGTAAAATGCAATCAAAATAGGATAATACAAAAAATAAAACAAAAATAAAAATAACTACATTGTTAACAAAATACCATAAGTTGCCATAAGTAACCACAAGCAGATATAGTCTAGTGAAAATGGCAAAACAATCTTCTAGAAATTAAAAAAAAAAGGAAACAAAACAAAAAAATTTGAAATTAAATGATAAACCAAATTGAAATAAAGAAACCCTTTTTTCCCTATTATTGTCCTGAGCTGCAAATGAATTGTAATTTTTTATTTATTGTCATTTACTATTGATATGTATTTCATTTAATTTTATTTATCTTGACATACGTACATTGCTATTTTGTGATCTTAACATGAATAAAGAATTTGAATTTGAATTTGAAAACACACAATTTTTAACTTTCCTAAAATTAGCTTAGCTGTCACTTTCAATAGCAAATGATTGCAAAACCTTACCTAAGATTTAAAGACGAAATGCTTGAACATACATAGTTCATTTGAAAAATTGGAAAATGCTAAAATCTTGTCCTCTTGCTCTTAACAAATTTGCATTTCTGAAATTATAATTCCAGAACAAACAAAATTTGCTGGATTTGTATTTCTTTTTAAATTCTAAACTAGGTAAACCGCCAACACCCACACCAGGAATAGACGAACTCTACAATAACATCTCAAATAGTATTCAAATCCCAAAAAATATATGCTTTAAACAAGGGGGAAATTTGAGCAAAATCAGCCCACACACAAAAAATCTAAAGAAATCAAGAAAAGAAATGGATCGAAAAAACCAAGGATATAAGAATCTTAGCAAAGATATCAATAGGAATATCCGAAAAGATTTAAGAAACCATAACAATGGAGATAATTAAGAACACAATCGAAGACAATAAAAGCATGAAATTTCCAAGATCCAAACTATCAAATGGAAGGTCAAAAATGACTAAAGTAAAAAACAAGCCGGGTTAGCGATCGTAGTGAAATGGTGACTGCAATTCAAGACTTCTACAAGGACCTGTACAGTTCTGAAGTCCAAGGCCGTCAATATCAGAGGAAAATAAAACAAAATGTAGAATCTGAAGAGGTTCCTGAAGTAAATATCATTCATCAGAGTCCAGGCGATGAAATGATTGAAATAGGTGAGACACTTATGGAACATGTAAGATTATTGCTAAATGAATGTTTAACAGAAGCTAAAATCCCAAATAAGTGGCAAAATGCAGAAATCATCCTAGTCTATAAGAAAGGAGACAGAAACAATATAGATAATTATCGAACTACCGGCTTATAGCATTTCGCAGGAAAGGTCTTGTCGTGGTTTGAGAGCTACTTATGTGAACGTGAGCAGTTTGTTCACGCGAATGGGTTGTCATCCAGCAGGCAGTGTATCTCCTGTGGCGTTCCCCAGGGTTCTGTACTGGGACCTATTCTTTTTCTAATTTTTATTATTATATTAATGATTTAACATAACTTGGGATATCTGGGCAGTTCACGTTGTTTGCTGATGACACAACTATTTTCTGGCACAATAAAAACCTTACGCAACTACGACAGGACATTGAATCTGATCTTAAGAAGGTTAAACAGTGGTGCGATGCTAACCGTCTGTGCTTAAATATGTCCAAAACTCATATGATTGGCTTCAATTTTGTACCTCAAGACCTTGCTACAAGTGATGACTATCTCTTTTGTAGACAATTCGAAATTCCTAGGACTTATTATCGACGAAAATCTTAAATTTTATCCACACATTCTAAAATTAAACAAAAAACTGGCATCCGGCTGTTTTTCAGTAAGAACTACTTTCAGGGAACTTGGCAAGGAAGTAGCTCGCAGTGTGTACTTTGCTCTGGTCGAATCCCATATTAGGTATGCATTACCCTTTTGGGGAGCTTGTGCACAGTATCTATTTCGATCGGTTTTCATCCTCCAAAAGCGTGCAGTTCGAAATCTGTGTAATGCTCACCCTAGAACTAATTGTAAAAATCTCTTCATCCAAAATAGTATCCTTACTCTTCCTTCTCTTTTCATCCTTGAAACAGCATGCTTAATTCATAAAAACAAACATTGCCTTCCGAATCACCAGCAAGTATATCAAACCCGTCAGAACAATTCTATCCCACTGCCTATACCTCATTCCAATTTAGTTAAGAGGTCTCTCATCTACAATGGTATTAAAATTTATAATAGTAAGTATAAGTCTGCAAATTAGAAACGCCCCAACACTAAAGGCATTCCGAAACCTGCTAAAAGCATTTTTATTGAAAAAAGCTTTTTACACAATTGACGAGTTTTTTGAACAGTCTTAATTTTAGTAGGTAATTATTGACTAAATAGTATTGTGTATACACTGTTTGTTAAAATTAACATTTACCTTGTTTGTTACATGCCTCACTTTTATTTATTTATTTTTATTATTTTTATTTTTTATTTTTATTTTTGTTTCTGTTTTTGTTTTTGTTTTTATTTTTCTTTTGTTGTCTTTGATTAAATTAAATTTGATTCCAGGCTATTTTATTGTTTGACAAATTTATTGTTTAGATTTGAATAACATGTTGCAATTGTTGTTGGTAGGTTATTTTTAATTATGCTTTGTCAATAAGACCTATTACATGTAATATTTCTTGGACAATAAAGTACTTTTCATCATCATCATCATCATCATCATCATATCGGGAAGATGACTTAGATGTTAGTTAAATTCTAACACGCGACCTCAGCGTACACTTACCTGTTAGAAAAAATCTAACTACGGGACCAACTACGATTGAAATACCAAGACTTAATTGCATTTATCAAATTTAAGTTTAAGTTTTGATTCCGAATTTTTTTTTTTTAGTGTTAGATAAAATCTAACATACGACCGATCGCGTTATAGGAAGGGTAGCGACCGATCCCGGGTTAAACAAAAAAAAAGATCAAGAGTACAGAAGACATCCAGGTAACTGTTAATGACCAACCCCTGGCTTTGGAATATATCTACTTATGCCGGTTTTCCACCAAACAGACAAAATAAAAACAAAACCCAAACTCAAAATTTTCCCAAACATTTTCAAGACTAGCGCGTTTTGAGACAGTTGCATTTTTGTTTCCCCGAGAAAACAAAACGTAGTCCGCTTGATGGAAACAAGAGTTCTGTGTTTATTTCAGTTTTGTTTTTGTTTTAAAACATGTTTTAAAACACAAACTCAACAGTCCGTTTGGTGGAAAACCGGCATTAGGCCACAAAATTCAGCTTGGCAAAGTAAATCAATCTTCTGAGATCACAAGAAGAATAGGCCTCTCCTGGGCAGCTATTGGCAAACTAGGATTTATCCTTAAATTTCGTGAACTTTCTATACATTTCAAAAGGAAAGTGTTTGATGCCTGTGTGATGCTGGTTCTCATATATGGACTCGAAACAATGGGAACCACCCACAAATTTGCCAATAAACTGCAAACCACCCAACAAGCAATGGAGAGGGCTATGATAGGAATCACTTTAAGGGATAAAATCCGCAACGAGAATAATCGTAGAACTGAAGTGATGAATGTACTAAGGCTTGTGGCACAACTAAAATGGAGATGGGCTGGTGATATAGCAAGGCAGGAGGATCATAAATGGGCACACAGGATATCAATTTAGCGCCCAAGAGAGACCAAACGAAGTATTGGTAGACCCCAGAGACGATATCCAGAATGTTGTAGGAAGGAGTTGGATCAGGACTGCTAGGGATAGAACAGCGTGGAGAGATTTGGAAGAGGCCTACATCCAGGAGTGGATAACCACGGGCTGAGAAGAAGTTCTTCTTTAGTACATCTACATTCAGAATTTTAGATTATTATCTATGATACAGTTATGCAGATATGATTTTTGAAAGTTTATTCATATGTATATACATAAGCAACATGACTTAACACTTAGGTACATATATACCTTTATTGCCTCTAAACCTAAACTGAGAATGTGAAGATCAAAAGTGCCACACAAATCCTCAACAAATTATTTCACCAATGCCAAGGTCCAGTTGAAAATTCCACATTTCAAAACTGGCTCAGTTGAACTCTACCTGGTACTTGAACTTGCCAATTTTAGCCCATATTGCTGTCAGAAGTATTCCAAAGTGTAACTTCTCTGACAGCTAAACATTTTAAATGGTTAAGTTCAAGTACCAAGTACGAGTACAAGTCGAATTCAACTGAACCAATATTCGAACTTCAAATCTAGGCTTAAATATGATGAAAACAAGCTAACTTGCAAAGGAAAAGATTATTTCAGATTTGGGGGAGTTTTTCAATTACTTTCTATATAGGTAGTGATGTAAAATGCTCGAGCAAGTATTTTAGGAGAACGTTCTCCAAGCAGGATCGAGAATTAACGGGAATAAACAAGCAAAAACGAGCAGGACCCGAGAATGTATGCTTTTTATCAGACGCTGAATAAAACAAAACATTTTTCTAAATAAATTCTGATTTTTCTCAAATTTCCCAAAATTCCCAAATTTCTCGTGGAAGTTCTGAATATTCTGAAAATTCTTCATAAATGTGCTGAAAATTCTCCAACTTCTTGGGAAAATATAATACATAATATCCTATTCACAATCTGTAGTCCAAAGGTACAGGTAAATTTATCACCTTTCCCTATCAAATAGCATTGAAAGGTGATAAATTTTACATGTACCTTTGGACTACAGATTGTGAATAGATAATAATTAATCTCATATTTTGTGAATTGTGTCTTGTGTCATGTTTGACAACAATAATTATTCTAATTTGGGTTTCTTTTCCAGTAGAACGCTACCTTTGCTTAAAAAAAAAAAAACTACTGCTGCTAAGTTGCTTCCTGGTTCTCGGGCTCAATATTTGATATATCTCCGCCTTCAACAGCTTCCATAAATATATCTCTACTCTATGGCGTCATGTGATTTTATTGGTTAGGATCGTGCTTGAGGACGTGCTAAATATTCTCTATCGTGCTCAATGTGCTCCGAAGGTAATATTCAGCACGAACCTTTTTTTCGTGCGCGAACGTTCGCGAATGTTCTCGAAAGCACAATCAGAACGTTCCCTTGTTCACATCACTATTTCTAGGGTAGGTATTTCAAGTAAAAAATAACCAGTATTTGAATCACTTTTTCTGTCAATTCAAGTACCAAACACAAATACTTTATAACTATTAACTTGTATATGCAGAATGAATGAAGTACAAATGTCCAGAAATAAAAGTATTGAAATTATAGACCTACTTCAAATATAAAAAGTGATTGAAATACATTTTTCAAGTCCCTAATTCACTTGATCAAGTACTGACAACTCTGGGCTTCAGTAAAGTCAAAGTTGTATAATAAGGAATAATTAGGTAAGGAAATGGACAAAATCAAAGAAATTGGATCAAACTGAACAATTGTACCTATAGCAAAAAATATTTCTCCTGCTTTATAAAATCAAGAAACAAAAACCTTAGATTACAAAAACACAGCAATAAGATGTCTTATATTTCTTTATACAAGAACGTCTACAAATGGAATAGTTTTCCGTTTTCCTTTTTGGCTCAAAATTGTGGAAAACTAAATCTTCATTTAGACATGTTGGGCATTCCAAAATACAATAATCCTGTCCTGGAAGAAGTGCCTGATTCTCGAAAAACAATAAAGGGAGCTTAAGAATAATTATGAGATTTTGATAAATTGCACATGAGTGATAAAAATAGAACATTACTTCTCTTGAGAACGCTACTCGCTCCTTTGTTTTGAGAATCAGGCACCCTGATGAGGAGCTCCTCTGACCAGAGAATCATGCAATGGAATTTAATAATTCTGTCAAATTTTTCGTATAAACTATTGTCAGTTGTCTTAAATTATATTATAACAAATTAAATGTATTTATTTGTTTTTAAAAACAATCATCCTCATCCTTGGGTTTCGCATAAATACAGATAAATAAATTTTGACTTTTCATGAAGGTGTACAGGGTAGAAGCCATTTTGGTGAAAATTTCCTTGTAGAAGACTTGGGCTCGCAATACCTTTTATGCGAAATTAAAAGCTTTTTTAAGAAAAAAAAACATTCTCAAAACTTTTTCTGTCAAAATATCCACCTGCACCTGCCAAAAATAAAGGGGAATCCCACGGGCTACAGGTGTTTTGACTTTTGAGACTAGATTATTCAATTTGGTTAGAAAACACCGGCAAAAATCGCAAAAAGTTCACTTCTTCGTTGCCCTCAAAGTGAATATATTCTCTATTTTCTAAGTATAAAAAAGTTCTTACCGATTTCTGAAAAGTAGACATTTTTTTTCACATTACAAAACTGCACAACACAACTACTTAGAAAATCAAAACTTACAAAAGAAGTTCCGTAACTATTTTTTCTTTTTTCCCTTCTTGTTCAATCTTGTTGGGGTTGCTCTTCAATGCGCAAGACTCGCGAAATCTTGAGTCCCGATTGGCCAGCAACAAGTTGGACAAGTGGTCCACGTTGCCTGATTGCCCTAATTTTCTATTTATTTATTCAAACTGAAAACGAATTCAGCAAATTATTTGATTGTTTCCGAGTTTTAGAGCCAAAAAAGGTTGCGATTAAATATATAAAAAATTGAAAATAATTTACGTTCTGTTGGTTACTTACCAATTAAATTTAAATTATTTTATTATTTGGATCCGTTTGATATTCTTTAAAGGTTTGGCAACATGGTAATATTGTGTTGCAGAGGAAAGTGTTTGAAAACTTTTGATGGAATAAAAATGGAATTATGTAATTTTGACCCTTAATTCATAGATATAAGTCTAAACCTAATGAAACTAAAACGAAAAACTAAAAGCTAAATCCCTGTTAAGAGAAACTTTTCAAACTAAAAAATTATACAAATTCAAATAGCGTTTTTGTTTGATAAATCCAGTTGAAAATAAATGTATAATATTTCTATCTGTTTCTTTAACAGGCTGATAGAAAAAGATGGGACAACACGCAGTGCTGCGAAACGAAAACGCCTTGAGCCAATAGTTGGGCGGCAATTTTCAACTTTGAAATTATTTATACCCTTTTTTAAGAAAATTTAACAATTAAATTATTTTTTAACAATCTTTGCTTATTTTAATGAAAAAAAATAGAAAAAGTATATACCTACTAGATTTAGAAAATCAATAAGGTTTTTCTTATTTTATTGCGTGGGAACTTTTTATTATGCCACCCTTTTATGGGGCCCTTTATCCTTTTATGACATTGAAGAACTTTTTCTCAGGACGAATTTTTAGTGAGTCATCACTACCTTGGGTCTGCCCTATATACTCTGCTTGTTTGTTTTTTGAGTTTTATTTGTATTAGGGATTCGTGAATCATTTTTATTTTCCGGATTTTGCTATGTTGTGTGTTTTGTTAATTTTTTTGCTCTTTTTATTTACATTCTACTCAGTCTGTTGTTTGCATTATTGTATTTTGTTTATTTTGTCTTTTTATTTAACTTTTCAAGGCTTATTATTGATCTAAGGCTTAAAGTTCCAACTTCCCAGACAGCATACAGCATACAAAGTCTCTAAAGACGCCTTTGTGTAAAGCTGGATTTATACAGCAAATAAAATAAAATGAGATAAAATAAGAAATAAGAAATAACAGTTAACTTCATGAGATACCCTTAAACTGTTTATACAGAAAATAACAAATAAAATAAGAAATGCATTAGTTATGTATTTGTTATTTTATCTTATGTTATCTTATTTTATTTTATTTGCTGTATAAATCCAGCTTAAGTCTGCATTATACTTCTGAAAGTCTGAAGACCAAAAAAGACGTCTAGAAAACGTTCATTGTTTTGGAGTTGTCATAAATTCACATCTTAAAGAAAACTATTTGGTACAACCAGAGGCCATAAAGTGAATAATGGTATATGTATTGAAAAAAGTCCTCTTTAAAAGTCATCTCGTTGAAGTGGTCTCTAGAATGTCTAGTTCTATATAAAGACGTCTTTAGGCAGACGTCTGAAAGACGTTGGGTTTTTGTAACACGACACGCCTTCAAGATGTCTTTAAGAAGCCTTAAACACGTAAGCAAAGACGTCTTGAATGTCATTTGTGGACATCTTAGGTTTTCTCTCAGACAGGGGAGTCGATGGCATATAAGTATTTCTGCTTGGAATACAGTAGCGTATTCTCCCAGAGGTTGACTGATGTCGCATCTACAAATAATAAAGGACAATATATAAAATACAGGACATTTTAAAAGTTTGAGTTGTTGAATGGGATCTGGTTCACTACATTGGTCGTTGTTTTGATCATTAGGTTCGTTTCTATATGTTCTACATTCTACATTCATATCTTCATTCGACGTTTCTTGATGAAGAGCTGCAGAATCTCCTCTTGGCGCAAGGTGGCGCGTTGATACAGTTGTTTCTTTACCATTAGCTAATCTGATATGAACATAATCAGAGTTAGCATCTAGGAGTTGCACTTCTTCCATGATCGGTTCATATACTTATTACTTGCTTTGTCTTACATGCTTCTTCAGGAAGACTGGACCAGGAATACTCAACGAGGTTGGAATTGAAGAACCATTTGTAGATCTTCGAGGATAACAGAACATTCTTTCATGCGGTGAACAATTTGTTGCTGTACATAACAAAGACCTCATTGAATGTAGAGAGTCGACCACCAGTACCTGTTGCCAATGTCTTATATCCATGTTTCTTGATTTTAGAGCTAACTGAATGAATTGCGGGTTATAAGGAATAGTGCGACTAGTTGCAATCCCGTGTCGTGTTAAGAATGTTTTCAGTTCTTCAGACATAAATGATGTCTCTCTTTCACTATGCAGGTACGATGGTGTCCCAGAAACAGAAAAAAGTTGTGTTAAACAATTTATAATAGTTGATGAGGTCATGTCAGGATAAGCAAAGCCAAATGGGAATCATCCACAATAGTCAAAATATAGCGGTTTTGGTTCTCAGATGGCAATGGTCGACCTTTAAAATATACATTTATTCTTTCGAAAGGGGCAGTAACTTTTATGATGGTCCCTTTGATTTCTATGGAACCTTGGTTTGATCTCAGCACAAACGGGACAGGTGGCTAGGGTTGCCAGATACTTAAGTTTTGAAAATGACCCTGTATAAAATTATATGAGATTGGATATTTTGGATAATGAGAATATTTTATGTATCTACTGCAAAATGCCCAAACCCGAAAAAGTTCCCATCTTGACAATTAGCTATGATTTTGAGCAGATTTTGGAATGTATTGCTGAACATTCTTTTAGGTAGGTAATTATGGATACGCTTCCTGGTCCGTCCAGGCTCATTTCTTGTAACAAATCGTGGACAACACCTTGAGTTTTTTGATGTTTAAGCAAATCCCTGACCCAAAATCGTTTTGTTATTATTTCAACTTTGTCCGACGTCAGAAAAAAGTTGGAAATATTTAATAAAAAGTGGCGGGAAATTTTTTAGCCAATGATAGGAGCTCCGTCGTACCATCGGACGGTCGGGGTGATAACGGACGTATGACACTCCGGTCTTTCACGTGTACGTACAGTAGTGATAATAGTGATATACATGGTTTCTTTCTTTTTTTGGGGAAAATATATGAGAAAGAATCTCATATTAAACATGCTAATATGAGATATGAGAAACAGTTAAAATATATGAGTCTCATATATTAAAAATAGGAGGTCTGGCAACCCTACAGGTGGCTGAAATTCTCTTGATATCGTCTAGTGAGAAAGGTAGATTCTTACATCGGACCCCAGCGCGATACAGTCTTGTTATACCAGGATGACAGAAAGAATTATGTAGATTATACAATGTTTTGTCACTAGAAGAAGGTGAAATCACAGAAGATATTCTTGAAAATGTATCTCTGCCACGATATTTTGATTTCCAGATCTGTATATGATATCATTTATAAAATGGTAGTTCCAGACGCCAACGCATTATTTTTAAATTTCTGATTTTAGAATTACCTAATAAATTAAACATAGAAGCGACCGATTTCTGGTCAGTTACGAGCTTAAAGTAACGTCCGATCAGAAAATGTTTCCATTTACGAAGTGCTTCCAGTATCATAGGCTTCTTTTTCTACGGAAGAATGTAGCTGTTCCGATTTCGTCAATGTTCTAGAAAAACGCCACTGGTTTTCCAGACTGTATAAGTTGAGCAGCAACAGCATATTCCGATGCGTCAGTTTTAACAGTAAAAGTGGCTTCATCGTCAATGGAAATAACAACATCGTTTTGTAGGTATATCAGTTTTCTCTTCAACTGTTTAAATGCAGCAGCTTCACAAGTAGACAATGGAAACTTTTTAACTCGAATCAGTGGATGTATTTTCTCAGAAAACTTATATGAATGAATTTGGAATAATGGGCAAACATGCCTTGAACTCTCCTGAGCCAAGCAGTATTAGTAGGTGCTGGCAACTGAATCAGTGGTTTAAGTCTGTCTATATCTGGTTTGATTGATTTTCATTCTATTGTATGCCCTATAGTATATTAATTTTAGTCATGCCAAAGTTGCATTTCTCTTTGTTAAGCGTCAGATTATATTTCTTAACAACTGAAAATCGTTTAAGATTTGTATGATGATGCTCTTTATTTTTACCACAGATGGTCACGTCGTCAAGAAATGCATATGTGTCTTCTAAATGTTCTTGTTTGATAATGTTATTCATATTTCTCTGAAAACAAGTAACGCCATTAGTCACTCCAAAAGGAATTCGAGTGAATTGGTATAGATTTTCACATGCTTCAAAGGCAGTGTATATACGTTCATGCGCTAGAATTGGTATCTGGTGATATGCACTAGGATCTATCGAACTGAAATATTCAGACTAAGAAATTTGGTTGACCATATCTTCAATCCTGGGTAACAGGTATGCATCCAAATGTGTATAATTTATGGTCAGTGAGTAGTCTATAACCATTCGCTTATGATTTTCATTACTGGTCACTAGCACCTGAGCTCTCCATGGAGAATTGCTTGGCTCGATTATTTTCTCTTCTGAAAGTCTTATTCGCATTTCAGCTTCAATGAATTTTAAATCAACTGTGGAGTATTTGCGAAATTCAATTGCAATAGGCTTACAATTTTCTGTCAAATGTTCGAATAATGGATATGGTTCTACCTTAGCGATAGTCAAATTACATATGGAGATCGGTGGTTTGCTTCCCCCGAAACTGAATTCTACTCCTGAATGTTGTTTGAGAATATCATGTCCAATTATAATATCAGCACATAGTTCTTCTAGAATGTAAAGTTTGGTATTTTTATAGATATTGTCAAATATCTTTATATCAGCTTTGCAAAATCCACGTACCAAAGAGTTAAAATTTGAAGATGCTATTGTAACATTCACTTTTGTAGAAAAAATTTTCATGTGTTTCTTTTACAACTGTACCGGAAATATAACTCTCTGAACTTCCTGTGTCGACCATTGCCTTCATCATAAATCCATTGATTTGCATTCCGATTAGGGCTTTTGATAAACTGACAGGGGAAGTAATTCCAGATATCCCCATCAAAAGAGTAGCAGTTGTTATCTTAGTAGAATATGGGGCTTTTGATTTTTCGATTGACAGACCTGGATGAAAAAACCTTTCTTTCCGCAGTTGTAACAAATAGAATTTTTCGCTGAACATTTATCTCTGGCATGTCTAGATCTATCACAAAAATAGCATTTAGAAGCGACAGCTGCTATAGGTCATTTTCGATCTGTACATTCGAAGAAGAATTGTCAGGAGTTTGATGAGAGATCGCAGCATTCATATTTGAACAGAAAGGTGTAAGATAAGATTCGGAATGTTGCTGAGCCGTTTCAAGTTCTCTAGCAGTATCAACGCCTTGTGTTAAGCTCAAAATACAATGTTCCAAAAGCCTCATCTGTCTTATATGAGAAGAAGTAAGACCAGTAATGAAAGTATCTCTGATGTAATTGTCCCTATTTTGATCTGCATTGACTACTTTAAAATTGCAGTCTTGGCTCATGAGCTTCAGGGCTTGTAAATATTGATCTATGGACTCACCAACTTGTTGTTTGCTTGACAATAATGAGTGTCTGGCAAATATCTCATTCTTTGGCTTGACATATATGTTTTTCAAAATATTAATCGCATCTTCATAAATGACGCATTCATTTATATATTCAAAAATAGAACTAACATAATTGATTAGCAGATTAGGTTTATCTTTACCTTCTTCCACTTTAGCAGCTTACAAAAAATTATTAAAAGTTTGATTCCAATGAGTCCATTGATGAGCGGCATTGCTGGTTTGGTTTTGGGTTCCAGGTTTTGTTCAGTTGGAGACGATATGCCTAGCGCTTTTGATTATTATCAATTATATTTAACGTAGGAAGGACTAGAATTCTTAAATATTTCAGGAATTTGGATTTATACTACCAGAGATAGAATCTTGCCAAGAAAAGTAGGAAAAAATTTTCCAATAATTCACAGCAATGACATGATATAGTAGATTTTAGGTGCCTTCGGGCATCCAGTACCTACTTGATAACAAGACACTTAAAGAAATATAACTAGTTTTCTGACTGTTTTCAACCAATGAAATTTGTTCTATTATGTTTCAGAACTTTTTCAGTTTGACTTTTTTTTATGTCTGCAATATTTCCAGCCTTGTTATTCTTACATATTTATATTTACTTCCTATCAAATTCTCTTGTTATCCATGATCCATGATTTCACCTGAGTTTTGTGTCTTTTCATTCAATTCTATCATGGTCAATTTAATATGATTTTCAAATTCTCCTAAATAAAGAAAAAAATAAAAACAGCAAAATCAAAACACGAACAGATTCTTTATTACCAGCTAACATCAAATTAAATTACGGTACAAAAATGGTGCAATTATAGACGTTTAGTCCTTATAGCCTAGTAGACATTTTCAAATGCAAAAAGAGAGTGCTTTTTATGCAAAATTTGTTTTTGGTGGCTTCGCAGTTTACTTCAGATGGGTATAATGCCATTTGTCAACTGGAAAAAAAAAGAAGGCAAATAAATGTATGTACTTAGTGATATTTAGGCAGAAAAAAATGACTTTATTGTAATTGAATACCAATGAAAATTGTCTTATTCGTATTAGAATTATACCCTCAAATTTCAGCTTTCTGCAAATTATTTCATGTAATAGTTTGTTCAAATTATTATACTTTCACAAATACCTTTTTGTAAAAAGTGACCATTTAAAACAATTTAAAGTCTGCATCGACATTCATTACTTTTTTGCAATGTTCCAACATAATAAACTTTATCAACTAAAAACAATTATTTTTTTTGAACAACTTCAAAGTTATAGGCTAGAAATTCAAAATCCTTACCAATCGGATCGACTTCTTGAGGCGGTCCAAATTCAGGAGTCTTCTGTATAATCTCGTTGGCTTCATCTGTCGAGATGTTAAAAGCATTTCCATCCAAAGTTGTATTTACGCTGGAAAATATAAATACTCAATCTTTGAAACAAATTCAATTTAACCACTTACATAGCAATTCCGTTGGCGTCAATTTCCTGGCTGACAAGTTGCTTCCAGAATCCGTGAACCTCGTCGACAATTTTGTGAGCAAAAGCCGAAGGTTTGGCATCGCCGTTGAAGGCGAACTTATTTTCCGGTTTGCCATCGGGGATTTTGTAGATTTTGAACCATTCTATTGAAGCTTTTAGTAAACCGGGAAAATGTTTTTCAATGTCGTTTACTTCGTTCATTTGGTTTGCTAATGGGTCGTTTACGTCGATTGCGATTAATTTCCAATCGGTTTCACCTGTAAAGAATGTTTCATAGAAGAATATTGATTTTGAGGTTTGTTGAATGTTATAAAAGTTTGTCATTAAATTTTACTTTAAGAAGGAAATAATTATTTTATGCCTTAAAAAGTAACCTTCAAATTCAACCTTTGAAACAATCTGTTCACACAAATCAGATTTTATTATGTACGATCTGAGATTAATAGATTACTTTCATTTCTCAAGTACTGCCTTCCTTATAGCAATAGAATAAAACCAAAAATGTTGAATAATAAATTATTGCAACAACGATCAATAGCTTTCTAAACTTTGCTAGAAAAATGGGTTATAGTAAACAACCTATAATTTTAATTTTACAAGAAAATTATTATGTATTTAGTCTTAGCAGTATTTTTTCTCTTTGATGCAAAATGTAGGTAGTCAGTTCTTACCTTCATCAATCAAAGCAATAGTTCCCAATATTTTAACATGCAAAATTTCGCCCCTCTTGGCCACCCTGTAGCCAATTTCGATGACATCGATCGGATCGTTGTCCCCTCTACACCCGGTTCCGTCATCCAGATGTTCAGGATTTTCCCAAGTTTGGGGTAGAGCTCCGTAGTTCCAAATGTAGCCGTGATGAGGGAAACAGTTGGCCACGAAACGTGGTTTGCCTTTTTTGATGTCTTGCCTGATTGGGTTCAGAGTTTCTTTCATTGTAATCTGAAGAGGATAATTTTCATTTAGATGATTCAAAGTTCTTAGACTAGCGATATATTGTATCAAAGATATTATATGAGAATAGGTAGTAGACCAATTTACAAGCAGTGTCTTCTTTGAGGGTGTTCTGGATACCTCTACTACTGGAAATCGATGTATTTTTGTATGGGAATCAGTGAAAATCAGTTGGGAATTATTGACCAATAATCAAGAGTAATCCTATGAGAACATAAAAAAAAAAGAATAGTAGTTAATCTGTCATGATGGAAAATTGCATATTCTTGAACTGATGTACCTACATTTTTTCCATGGAAAAATGAAAATCAACAGAAATCACATGGAATGATTATTATTGTTATTATTATTATGGATATCAGTCAGTGGTAGGCGGATAATAACCAATGAGTCCACTGAGTCTTTTATTTTTTTCACAATTTGTTCACAGATTGAACACCATAACGCAGAAGCATATTGTGCCAGCCCCTCATTTCTGGATCCAAAAGGTTTTGATAGTATTTGGAATATCCTTTCGTTTCTATTATTTTTAGAAACTTTGTTTTCGTCGAGGTTTTCGTTATATTTTATCTTTTCATTATATTATATTCAGTGTCTGTTGGAATATCCTTGAGTTTTTAATATCTCCAGAAACATTCTCTTCGTTATTGACAATAACTAAGTAAAAATGTTAATTGATATAGGAATACGTCCAGTATACTGGACTGGTGGGATATTTTAGTTACGATTATTAAAATATCCCGACGTCCAGTATAATGGACATTCACTTGCAGCTGTCAAATTGACAGATATCTTACATTGGATGTCTAATGGCCATTTCCACCAACTATTTTAGGGGAGCCCTAACGATAGGTATGCCTTAAACTGACATTTCTCCATATAAAAATGTCATTTTAGGGAATACTTATCGTTAGGGCTCCCCTAAAATAGTTGGTGGAAACGGCCATTAACAATGTATCTGCATAATAAATGGATTTGAAATACTATTATCTCCGTTGGGGCCCAGGGAGAAGTTCATTCAATTTACTGTGGACTGTGGCACTCAACCTGTTAATACCCACCAGAGGTAAGTATGATGGAAACATGTTGTAATAAACACCAGAAATTGTCTGTATTAATTATTAAAGAAGGGGGTCATCCACCATTGGAAATAAGTTTGATTAAAATGTCAAAAACATAAAATTTCTAGTGGACTATTCTTGAAATTTTTGAATTGAAAATAATCATAACTAATAAGCAACAATAAGAAGTCCACTAGATTTTTTTTGTTTTTGGAAAATACTTAAACTGTTGTCATACTAGCTTGATATTAAGCTGGCACTGTTGTCATTTTTTTAGAAATTTTCAAAAGCAAAAAAATTTAAAACATGGTAGATAAATTAACAACAAATTCTACACAATTCAAGTAATTTATCGCTTTTGCTGGGTTTGTCTTACCAGCTTTGACAGACATAAAAATACAAGAAACCTTCTGCTTTCCTGTATACTTCCAAAATATACCATGATGGTAGGAACCTAAGTTTATTAATAAATTCTTGTTAAAGACAAAAGGACACTTCTTTCTAATCATTGACATTGAATAATAGGACTCATAGAATGGACAACATCCTTGATATTCATTTTTCTGTACAGGGTGTCAAGTTTTAAAGTACCACCACCTGTAACTTTTTTATTTTTGACCATACATAAAAAAAGTTACAGGTAGCGGTACTTTATAACTTGACACCCGGTACATATTATCACAAAGAATCGGGCAAAGAATTCTTTAATTTCAGAGATCAAATTTGCTATTAGGTTTATTTGTCAGTTTATTTCCAATGTTTTCTGTTTCAAATTATTGAGTATTTCTCTTGATATTTCTAGTTAACGTTGACATGCATCTACTGTATTTTGAAATAGATTTTTTTCTAGCAAATCACTGGAGGCATCTTACCTCCATTTTCGCATTGGACCATCTAGGAACTTCCACCACCATGTTGAAGATTTTTTTGTCAGCATCAACCAGCAAGGGAATATCGTGCAGAGGGGAAACTGGACCATTTTTATCATCTAAAAAACCAATTAACAGGGTTGTTAATGAGTTACCAAGTACATTATAACAGAGATAACAGGGTTGTTAACATGTTAATGAGGTGCTACATTAACGGAGATTGTTTTTACCTCTGGTTTGAACAATATAATATTCTCTAACTTTGTGTGACTTTGTCCTAATAACCTAATGATCTGAACTTTCTATTGCTGCAATGTCAAGGGCTTTTTTTTTATAAATGTAATCACTCTATAAGTCAGCAATAACTAATTAGCCATTGATATTTAGCAAACACTTTGTACTTTAGACCTTAAGTTATCTACAATAAAGATACTTATTGAATACCTATTTATGATATGATAATCTTATTGGGTTAAAGGTCAGTGTTAAGGCCACTCATATGTACAGAATGCAATAAGGAAACGATAAGAAAGGTATGTCAATGGGTCAAGTGGTTAAACAAATAAAACTTACGTATGTAGACTCTGTAATCGTTTGTGTATTGCGAGCCCCTTTCAACGATATAGTAAGCCATCCTGGAATATTTATTCAAAAATTTCGGCACACCTGAACCACACAAAGGGGACCGGGAAACTGACAAAAAATTCCTACGCAAATTGTCAAAAAACACGTGTGATAGGCGCCTTGTTGCCAACATCATGCTGACTACAGTCTACAACTGTCGCTGTTTCCAGCACCATCTCTTGGTAAATCCTAAAAATTAGAAAAATATTGCCAGATAAGGCGATGTTTGTTGCACAAATATTTAGTTGTATTCCTTTCACACCTAGGAGAAGCTCCGGAACAGCTCCGGGTACAATGACTCGATTACGCTCCAGGATAGAGTCAATGCTTGCGTTCGGTATTTTGCTCAAAGAGCTAAAGGTATGTTTTCGCTTGTGCGTCTGGCGGTTGCGTCGGGCAGCAGCCGCCGGCGGCAGCCAACTGACTCAATGCATTTTATCATCATAACCGTTTTCACTTGTGCATCTCAGCGGTACCGCCAGACATCCGACCGCAAGCGTCTGCGTCTCGACTGAGCCGTGTGTCAGTCTGGCGGCAGCCGCTCTGCGGTTGAGAGTTTTTTTTATAGTTTAATGCAAAAAATATGGAATACAAATTGAAACTGTGCAAAGTTTAGTATGAAGAAAGTCCTAAACTTAGTCTCATCCGAATTTAAGTGGTTTTCAATTAAAATATGAAATCCCTCTGAATGTCGTCTTTTGGTAAGGTCGCGAATTCTTGTACGTTTTTTTGTCAGAGCCCTAAGGTACTCTTCTTCTTCTTCCTCTTCTATTAGAAGGGCCATCAATAGTACGAAGATCAAAATTATTTTTAGTACGAAGATCAAAAATTATTGCTACACAACGCAGCAAGTGAAAACATCCAACTGCACCGCCAGCCGCTGCATCTGACGCAACCGACAGACGCACAAGCGAAAACATACCTTTGGCGTGCTGAGCGGAGCCGTATTCACGTGACCAGCGAGCGAACAGAGCACTTGAATTCTGTATCAGAGTGCCCGAAATTTTAATAAACGAACGCAAAGGAGCCTGCACCGAGTACACTATAAATGAACGGACGTTAAATGGCTCGGCGAACTCAGATCAAAATACCGAACGCGCGGACTGTTGCTCCGGGGCGTTACGTACTTATTTCTTCCAAGAAGTGTTTGTTGCACCACGCATCTGTTCATTTCAGATCGGGAGCGACTAACACCGGAGCGAGTAGCTCGAGTGTTCTAAACTCTTTAAAAAGGAATACAATACAACTATTGAGTGAGAGCTCGGTTCTGCTTTTTAAGGTTTTTCAATCATAAAAAAGGCCATTGTTATTCAAATCAACCTGAGGTTGAGGAATGTTGTTTTCTTCTGCGGAATGTCAGAAATATCGGATGGATTTACAAGGAGCACCCCCCCCTTGATACCCATGTCTCCGTACAATGGCATTTAATATTCACAGTTGAGTTGAAGAGGGCGCTTCTGTACTTGGATCTCTTTAAATTTTGGCGCGTAAAAATTCGATTGTAATTCTAACCTCATAACTGAAGTTTGATGTGTGGTTTCAAGACAAGCTGAGGCTGACACTTTTAAAAATATTCTCTAAGGGCCACTGAACGCTTTAGAAGATATTTTAACTTATCCATTGCCCATTGTTCATAGGTAGTCATATTACTTTCTACTCAATTTAATCAGTTTCAAACTATTGACATTTACCGCCAAAATTTAAAACACTCCAAGTTCACTCGCGCCCTCTACAAAATTTTGAGGAACTTAACTGGTTATTTGCTGCCATTAAACAAATAATATGAAAATAAATTACAAGCAATAAAATGAAACAAGCTAATAGTTAAACCTTGAGCTGCTTTCCAGTGCCTAAATTGTTAGAGTATCATGCTCCTGGATTGTGACGCTCTTGAACTGTTCGACATAAGCAGCACTGGAACGCTTTCGTCTCAACCCCCACGATTTCGGAATTCAGGAGCATGGAACACCGAAATAAAGCTTGATGCACGAGGGGGCAGGGGATAACATAAACGAGTAGTTCAAGTGTACGACACTCTAAACATTGGAACGCGCAAAGCAATTGTGGAGCACTCCTGAGCTGCTCATGAGTAACTCAAATGGGTCACTGGAAAGCACCTCTGCTCAACTTACCAACTAAAATAGTAACGTGACAACAAAGACTGCCCAAAGTCTAAGCTCCACAAAGAATCAATAGTTGAGTTCGGAATGGGATTTCAGTGCAGTGCTAGTGCGGTGTTCGTGTAGTGCAGTGTTATATCACGTGATGAAGGTGTAATCGGCGGTGTAACACCGAATACACCATCATTTTGTACCGAGTAAACGGTGTCCTGCCATCTTCACGCCATTCGGGCCAAATTATTTCCAAACGCAAAAAAAGTTTACACCAAACTCTCCTATCAATTAACGAACGCCAAAGTGTCAATAGTGTAAAAAGTGTCGACCCTTTCTACTACAGTGACTCTATTACCACAGTGGCAAAGATTACGCCGCCGTCTTGTTCCCAACTTCTTGTTACTTTTAAATATAAATATTTATATGGGATTTAGGTGAACATCCATCATAAATCATGGAAAACAACGTTTTTGATGGCTGTTAGCTTGGCCCTGATTAGTGGAGAATTGACAGGACGCTAAAAAAAGGTGGATAGAACCCGTTCGAAAACATGAGCTCGTTCGACCTGCTCACTCCATGTACTCCATGACACTCGGACCTTTCGAGTATAATGTGGCTTTTTGGTTTGAGAGTAACTTGAATAAGTTCACGTTCAGTTATACGGAGTCGAGTAAAAATGGAAGGCGATATTGTTAAACTGTAGTTCATTTATAGTTGTATTGCTTTCAAGAGTTTAGAACACTCGAGCTACTCGCTCCGGTGTTAGTCGCCCCCGATTTGAAAGGAACAAATGCGTAGTTCAACAAACACTTTTCGAAAGGAATAGGCACGTAACGCCACGGAGCTGTTCCGGAGCTCCTCCTAGGTGTGAAAAGTATTACATGTATCATGAGAGAAAGAAAATGGAAGCGCTGATTTTTTAACTCTGTCAACATGTATTTGAAGTTTTTTATTTCGAACACTCGCCTTTTTCAAGGTATTAGGCAATTCAAACCACGTGACTTTCAAGATGGCGTGGCGGCTACACATGGGCCAAAAAACAGAAAAAAATATCTAGAATCTGCTCGATTTATTAGTTTAGGTACCTATAGTCAACAAATATTTTATTAAATAGTCCAAATCAAAGTTGCACGCAAAACTCTAAGCAAAATAATTTGAAATACGCATAAAAACACATTCAAAACAAACTTGCTTGGCCGCCACGCCATATTGAATTTCCCTATCTGACAGATGGATTGAATTGCCTAATTAGACTCTCTTAAGTTGAATGGACCACCCGGTATATACAAGATACCAGATAATGGCATGTAATATTGACAGTTGAGTTGAAGAGGGCGCTTCTGTACTTGGATCTCTTTGAATAGGGCAATCCAACGACCTGTCAAAATGGAATTCAAAATGGAGGCCAATGCCTTTTTTCCACTAATAATTTCTTAAACTAAAAACTTTCCATCTTAGAATACGAAAATTATCCTCCCAAACACTAGAAAATCATCTAAAAGCACCACAAAATACACAAAAAACAGTTTTTTGATGAAAAATTTCACGATTGCTTCAATTAAATTTATGGCGCCAATTTTTTGGCATTGACCATGCATTGACCACCATTTTGTTTCGATTGCCCTATTTTGGCGCGTAAAAATTTGATTGTAATTTTAACCTCAAAACTTAAGTTTGATGTGTGGTTTCATGACGAGCTGACGCTGACACTTTTAAAAATATTTTCTAAGGGCCACTGAACGCTTTAGAAGATATTTTAACTTATCCATTGCCCATTGTTCATATGTAGTCATCTTTCCTCCTACTCAATTTAATCGGTTTTGAACTATTGACATTTACCGCCAAAATTTAAAGCACTCCAAGTTCACTCGCGCCCTCTACAAAATTTTGAGGAACTAACTGGATATTTGCTGCCATTATACAGGAGAAAAAGGGTTGAGATTGAGAGGGCGAATTCTCATGAGCGTAAGTTGACATTTCCGGCGTAATCAAGTGATAATATGGTGTATATAATTTGATTGGTAAAATATCCAACATGGCGAATATTTTACAAATAAAACCCAACCATTTTATCACGTGATTACGCCAGAAATGTCAACTTACGCTCATGAGAATTCGCCCTGAAAAATCATTAAAAAAAAAAAACAACCCAAGGCTGATCCAAGGCCAAGGTTCTCAAAGTTGATAGGTTGTCTGGTAATGGGAAACAGATGACGACATCTAGGCTGCTTGATGGAAATTTGCATTATGATGAGAGACTCTTGGTCGTGGCGCCATCTGGGACTTGGATACAGCACTAAAACAAGATGTTGCTGTATTAGTAGTACTGAGATTGGTTCTTTAAAATCCTATATATTCCCATGGAAAACGCCGCCAATGTGCTTTACGCAGTACCGATATACATTGATCACGGTACCTAAAAAGACTTCCAAATTACTTTGAGGGTGGTTTAAGGTGTTAAAACTGATAATTGCGATCCATCGGAAAAAGGGTTTTTGTGAAAATATGGACATTTCCACCATAGTCTCGGGCACAAATGGTACTGGAAGTTATAAGCATTACCACAATATACACTGTTGAGGGTACCTAAAAATACTTGCCAATAACTTTGAAGGTGGTTCAAGGGGGTGACACTAATAATTACGAATTATCGAAAATAGGGTTTTTGAAAAAAATATGGACATTTCCACCTTAGTCTCGGGTACAAATGGTACTGGAAGTTATAGGCAGTACCACAATATACACCGTTAAGGGTACCTAAAAATATTTCCAAATAACTTTGAAGGTGGTTCAAGGGGTGAAACTAATAATTACGATTTATCGAAAATGGGGCTTTTGTGAAAATATGGACATTTCCACCCTAGTCTCGAGTACAAATGGTACTGAAAGTTTTAGGCAGTACCAATATACACCGTTAAGGGTACCTAGAAAGATTTGCAAATAATTTTGAAGGTGATTCAAGCGGATGAAACTAATAATTACGATTTATCGAAAATAGGGTTTTTGTGAAAATATGGATACTTCCACCCTAGTTTTGGGTACAAATGGTACTGCAATTTTTAGGCAGTACCGATATGCACCGTTAAGGGTACCTAAAAAGACTTGCAAATAACTTTGAGGGTGGGTTCAGAGGGTGAAACTAATTATTACGATTTATCGAAAATAGGGTTTTTGTGAAAATATGGACATTTCCACCCTAGTCTCGGGTACAAATGGTACTGAAAGTTATAGGCAGTAGGTACCAATATTTAGGGAACCTCACTTGATTTGTAAATAACTTTGAGGGTGGTTTGAGGGGGTGAAACTAATAATTGCGATTTATAGAAAAAAGAGTATTTGTGAAAATATGTATGTAGGTACATTCTACCCTAGTCTCGGGTACAAATGGTATTGGAAGTTCTAGGTAGTACCATTATACACCGTTCAGAGTACCTAACTTGACTTGCAAATTTCTTCAAAGGGGTTAAACTGATTATTGCGATTCTGAAAAAATGCGTCTGCATCAAATATGAACATTTATACCCTAGTCTCGGTCACAAATGGTAGGTACTAGAAGTTATAGGCACCGTTTAGGGCACCTAAAGTCTATTTATTACTTTTTTACATAGGACATTGCATCACGCCAGAGGTATAAAGATTATACATAGTTTTATTTCATTCTCCTATAGTTCTTTCCTTGGAAATTGGAGTTGTTTCTATGTCATCCCATGCTATCTACTTGTATAATTTTCTTTATGATTTAATTTCCTTCTTATTCATGTCTTTTGCACTTTCAATATTTTTCTCTGTTGTCATTTAAATTTGCTACAATTAGTTTTTAGAATCAGTTTGAAATTGATAGTTTCTGACTCTACTTCCCTAATAAAAACAAAGATAGATTCAAGAAATCCTTTTTTTTTATTGGGTGGTATGAATAAAAACGAAGTACTTGCTACTGCTAAAAGTATTAGTATGTTCTACGTAGTATTTACTTCAAAACGAAGTAGATACTACATTTCGAAACTACCGAAATATAGTATCTGCTTCGTTTTGAAGTGAATACTACGTAGAACATACTAATACTTGTAGTAGTAGCAAGTACTTGGTTTTTATTCATACCACCAATTGTCTTTTGCCTTCAAGTCCGATAAAGGAATTTTGGCACAGGAACACACCACTTCGGTTCATGATTTCTCAGCCACCAGAATCTATGTCGAATCTGCAATGGCCCAGAAACTAGAAAATTCGAAATTCACTCTCGAGCGCTCCAGAGTCAAGAGAATCTAAACGGTAACTGATCCAAATCCATCTTTACAGCATTCCAAGAACCCAAGGAAATCTAAAATTTACTCTATAACGCTTAAGAGAGCTAGGAGAGTAATTCTATAGACTCCAAGCTAGGAGAGTATACATCCAATTCACAGATCCCCAAAAGCCAGAAGCGACTATTCGACCTTCGAAATGGATGAAATAAGCAGCTCAGCCCAACAAAAAGAACTCGGAAAACCGACTAGCAAACATAGAGATATCTCATGAAAAAAAACATATTTAACAAATTCAAGTTTAATTTTTAGCATCTCTAATGCCCAAATAAAAACGACATTCAACGTCCAATATCAAATCTGTTAAAACAGCTTCCATGTTTCCAACGCAATTTGCTCTTATTTTCAAATTTTTCTACTCAGGACAGACTGTGAGCTAAACGAGAATGTTTGTTTAGATAATTAAAAATGTTCCAATTTGCTCCTCTTTTTAGTATTCGCGTTTATATGACTCCACAGTTCCAGAATTTATTAAAAACAAGCTGAAATTGCTAGGAACGCAATTTAATTCTTTTTTCCTTTGAGTTTCTATTTTCTAAACTGAAAAGAGGCAATTTGACGCGGCTTAAATTCTAGGCTCTTGGTCTGATGAGACGTGTTTTTATTTGAATTCAATAGCTAGCAAGCAGTCGTAGTAAAGATTATTGAGATTTTAATGCAATAAGTACATATTAAATGGAATGTGTAGGTTGTATTTAGAAAATAAATTCGATAAATATATTGATCTGAAACAAAATGTCTGGGCAATAACCTGTCATACAATAGCTTGACACGAAAAACACCGTAAAGGAAAAATTAAAAACTTTCCAAAACAAAACGCAAAATCAACAAGTAGTCGTAGCGAAACCAAGTATAGAGTCGCAACTTCGGGTTTTACGGGAATTGCGAAGCAACAAGTGCCCGTGCTTGATCGAAACTAAACTCCGAAACGTAAAATGTGTCGGGAGTTGAAATAAAAAGCAGTCCGCAATAACTTTATCACTCGCAGTGACATACGAACTTCATCGCGAACAAGTTCGGTTTTCGACAAAGGGAAACGGTGAAAGTTTTTCGAAAGTTTCGCGAGTGCGAGTTATTTTTTATTGGTTTTTTCGGAGGATTTTCGACTAATAATAATTAAAAGTAAGGATTATTCTTCTTAAAAAAATATTGGAAAATTGTAATATTCATGGTAGTAATGTTATCTCAAAAACTTTATTTTTTTCAAAAACTATAATACACCTTATAATAACTCAATGCCGATTGGTTGTAGATTTTTTCTGTATATTATACAAATAATAATTGGGCTTGTTATTGTCGCTCCTCAATTTTTTCTTGGACGAGTGAAAAATTATAAAATAATTGTGTTTCATACCTTTAAAAGTCGTGAATATATTTTACAGAAAAAAATATTTTTTCGTTGTTCTCCGAACATTTTATTCGACTTGGCTAAAGAGTGCCTTTAAATAGAAAAAATACCATTGGAAAAAGGGCCTTAAAAATAACATTCCCCTGGCAGTTTTGACTAAATCACTGACCAAAGTCCATGGAAGAAAAATATCCTAAAACAATAAGACTTTTCAAAACTCTAAAAATTTTAATCTATATCCATTAGTAAATCCTCGATATCTTTGCTCCCTTTTTATTTTCCTTTAACACTGCAACGAACAAACTGATGACCAAAAAAAAAAGACAAAAAGAAAAACGATAAAATTCCATGTCATAACTTTCTATTAGATAGACATGTGAAATTTCCTCTTGGAGAGAAAATACACGAAAGCGTCATTAGGAACTGATTTTTTACAATTTAGGGTCAAGAGAAAAATAGTGACGATAGTTAAGAGGTTACTTTGAACATTACGGGTTGATGACATCAGAATTTATTTTCTAAAAATTGAAGGGAACTTTCGAAAATTATTTGCAAGATTTTGAACCTAAAGCAGTCTAAGAAGTCACTAGGTAAGAAGGAAGAAAGCATGTCACATTTGTGAGAAACCTTTCACGAGGAAGGACTTTGATGATAGTAAAATTGTCAATAACCATAATAATTTTACTGTTGCATTCAGAGAATTTGCTCATTCAATTTGCAATTTAGAATTTCGTAAATTATTCATAGTTCCTCTGGCCTTTCACAATCTATCAGGCTACGATAGACATTTCATTTATTTTTAGATATACTACGTATTTCTAAAACCTAAATACCGTTGTATAGGGTGTTTTTTTATGTATTGATACCCCACCTACAGCCTTTACCTTTACAGGTAGAAGAAAGGTGTAAATACAAAAGTTATACAGTTTTAGCTGAATTTTTAGAAACCATGGTCAGAAACAAAAGTTGAATGTCAGAAATGTGAAATTTTAAATGCTTCCAGCTTTTTCCAAATGGGATGCCCTATATCTCATTCTATATTCTTGAAGAGCACAATACCCTGATTCCAAAAATATATAAGTAGTTTGTTTATATTTGATTGAACAGTCTCTCATATGTTCGGCTCCAAAAATTGTAAAAATACTATCCTACTACTGATTCTGTGAACCATTCTACCTGCACAGGTGAAAGCTGCAAGTAAAATTTGAGGTACTTGGTTTCCCTGATAGTATTTTTGAAAAAAGCTGAAAGCATGCAACATTTCACATTTCTGACATTCAATTATTGTTTCTGACCATGGATTTTGTAAATTTAGCCAATACTGTACAACTTTTGTATTGACACCTTACATCTACCTGTAAAGGTAAAGGGGTGTCAATATATAAGAAAACACCCTGTACTAGAACAATAACTTATTATGTAAAGTCAGAATTTGTAAGATTATCCACTTTTTTCAATTTGCCTTTTAACAGGAAATTAGTAATGGTACTTTACCAAACTAGTAACATAATGTAATGAGTTATTGAAGTACAAAGGAGTGGATTGTTGCGGAACTTATGGGTGGACTTCTGCGGGACGAGCGTAGCGAGTTCCGCAGCCATCTATTCACCAATATGTTGTTCAAGTACGATACTAACTTGAATCACTCAAATGTCAGTTATTCTCATTAGTTCAAAAACTACACGTTTCAGGTGAGTGTCTTATTTGAATAGTTCAACAGTATATTGGTAAATAGATGGCTGCGGAACTCGCTGCGCTCGTCCCGGTAGAGGTCCACCCAAAAGTTCCGCAACAATCTACTTATTTGTAAAATAACTTATTATATAAAGTCAGAATTTGTAAGATTATCCGCTTTTTGTCAATTTGCCTTTTAACAGGAATAAGTAATGTTACTTCACCAAACTAGTAACATAATGTGACAAGTTATTCAAGTACAAAAAAAGTGGATTGTTGCGGAACCTATGGGTGAACCTCTGCGGGACGAGCGTAGCGTGTTCCGCAGCCATCTATTCACCAATATGTTGTTCAAGTACAATACTAACTTGATTCTCTCAGTTGTGAGTTTTTCTCATTTAGATGAATGTCTTACGTGAACAGTTCAACAGTATATTGGTGAGTAGATGGCCGCGGAACTCGCTGTGCTCGTTCCGCAGAGGACTACCCATAAGTTCCGCAATAATCCACTTATTTGTACAGGGTGTTTTTTTATATATCAACACCCCACCTACAGCCTTCACCTTTACAGGTAGGAGAAAGGTGTAAATACAAAAGTTGTACAGTTTTGTTTGAATTTTTAGAAACCATGGTCAGAAACGAAATTTAAATGTCAGAAATGTGAAGTTTGGCATGCTTCCAACTTTTTTCAAATGGGATGCCCTATATTTTATTCTATTTTCTTGAAGAGCACAATACCCCGATTCAAAAATATATAGTTTGTCTATATTTGATTGAGCAGTCTCTCGTATATTCGGCTCCAAAAATTGTAAAAATACTATCCTACCACTGATTTTGTGAACCATTCTACCTATACAGGTGAATGCTGCAGGTAAAATTTGAGGTACCTACTTGGTTTCTCTGATAGTATTTTTAAAATTTTTAGAACCAAATATGTTGGAGACGGCTCATCCAAATACAGACAAACTATATAGTTTTGGAATCGGGAAATTGTGCTCTTCAAGAATATAGAACCAAATATTGCGCATCCTATTTGAAAAAAACTGAAAGCATGCTAGATTTCACATTTCTGACATTCAATTTTTGTTTCTGACCATGGATTCTAAAAATTTAGCCAATACTGTACAAATTTTGTATTTACATCTTTCATCTACATGTAAACGTGAAGGCTGTAGGTGGGGTGTCAATATATGAAAAAACACCCTGTACATACACACAGGGTGTACCATTAAAAACGAAACAGGCTAAATATCTGATACCAAGTTTATTTTTGAAAAAATCGCTCGTACACGTAATTTGATTTTCAAAGGGGGAAGTTTTTTGCAATCATTTTCAGCATATCAACTTCAACTCTCTAGGCGGCCTCAACTATTTCAAATGGAACAAGGGGTCAAGTGATACCTTTTTCAAAAAAGTATTCAATTTTCTTTTATTTGATGTCATTTTAAAGAAAATTGGTCGCTCTTTTGAAACAGATATCACTCTAACCCCTGTTCCATTTGGAATGGTAAGGGTTAGTCCCACCCCCGCTAGAGGGTTAAGTTAGCTTAGGTTTCAAACACTCACATAATCAAATTCCGTATACGAACGATTTAAAAAAATAAATAAAAGCGACATCAGATATTTATCCTGTTTTGTTTTAAATGGTATACCCTGTATACATATACGGATTATCTGAGTTTTCAGTTATCCGATTTGGGTACACCCCCACGTTACCTCGGATTACCGGAGTTCTATTGTATTTTCTACAAATTGAAGAGTAAAGTTTCGAAACCTAATTACTTGATAATGGACTTTATTAAAGAGCAGTTGAAGAAGTGGGTATTAAAGTAAAAAAAAAATATGAATATTGAATCCTTATACAGTTTTCTTTTAAATTGGAATATTATTTGAAACAATTTTTTAAAAATATATTTAATTTTTTAATTTCAATTCAAAATATACAGTAGCTGAATCTGCAGCAGTAAGTGTTTGTTTAAAACAATAAAAATAAGATTATATTAACTAACAATATGAAATAGAAGAAGGAAAAAGCATGTCAAATTTGTGAGAATCTACGAGGAAGGACTTTGATGATGGTAAAATTGTTCATTTTACTGGTAAATTTGAAGAACTTGCCCACTCAATTTGCAATTTACAATTTCGTAAATTATTTATAGTTTCTCTAACCCTCCACAATCTCTGAGGCTACGATAGTCATTTTATTTATTTTCAAGTACCTACCTATACTACGTATTTCTTAAATACTGTTGTACAAAATCTAAGTTAACAGAATTGAACCATTTTTTCTCATTTAATTCGATTTTAGACCAATTTTAAATATTTTGAATCCACGTAGAATCTCCGTAGGTATTCTTATTTTAACGAAACAAATAATTAGCAGCCACTATTTACCAAAGATAATTTGAAAATTACGAGAAAGAAATTACTAAAATAAATAAATATTTAAAACAAAAAAGATCTTGCCCATTTTTGAAACTTCATACTAATGTTGAACAATTTCATTTTGTTTTTTTTTTTTTTTCGTCAAAACTATTTTAACACATGCACATACCTAAATGAAGTGCCGTCAGAAATTTTCTATATTCTAAAGAAAACTTGTGACGTATTTGAACATAAAGTGTACGTGTTGAGAAGTGAAGGAGGCCTTTTGTTGGAGAATTTCTCTCGAGAAATCATTTTGCGTGACCTGACGGATCTTTTCGAGTTTTAACATGCGAATAATAATTTGAGAAAATGTAGCGTTGGAGTTGAAAATGATTGACGTTAAGTTGGAAAATTTGATTCTGGGCTCGGGAAAATAATTCGAAAGTCTAAGGAGCAATTTTTTTTTTTTGACTTCTTGTTATTTCTTTAAGTAGATTATCTGATAAAAAAAGGAAAATTGGGAACAATTTTGTACATTTTTTTTTAAAGCAGAGGAAAGTCAACTAAACTAAACAAATTTTATTATTGGGTGAAATTTGGAGCATTCTTGTAGATTGTGATGGTTGGGGTGTTTAGATCTATTGAGCTACCCCTTATAGTGGGTTTCCAGATTAAGGCTTCTGGCAAAGTATAATGTTCTGGATGATTTAGGCTGTACTGTGGGGAATTAAGG